CCATGTCAACCAGAAACAATTACCGTTGGAACATGGTGATTGATGCTGCTAATTGGCTCACAACCCGGATAAATCACTCTCGATTAATCGACGGGTTTCATGGTTTCGTTATCGGATTTATTTTTGGATGGGTGGCATCCGGTTACAAAAATAAACACAACATGTTTAATTTGATCGCTCTTGCAAAAATTAAAAGGCACTGGGATAGCCCATTTTACGAATGAAAATTGACGCACCCTCTACTTTGTTTATTCATTTAACCTATTACGACTAGTACATTGAGTGACTTGTAATCACTTTGTTTTGAGTAAGGATGGACTCTTCATGCTTTCATTGACTGTGTGATAGCGACTCCAAAACGCAAAAAAATTTCATTCGGTTTAGATTATAAGTGTTTTGTTATTTAGATCATAATCTGAAATATACGGAAAGTTATTTGCTGTATAATTTTAGTTATTTAGGATATTATTTAACAAAGTTCATTATTAATAAAGAAAAAAAGATAGGTTTCTTACAGAAAACATGCAGTTGAACTTTTTTTCATAATTTCGATGTTAATTACTCCTATTAATTAAGGCGAACGTTATTGCTTAATAGGAAATGATAGGTGCTAATGTGTTGGATGTTTTAACTTATTAGTTTTGTGGAGAATTTGTTTTCATAGTGGTCGTATAGTTAGGATAATAATGTTTCTAAATTACCGTCAGTGGACTTTTTATCATTATTTTGTGTATGGCATTTATTGGAAACAACAAAATTCTAAAAATTGCCTGATTTAAAAATGCACTGCAATATGAAATGAAATGTTTCTTGAAAATTGAGCTAGAGGCGATAAAACTCTGACTATAGTGGGTAACGTCTTACATTTTCATGATATCATCTTTCGCCCTTCAAGTAAAATAGACTGTTTATATGAAACCTTCATATTTCAAAAGAGCACCCTTGCATACGTTCAAAAAATGCTCTATTTTTAATAGATTCTGGTTTGGTTTATTGAAAATAATTTATTAAAAGATTATAACCGCCAACGTTATAGAAGTAGATGAGTTTCATGTAGATACAATACGGCTGAATTGAAATGAAATTTCAAAATGTAATCTCCTGTAGGAATAATGCTGAAAATCGTAATTTACTACATCGGATAAAAACGTCAACCCTTGTTACCAACGTTTGGCAGCAACACTAGATTATTATTGGCTTCTTGCAAATTCAGTTCTAAGATTTATTGTAGATATGGATATTGTCATTGCGTTTTAATTTTATGATCGTCGCTAGTTTTGTCAGCAAATATTAATTGGAATTGATAACTATCTCAATAAAATATCTTCAATTTGATTTGTCTGAGACGTGATGGAACCGTTAAATTTTTGTTGTTCTGAACCTCTATGTTGTGAATATAAAATTCAAACAGAATTTTATTTTATGACCGTCTAGATGCGCTCGATCATCGTCTTGTATAAGCTTCCAGTCTTCTTACTTATGACAATTTAGTTGTTAATAAGTTATGACGCGTTTTTTTTTAGAATTTTCTAATACATTTTGTAGTGTTTATTGAGTTCGCTTCCATCTTAAACTGCCCATCTCATATTTCATACAATATTCAATACAATTCGAAGCTTCTTTATTCTACATCTCGCCACATATGGAAGAGCCTGACCTGGCCGTCCAAGTCAAGATTGATTGTATTTTTTCTCTAGTGTACGTTGTGCGTGTTTTTCCACCCCCCTGCTATTTATCTATCTCGCTTGGTTTTGTTTTTTTACCCGGTCATGACCCTTTCATGTCATTTGTAATTTATAGGGATTTACAAGGGCCCAACCTGATTTTTTAAGGAAAAAAGATACGCCGAATTTCATCCCCTTCAATTTTCCACACTTCGAGACACATTAAATTTCGGTTTATTGCAGATAAAACTACGTCTTATAAACGAAATTTCGTTGCAATTCACTCGCGGATATAAAATATACCGTTAAAAATAGGATCTGGCGACGTAATTGAAGTGATGCCATTATCGCGGAAATGCGGGAGCATAAATGATCTATCGTTGCAAATGTGCAAAATACTATTGGACAGTCTCATGTTGCGTGAAAACAGGATAAATGCAAAAGCCCGGAGGATGAATGTGATATAATGTATTGCATTTGTTCTAGTTTTATAGGTACATTACATTTTAGTTATTTAATGTTAAACTGAGTGTGTTGGTAATTACTAATTGCGAAGACCTCTGCAAAAGTTCGCAGTGGATAAGCCTCGGGACACTATTATGGAAGCAATATTGTTCGCCAACTAAACTGGGAATGTATTTAGGCCAGGGATTATAAAATATAAAAAAATCTGTACTCCTAATGATGATAAACTTTACATAAACCCACATCTCACTGAAGGCATTGGTATTTATTTTGTCTTATTTACAGGTGCCAAAATAATTTTTTAAGTAGGGTTCTGGATCAAAATTTGAAAATAACTTAAAACTTTTTAAGTAACGTCAGTCGTTTTGAGATCCAACCTTATTTAACATTCTTTATCTTCATCACGGTCCATTTTGTTAAAGGCCACAATCTTGTCCAATCATGGTCCAATCAAATTTTTCTGAATCAATAATGTATTTTCCTCGTTTACCTATTTTAAAATTTGTATTTAATTTGCTTTCCTTTTTTGTAATTTAAAGAATTTTGATTCATTTATTCGTAACGAGAGATATCAAGCGATGATGTTTCAACTGCTCACCTGTTAAGAAAGAATAAAACATTTTTTTTTTACCAAATTGTGTAATTAAGCCACTTTTATTTCCAGGATTTTTGTATTTGCAAACTTTTTAAATTCTCATTGGAATTAAATTTGTATATAAATAATTCATATGAAGCGATCAAAAAAGATTTTTTTCCATTTCATATAATACCTACAAAGCTCACAATAGACTATTAAATTTGTACTTCTCTGATTTTAACCATACAAAATTTAACACATATTCTTTAAATTAGCGCATGTGTAATATTTTGATTGAAAAATATTGATTTTATCAATTTTTAATCCATATGCAAACGAATATCACTGCAATAAACATAAACCAAGATATTGACCTGACCTGACCTAAATAATTAAATGAAAATATAAATGCTATTAATAACTAAACTCAAAGCCCTAGAATCTAATTTGTTATTTTTAGCATGATATTAAAATTATTTCGTCAATAAAAATTAGTAAGAAGTATGTCTTCCAGACAAAGATGCATTTTTCCAGTAGAAAAACTTCTGACCAATGTTCCTTTTGTTTGTTTTAATTAATTTGAGAAGCAAAATAAGTACGCTATTTCGAATTTCATTCGTCTTCACATCTCTCACAATAGTAAAAATTTTCATATTATCTCACTAACCTTCATGAGGCTGTCAATCGTGGGTGTCTCTAGAAAGTCGTTGTACTCATCATTTTGCTATTAGATTTACACTCGCTTCGTTTTAAAACTTAAATTGTCGATTAAGAAAATGTAAGTAAAAGAAGCAACGTTAATAAAACTCCCACATTGATTGTTTGATGCGAGATGTGCTTTTAACAAAGGTCATGTATTAAAGAATCTTTTTACTTATTCAAAAAAGTATAGATATGATACTAGTATGTCGTTAAATTAGAATTTAAAATAAAAACCCAAAGCGCATCAGTCATGACATTTATTAGTAGTAAAATGGAAATGTACTTTCTTGCTGTTCCCACTTCACAAGCAAACTTTATCAAGGTAATGAACTTCTAGTGTAGATTTATATAAGAACACTGCTCTTCCAAATCCAAGCATAATTAAATTAGACATTTCCGCGGATATTTACTTCCATTCGTACAACTACAGTAAATTTCAACGGCAAATTAACACTAGACAACTTTGGTAAACCTCTTCGGTACAATCCCCAGTTAATCTCTTTACCATGTTTCCATACATAATAGACACAGTGACAAATAGGTATGTTAAATGTAGAGTAAATCAACCTTTATCACCTGCAATTGGTTGAGAGTTTGTGCACAATGAAGAATAAACTTAAAAAAATATTGTGTAAAATTATTGATGAGATTTTGAAAAAGGTATTTTAAAAAGTCCATACCCTATTTAGGAATTTTCTTTTTGTTATGCTTACATGTCTAAACAGTATTCTTCTGCCACCTATTGGCTAAAGTCCCAAACTAGTGAAATTTAATCATCATTCGCTTTACACCGTTACTAATAGTGTTAATATTTACCCACGTCTGTAAAAATCGTATACTTTTCATTAGTCAGCACGACAAAACACCCATTTGAGGTGTATTTTGCTGGAAGAAATCTCTTTTCTTTGTTATCTCTTTCAATTTTCACGCTACATCATCCCCGAAGTATCCTCCCAATAATGAGAAAACATCAAGGCAAAACATCTACGGCGTTCCAAATTAAACATGAAATTCGTTGGAGATTATTGACTTTTAATAGAATTTATCATTTTCCGTCCCGAGTAACGATTTCACTTTAAATTGCTTTAAGTCACTATTAGTGCTAAACAAAAACATTCCAGATTATGGAATTGTAAACCCAAGCTTGATTTTCGCCGCTCCAGTGGTAATTTTCAACCATTTACTAGTAAAACTGTTCTATTTACAGGAATAACAGGATTGAAGAGCTAATGCGAGCACTTAAAAGCCACGACATGGCCATTATTTGGTTCAATTAAAGCAGTGGCTTTTCGAGGAAAACAGATTCTGCTAACGTGATTTGTTAAATATGACAATGTAGCAACAGTCTGATTCGGGTTTTATTATTAGAAAATGCACTCTGGGTAATTAAATGTGTGTCATAGTAGACCAGATGAGATTTTGGATTTGTCATGATTCATTAAGATTCCCTTTGTGAATTGTTAAATGTTAATACTCACCTGCTTATCTAACTAACCATGTTAGATTTGATTTTTAACTATATTGTCCATTATTGGGAGTTTTAAAACGCGTTTTTTTTTCGTACTTTTTAAGGGAACTTTATCTCTTTGCAGGGGAAGCGATGACGTGCAGCGGTCCATCGAGCTACTCGACCGGGTCTTGTCCGAATTCGATGATGTGGAAAATGCGAACCAAGTTCAGAATGTGAGTACATCCGTCCAACGCGGTCGTTAAATAATCGGAGTCTGTGTACATCTTTACCATCCAGATACAACAAATTACGACGTCGACGTCGACGCCGCAGCTCAGACAAGTCAGCAGTAACTCAACCACCGGCAACGTATCATCCACTCCGGACGACGAGAGTCCTTCTCTCGGTCATCAGTCAGAGGATGACGGTTATATGAGCATGAACGGCCGCAAACCTAAGTTCAACTTAGCCTTCAAGCCGTTGGCCGAAGTGCCTGTCCATCACGAGAATGCCTCGCAGTCTCCCACAATTATGCATCCGGGGGATCCAGACGACTTTCCGCCGCCTCCGGAGGAGGCGCAGAGGCTTATCGCTACACTATTGCCTAAGTAAGCACCGGTATCCTAAACTTTACCAACAACAATAAGAAGAGTAAATACAAAAATGTAGCACGATTTTTGGTGAAGGCGCTGAGTTAATTTAACATTGAATACGCTTTAATAAATATTTGTCAACGAAAAATGTGCCCATCACAAGTGAATAAATAATACATATAGCTATATAAACTGTGCCATTTATTTGTTTTTCTTACAAGAAATTAAACTTATACTCTCATTTAAAGTGATAACAAGGCTGTTTTTGCAGCGTCATAGAACAATAATTGTTTATTGATCTTGAAAATTATTCAAATTATTCAGAACATCCTAACTGCAGAACAAATTAAAGTACATTTTCTAAATTGAACGCTGTATTTAGTTAATACAGAATTTTTTAATACAAGAAAATTGACTTCATTAAATAAGGAACTAATTACTTTGTTTCTTTGAAAAATTGCAGTTTTTATTTTGTTTTTTCTATAGTTATGAGATACTGTTAGACTAGTTCTGTTTACTATTGTTACTATTTCTACAAAATAAGTAACTCCTACTAGACACTTCTTAGATGAAAAAACCTTTTTTGAAGTAATTTATTACTTTAATTTTAACTTTAAGTTTGATGTAATTTGTATTACTCTTTGTTATAAGCAGTGAAACTGCCTGCATATTTGCGGCAAACCGTTTTCCACCACGGAGTATAAATTCCACAACTTGTTTAAATAGAGTATTTACGCCCTTTAAAATTATGTACCATGGCTAAAACATTTATTTTTAAATAGCGTCAGGCAACGAACAAGAAAACAAGTTTAATATGTTTATCATTGTTACGGGATAAGCTGTAGACTAATCGTTCATTATTGATGTGAAAAAAAGAATGATCACGAAAGCAAGACTCTAAGCACGGCACGTTATTGGAAATGAAACACATGTCAAAAATCAATATGTGGGAACAAAAATGAGAAAATATGGCCGAATCGTATATACCAATATTTAATAATTGTAGTTCAGATTAGTCAAATGTATTTCAGAAAGTATCATTTGTAAATCAGAAAACATTTGTAACTCACTTTATTACAAAACGATTAAAATCAAGCAATTATAAACAAAGTGTAAAACTGCACAGTTATATAACGCCCCAAACGGTTGTATATTGAGATGGTTTTTTATTATTTCCTGAAATACAATTCAACTTTTCGAATTCCGAAAATTTTACTGTCCTGAACTATCATTAATACATTCTAACGTACGATTGACTAATCTGAAATACAACTGGACTTTCTGAAATACAATTTGCCAATCTGAAATATACTCGTACACCCCACAAAAATTATCGCATAACATATGTTTATACATGTAAAATACGAACTTAAACTTAATTTTTTTTTGTGTTTTCTTTCCGAGAATGAAATTGTATGAAATCTATATTGCACATATCAACATACGGAGTTACTGTCATTGATTGATTCCTGTTGTGGTAAACGAGATGGTTCTGCAATGTCTTACGAACACTCAACAAAAATTAACACAAGCAGTTCAAAAATCAATTATCATTCTAAACTAGTGATGAAATCTTCTTAGTTTATTTATATGAAATGTTTGCAGGCTATTTGCTACTATAGTTAAGAAATTTTTGTGAGGTGTGGACATTAAACACTCTTTAAAATTAATCTCTTATATTCTGAACTACAATTGAAAAAGGTGTATAATGTTAAAAGAGTAATAAAGAAATATCTTTTCCCTAAGTGTATTTTTTGTAAAAATTGTTCCTTGTTAAGCAAACAATCCACCGTTTTAATTAACTTGGATGCGTGAATTTGTAAACCGTAAAATAACTCACACATTCATTAGCAGTGGAGACATGTTCAGTACACAAGTTACTCTATCCGTAGTTGCAAAGTTATACTTGCACATCAATTCCGCGATGTCGCATTGTGAAAATTAAATATTTAGTTGCAATGCAATGAGCAGTTTACGAAACGTTGACCACAGCGCAAAGATATAATCAAATAGCATTATTGCACATCAAATATTAATAGTGTAGTTATTCTTATAATTCCGTTTGTTTTACGTGAAAAACTTTGTCATTCAAGCTACTTTTTAGTTTCTATAAAATATATTTCTTTGTGTAAAGTGAGATTTCCTGCTGTCACTAAGGCTCGACGGTATTTTACAGAGTGTCCCCAGCACACAGACCGAAAAACAGCACTAATTCAAGTAGAAATCGTCAGTTTCCTCTAACTCAGTTACCGCCTCGGGTAGAAACGATACCACCGCCTCACAAGTTCCAAAACAATGAGTATACGCCGATAATCAATGGTTTACCCGATCCAATTCATACTGCCACTCAAACGACTTTGGTAAGCGATCTAAAGTGATTTTTTTCAAATTGATAAATCTGTTTTTAGCCTAAAACAAGGCACCAACGTCCATACGGATGGGAAAACAACGATTTTACGTTAAATCCCCCACCTCCGCCCCCGGGATACCGTTTCGGTAGTCTCCCGTTTCAACATGGGATTTACCCCATTACCTCCCCCACCCGTGTACCTCCGAGAACGATCCCAACTGCTTTGGAACGTCATCGAGAAGTCAAGAGACGTGGCAGCGAAGACAATCTCTCTAGTGACCTAGAAGGGTCTGCCTTGAGGCCCTTGAGCGAGTTGGCAGACGATGAGCATTTTTCAGACGATTCGTTGGAAGAAATGCTTCCGCCTCCTCCGCCCGTGACCAATAAACGCGCCAGCATCGCCTGGGAGGTTTGAATTAACAAGATTTAGTAGAAATTGCATTGAGTAAATATGTGTTATAGGTGCCTCTAGACGACGACGCCCTCCTCACTCCGGGTAGCACCAAAGTCATCGGTAGAAGACGAAGGAAATCCGGATCTCACTCTAGTACTAGTTCTATACCGAATAGATTAAAAGAATTGGAAGACTGGCCTGATCCACCTCCTTGCACGACCGAGGATGAAGTAACATCACCGTTTTCTGATTCTGACGACCACGTCATTCTTCCACCAGAACTAAACTCGGATCATTTATCAGGAACGAGCACTTATATTGTACGAAGAGGCAAAAAGGATCGAAAAGCTTTAGTAAACGTCGGAAGTTCATTAAATTCAAATTCTTCACTCAATTCGAGATTAAGTTCAGATTTGAGTATCCCTGCATTAAATTGTCGGCTAAGTCGGGAATTGAATACACCAAGTTCTAGATATAGTGTAGATTTGAGCACCCCACATTCAAGACTCAGTCAAGAACTCAACTCTCCCAAATCTAGGTATAGCTTAGATTTGAATAACTCGAGACACTTGAGTCAGGAACTGAGTAGTTCACCGTCGAGGCTTAGTGTTGACCTTTCTAGTTCTAGATCGAGCACTCCCAGTAAGCAAGGAAATGAATTTAAAAAGCACAGCACTACTTTTGATAATATTAAATCGTTGATTAAAGAAGGAAGAATAGAGAGTTATAACACGCCACCTGTTGAATGTACCTCAGATTTGAACCCGAATATTCCTCCGATTGTTAGAGTAGTTTCGTTACCTAGTTTGAACGCTGAAGAATATGCACCTAGAAGGGAATTAGATGTGACGGTAGAAGAGGAAGAAGACGGTGAAACGTCGCAAGAAAGTGCAGAAATCTCGCCTTTACGTCAAATCGAGCAAAACATAAGTGAGTTACTCGAACGACGTGACATTGAAGTGATCCAAAAAGACGAAAAATGTCTCTTGAATGGTGTCGAATCGTTAACTAAGAAAGAGAAACGCAAAGCTCCACCTAAACCTAAAAAAGGCCACGATCTTCAAAAATCGAGTAGTCACAATGAAATTCAACGCTCGGAAGAGTACTACCGTCAATTACTGATCGAAGCCGGCAATCCATTTCCCAAACGCAACGGAATCCAGAAGTCGGAAAGCGCAAAAGAAATGTTGATCGCGCACCGCGAAAACCGGCCTTTGCCCACGTCCACGTCGGCCGATTTCCCGGTGCGAGTCGAGGTCCTCCAACACGACTTCCCTGCACTGCCGCCGTCACCGGTGGAGGAAGACGATGAGTACTCTGAAATCGTCCATCCGACAAGGGCAGACACTCTGCCCGCCAGCACTGAGCCACCTGTAGTGCCTCCACACCGAGATCCGGTCTCGAACAGCCTGAAAACGCGTTCAATGGACGCGAATTACAGTCGAGGAAGACGTAGCAACTTTTACAGCTCGTCGAGCAGTCGACGCACTTTGCCCATGGAATTGCAAGAGTCGAAGCGGAAGCCGTTCCAGAAGCAAGAGGAGCACCACCTGCAGACGTCGTGCAGTTTGCCAGAGACGCCGATTTTCGCCAGGGGCTGCGACATACCGAGGACGCCGCACAGGAGGGCACCGGATGTGCCCGGGGGCACGGCGCCGAGACAGAGCAACACAATCGGCAGTTTGAACACGATAGGGAATATGTCAACAGGAGGGTACCGGAGAGGCATGTCGAATCCGGGGTTGGAACAGGCGTATAGAGGAGCAGAATTGTTGAGGTTGGCAGGAGGACCAGGGAGGGGCTGGTATCCGAAGCAGAGACACAGAAGGCCAGCCTCGATTGAGCATTTGGATAGGATGGCATCAGGCCATAACCCGTGGGAGCCTAATAGGAAACCTCTCACTCTTCCGCCAAATCTAACACCCAAGTTCTTCCAAAGATCGCCCAGAGATGCGTTAAGAAGAGTCACTAGCCTGCTTATTAGAAAAGGTACGACAAGTTTATTTATTTAATTGTTTTTGTTTAGAACGAGTGGAAAATATCACAAATTCCTAATGCTTACCTAATTTGCAAAATTTACCTTTCCAAATTAAAAATCTAGATACAGACTTACAATCCTTTTTGAACTATAAACTTCACAATTTCATTATTAAAGTAATAAATACCTACTAATACCTACTTCTAATCTAATTCCTTATTAAATAATAATTCTAAAAATGTGTATAGACTAAAGCTTGTTTTTAATACTTTGCAGTGAATTACACATTTTTGAAACTGATATTTGTGTTTTCTTCTAATTTCTATTAAACAAATAAACATTTTAAATGCACAATTACATGTTAAAAGATCGGAAATAATTTTATTTATTTAAATGCATTTTTAATGAATCACAATTTCTAAATATTTTATTTTTTTGCTTGTGTTTTTATCGCACCTATAGTAAAAAACAAACATTGCAATCTTTGTTTCTTTTAGAGAATATCGGATATGTAGGTACTCAATTATCTGTACTTTATACTTGTACTCGTATGTACTTCATTTTTTATCATTTTCTTAGTACCGTTTTCTAAAATTAGGTACTGTCATGTGTTTGCAATTCTTGTTTATCAAATATCAGTGACATCATATTGCATTTATAAAAGTAAATATGTAGCACAAACTTTTCCAATAGTTGTACAAATAAAGATAAGATTTTATTATATGAATCAATAAGAACTATTGAAACCCGAGCGGGTATCCGAACCATTTTCTACAGAAAATTTCATCCTCTGGCCAACAGATGTCGGCCTATACACTGTACAGAGCCTACTTCCATAAATTTATCACATTAGAAAAAACAAATCACGTGACAAAGAAAGAATGTCCTTGAAGTCTTCGTCTTTATTTTCAAAATATGACTAAGCGGTTTATCTGAGCAATTTTTGGATTACACATATCTATTAATAATCACAAAGATTATTCATCATTTTTCCCTTTAACAATTATATTATTATCAGTACCTTTATCATATTTTTAATTTAGAGATTTACCATAATGCTAAGATGAAAACGATGACCTTCACAATAATTTGCATTGTTTTCTTAATCTCATCAGCTTAATTTGATTATTTAATTTAACTTTCTCTTCATACTTATAATAATACTAAATAAATAAACAATTATTATTTATACAACATTTCCTTCCCTGTTTGCAGGAAATAATGGAAAAGAACCAAGAAAAGAAAAGGAAATTGTGTCGCCCACAATCCACGAAAATGCTAATGGTGAGTAAAAATTTTAAAACTTGGTAACACATTTGTGACCTTTCTTTTAAATCACTTAAATTGAATTTATCGGTTTTGTATGGGCGTCGATAATGGGAATACATTGGCTTACGGTAATTTCTTCCTTTAAATATTTATCCAACACATTTGAAACCTAACGAACAGAAATTGAATAAATCCATTATTTTACAGTCTAGTACACAGGTGATAAATTTTTGGAATCGTTCACGTTTTTGGCACAGAATTGTTCAATACATGTCACTAGATACAGATTCTAAATTTAAACACCCCCTACAGTATTTAAGATCTTTTATAAATTAAAACACCTTCCAGATGTTCTCGCCTTGTATCAGATATTTTTAACATGCAGTTTGCTATGCGACTTCATTTTGTAATCAGACTAATTAAGTTTCAAGACATTAAATTTTTGAAGTTTTATTGTTATTGACTAAAATACGGGACTTTTTCCTTAAATTAAAAGAAACATCTTGGGGTATTTTGAATGGAGGTAGGTACGTTTACGTTAATCTATAAATGACTTGGAATAATATCTTTGCGACATTATTGACTAATTTATTTTAACGTTGCTATCAATTTAAAGACTTGTTATTAATTACCTCTGAGATCACTGCTGATGCAATTTTTATTTATCGTTCTTGTGCATGGCCGAGAAAAACACAGTTTTATAGTGTCATTGCGATCATAAAGGGATTATACGAACGAAATTCATTTCGTGCCTCCGCCCATGTGCCTTTCTTTTCTCTGCAATTCCCAACAATCCGGATCAATAGAAAGGGAGAGTTAGCAACAGGGCAACTCCGCAGAATTATCAACTCGCTATTTATTGCACTAGTAAAGTAATGTTGTTATACAGTCATTAATATCGAATTTCTGTGATTTTTCCACCGGCCATCAACGGTCTATTTTGGTAACACAAAGATATAAATACAACTAATGTGTTTCTAAGTGGGGGAGCAGAGACACGCATAACTAAAAACATATTATATTACCTTTAGCACCCCGAAAGGAGGACATTTCAGTCGAAAATATCTCCGACTGGAAAAATCTCAAAGTAGGCAAGTGGGTCGTTTTGTAGTCGGTTGATACTTACTTACATTCAAGTAAACAACGATAAGCGAATAAGTGGTCATTAGCGAAATGGTACGAGTTTTTCAGTTTTCAGGGAACGCATTTTATCAGCTCGCTCGACAGGATGATAAGCATAATTTGTTGGTTTTCTTAGAAAAATTATTGATCTAGAGGGATGTTTGGAAGCAGTCATATTTCCGACATGACCTTTTCATTTTTATTTACCAAAACACTGCGTAAAATGCGCGGTTTTATTGCTTGTTTTTTCATATGTTTCACCAATAAAAATGTACTTGGACCAAACCGAAATTTTAAATCAACTGTTCGTTTCCATTAATCTGAATTACTCGGGACTTCATTTGCATTATGTATTTTCAAGTTGCGAAAGGTTACACTTGCAAATCTAATTATTATTGTTCTCTTCCACCTAAATCCATTAGACATTCGTATGAAGTGATGTCCCGAAATGGAACATTTTAGTACAGCTCGTATTTCTACAATTTAGTCAAATTATTCAACAAATTCTGTAACGTTTTAGGAATTTATTTACGAAAATGTGTTTTGTTTTGTCGTTCAACTGATTTTACTTTTATGGTTGGGAAAAAATTAAGATGAAATATTTTATGTCCCGGGTATTTATTTCTAGTAAAGTTCTAGTGAATCACATCCTGAATTACCAACACCTTTTAAGGTCTAATTGATGTACATATAGGAATAAGTACTCAAGTTAATTCTTTTGTTCTTTTACATTCTGCAGTTTAAAATAATGTGAAGAGATAAAACGATTGGTTTTGCTTCAATGCAAAATTGAATAGGAACAAATAAATTACTACTAAGAGGCCTTGCAAAAAGGCACCATTATTTGGTATGAAAATCTGTACCTAATTAAATAAATTTGTAAATTTATATTCGACTTAAGTTGTACTTAAATAAGGAAAAGACAACTACTCAAAAATAATTATTTATTTTCATTTAATAATTATAATTATAATAATAGGTACGTAACAAATGTTTCCTTAAAAACCAAAAAATATTCAAATTACTTTTTTATAACCTAGTTCAGGACAAATGCTTCGGACACTCGGACAGCTTTTTTATTGGGGGACCACAACACAAAGATCCCAAAGGTGAGTAAAAGGGATTCTTTGGGAAAATTATTCAAATTTTAATTCGACAGTATTGAGTTTATTTTTAATTAGTTTCATTATAATTTCTACTAGGTAATAGTTAATTTCTTGTAAATTGGAAATCTCAACTGTATTTAAACGTTTTCTTTTGTGTGAAAATGATGCAAAAGCAGCAATATAAAAACTGCTGAAGACTTCTATTTTTAAGTATTTTATCTTAATTCGTTTAAATGTGTGATTTATTCAATATTCATTTGCACCATTGTAATTATTTTAATTATGTAATTGAGCAGACATCGTTCCTTCCTAATAATCGATGTAATTACTATACTTAGTGACCTTGAAAAGAACTAATATAATATTTTCCCACATCTATCGATATTGTAATTTTATCCACTTTACAAAGAAGGGCAAACATGTTTTTCATACCTTACTCATTTTCATAAGATCGATCCAATGATTGACATTTGACCAAATTTTTGAACTTTCATAACAATTTTTCTAATAAATAAACGGGAATTCTGATTGAGTTTACATGTTTAACGATAATATGCCGTGTTGCACTGATTAAAGCAATTATAACATGTGCTCGTAAGCATATACTTACCTTTTACTGTAATCGTGTAAACACATGGGAGTATCAAACAACATTTAATTTAATAATAACTACTACTTCCAAGTTGCTGACAGTTATTTATTGATTAAATTAAAGTCTAGTAACAAAATTAGCTAATGCTAATTACTTTGAGCGGTAAGTTTATATATGATTTTTTTTGTAGGTGCCCAACTAAAATAAAAATCTAAACTGGTGTTCGTACAGGTATGTTTCACTTTATTGTTGCACCTTTTTACTGGCACTAAGCACTAGCAAATTGTTTCGACGGTGATTTCATCCAATAAAGATCGAACCGGAAATAACTCGCGTTTAATTTTTAAACAGCTATTACCTTTTTCGAATTATTACCTACCTTCTTAATGGGGGAAAAGAGTTTGACTCGTAAATTATGAATATTCGCCTTCACTGTTATTTAAATCTGTCAAGGGAATGCTAACGCCTCCATGACTTAAATTTTTAATATTGAAAGCTGCCACTCCATCCACTTTTGTAATAAAATTCAAATGTGGCAACCGAACAAAAGAGTATTTTCGATCATTTTTAATCAATATATAAAAATTCAATACACAGCTTCAGTTTGTTTAATTTTGAAAATTCGCACAAAATGTGGAAATGTTATTAGTCCGGTTTGTTCGTTGACTGTGATGCGATATTTGCTAGCGGGTATCTCAAAAACTGTTTAAAATACTAAAAATCCGTAAAGAATGCCTTGTAGAAAATTTTATAAGCTTTAATTTAGAAGATAGCAGTTTTTTCGTAACAAGCACCGTTTTCGAGATACGAGTATAAGCGAGAAACCATAAAACGACCTTCTTGGTGTGCTCTCCTGCGCCTCGCTCACCTCGGAGGACCGGGGACTTTTCATGTGTTTACCTTCTAACTAATCCAAGTACAGCCTTCAAATCTACAAATTCGTATACAGGCTGTTCCGTTTTTATTGTTACAAATTTAAATAGGTGATAGAATATTCAATTTTAAGACAAAAGCTTCCTATGAACATGTATCAAAAAATGTTATGTAAGCGAGCTACACCCCCTGAAAGAGATTGTACTTTTTACCCTAAGCCCCCACCCCCAGTTTAGCACGCCCCTGAGTAAAAATTTCCACATTATTTTATCTTTGATTTCGTTTGGGTGTATAAAGATTATCAGTTGTACCAAATTTTGTAATTTTATCTACAATGGTTTCTAAAATATTGAAAAAAATCCATTAAAAGATGCACTCCTTTCAGAAGATGTAGCTCCCTTATACAATATTTTTCGATACATGTTCATAGGAAATTTTAACTTAAAATTGAATATTCTATCACCTGTTTAAATTTGTAACAATAAAAACGGAACACCCGTATATTCTACAACTCTTTTTTAAACATTCATTGGCTGGACTTTATTCCCAAATAAGCAAAATTGTCAAATACCTGTTTTAATGCAGGGATATCATGACTGCTCTGAGAAACCCATCAACAGGTTATTCCGTTCATGCGAAAAATAAAATTGTGCTGTTATTTTAAAATTAACACAAGACAACGAAAAAGTTCCATAAAATCCTAAACTTTAACTTGTCTCTTTGTCGTTAGTATTTTTTTATTTTTAAAATGTAGGTTAAACAACGCTCCAAAAATAATTCTGGATTTTTTTTAAAGAAGAGCAGCGTTTATTTTACTTTTTCACAAGAAAAAAATATATTTTCATCAATTCATTATTATTAAAATTTTTCTCCTCCATTTCAAGTATGCAATTACTTAACATTGTTTAGCGAGTATTACATATATTTAAAATACACGGTAAGATGAGAGTCAGCAAACATACCGTATTCTGTTCCCTTATCAACACTAAATGGAATGTCGCTTAATCAATTTCAGTTTGTGGTTATGCGTTACCAAGACGGTTTCCTTGAAATTTAGTAATACCAATCCTGTCTTAAATTTCCTTCATTCAACATTAATTTTTGCTCCAGACTCTAATTTTCAACGATTATTTTTGCACCAGGTGCACATTCCAATGTAACTTGGAAAAAGTAATAATAGGCGGAGTTTAACATTGGTGAAAACACTGAATTTTCCAATAAAAATAATGTGTGGGTAGGAAATATTTCGGTTGTTGACGCAACACGAATATGTAGGTACATACATACAGGTGACAAATTAATTCTAATGCATTTGTATCAGTTATTTAGGACATGGTGATAAAGTAATTGGAAATTGAAAGTAAATTAAAAAATCTTTACGCACAAAAATTATAAATTTTGTCAATAAATTTTATAAATAAAATACTTTTAAAAGATAGCGACAGTTCTCCTTATTAATCTTCCTTGTAATCACTTCTGCTTCTTATCTCTGAGAGAAATATATATGTTCCTAGAATAAACAAGTTTTTGAATTTGGAAATAAGAAAATTTTAAAAATATGTACCCAAAATTTTAAAAAGACGCTATCCAGACGTAAATGTTAACAATAAAATGAAAAGTACACAATAAATAAAATTAATTCATCATATTTACTGCAGCTTTCGTGTTCATACAAATCACCCCTCCATGTATTTATTTTTAGAAGTTATCTTTTAATTTAAATTCAGAGATAAAGTTATTCATGTTACCTTTTACGAGTATAACAATAAAAATATCAATTTTATATTTCTACAGAGATTATGTTAAAATTACACATTTTACACACGTAATTACGCAATAAACTGAGGGTTTATGCTTCTTTGTTGTTTTAATGTTTGTAACAAGAAATTTTTTTTTATTAAATTAATTTCAACTCAACAAAATTATTAAGTAAATAATTTATTACTAAACATACATGATTCATGAAATCATTCTTTTCTATATTTTTTCAATACATTTCTTTACTTACCTACTTTCTTGAAAACAATGAAAGTGGGAAATTGAAAACACTTATTCCTTCATTTAAAATAACAATTACTAACCAGAAAATTTATGTTTTGTCTTTGACCTAAAAATTATCGTAAAAATTAAGAGTCAAATTCAATATATTAATCTTTCGGTGACTGACATTTATTTTTTATACAAAGATGTGTTATTTGCTTTTCTTGTATTTTTGCGACATTAAAAAATCATTTTTTATTAATTTCATCAACTTACAAATTTCAAACAAAAGGATTAATATCACTGGCTCGAAACTAATTAAAGAAATTATCCACCTTGTTAATTCATTTTAAAGCTTTATTAAATATTTTCTTTGATGAGTTTTATTTTAGGTCGTTACATCACTTTTAAATGATATAAGATGCAAACCTCTTTAAGTATTAATTAAAATTAATTATTAATTATTGAAAAATCTTTTTTAACTTTTCGTAAAGACTTTTTGGCTTTTTTCGTAAATACTGTCTTGGCAAAACATTTAATTGATTGTTATTTTGTAATACGGCTATCATTTTCCTGTCTACTAATGTTTAATCAACGTATAGGTGTGCATGAAATTCTCAAGTTGACACAAGTGGAACATTATTTATAGTAATGTTAATTGATAAGATAACTGCACACGTTTAGATCTAATTAACAAATCAAATGATTTAGATAAGCCAAAATTAGATTATTAAGTATTAACCGTTAAAATAAATTAAACTCAAATAACTCTTTATCATATCCATAAGAACAAAGTTTTCACGTCTAATAATCAATAACACGTGTAAATTGTAAAATTGATTTTATTTATATTTAGGAGAACTGACATGCTATCAATTTAATTGTTGATCGTTAAGGAATTTGGTTTGTATCTCTTGTTATACACTATTTTTCGCTTGCAAAAGTAGGATGTTTTTGATAGAAAAGTGGATTATTAAAAAAAAAAAAAACTTGCAAATGAAAAAAAAAAACAAAATGTATGTAATATATTATATGAAGATATGAAAATTTATTATTGAATAATGATAGGCCACTTCGATCAAAAGTTTAATTAAATTTTTGAGAATAACAGCTAATTACAAATACATTTACATTTATAATTGATTAAAACATTAAAATCCGTTCGATTTAACTCTCAGTCAAGCAAAGACTTAACATTTATTTAATCATATGGTATAAGTTCATGATATTTTATAAAAAGGTCATTAACAACAGAATTCGTGACCTCTTGATAGCTACGAACCGTTAAATATGCTTGACCAAAGAAAAGACACACATGACTGATGTTTTTGATTAGAAATTTAAAATTTGCCCTAGAAAGTACCATAGATCCGGATGCTGAAAAGAATTTTGATTAAACACATCATTGTCCCTGTTTTTCTACAGCAGACGCTGTTTTATCAAGAGTTTGATGATATCACTCATGCTATGATCGTGAATAAAAATTTAATGATAGCACATTTTGCTCAACTTTTAACTTATTCAAAATTTTATAGTTTACATTCCTGCAATAATAATTAAAATTTAGTTTCTTTTAGGTAAATCATAAGGTACCATAATTTTTTTATGTACATCATAAATGTTTAGTACCTACAAAAATGTGTTATTTTCACAGTAACAGAATGCTATGTAGAAAGCTTGTGTCGATATGATAAAATAGAATTTCGAGATCTCAACACCAAACTTACACCTGACGATAGTAAACCTAAAATAGAAAATGCCTACATCATTAAAAAAAATATGTGGTAGAGTACCTACCTATTAACAACTAATCTTGAAATTATTTTGTATTTACAAATCCATTTATTTATAAATAACTAACTTGAGATGTTAGCTATTTTAATACTGTGTCCACGCCAAAAGACCCATCCAACATCCCCCATTTTAATTCATAATCACATGATTAAAACGGTAACTCTCCTACTGCCATTATCATAATTAATATTGGAAGGTTAATCCCAAATTCCCTGGTTAAGCAAATGAATATTTTAATTAAATTGTTGTCAACATGGTAACAAAATGTGCACCTAAGCCACGAACTTCAATATTTCCACACATTTGAGAGAAACTGTGAGACTGACAACCTCGCTCTTTGAATGATGTAATTACTAAATGAGGAGTGCTTCGGAGTTGATTTATTTTATTGCATTGTTCGTTTCGCGCCTATCGTTACCAGATGTTCACTTCACCCATTTTTCCATTAGAAGCATATTTACTGAGATAAATGAAGGCTTGATCTGTTTGGATCGTAAAAATCAAAAAATTATTCCCAAATTCCACATTTTATTTTGCCCTCAGTAGTCTTAGGGAAATTCTTGTGGAATACTTTTCATTTCGGGCTATTATCCTAATGAAGGGTTTGGTAGCCCTAAGTTTCCATCAAGATACTGATGTTCTTCAGAAACGACGGACCCACGTCGTCCTAAATTTTTGTAAGTGATTCTGGTTACAAACACATCATGAGATAAGGGTTGTTGGGGTCTCGTATATTTCCTGGGTCGTCCCAAAAGTCGTAGATAAAAGACACCCTCGTGACACGACTGGCCGAGATGATCGACGTTTAAAAAAGTAGGGGATTAATATTTGAAGGAAAACGAATTATCTGCATGCAGGAAACGGTCGAAAAACTCATGAATCGATTTGCATAAACAATAAAATTGAACAATGACGGAGCTTGTTGAACACGTCGATAACTTATCGAATTTTACAATTAGTTTGATTGTGAATAATAAGGTTTTGTTTTTCACTGATACGCATTTTAATTGATTTCGGCTGGAAGTCTGATTAATCACTGCTGGATTTTAAAACGTATCTAGATTGATTAAAACACTGCATTTTTCCGCTGTTTGTTTTGTTGATTAGAAATTTGTTTCAGGAGAGGAAGTGCAGAAGAAAAAGGGATTCTTCAAAAGCTTCTGGAAACGGTCACGGCATTACTCTTTAGAACAGCAATAAAGTGGTCTCCCCTTTCCCACGTATAGAAACAAATTTATCTGATTAGTTTTTGTGTACATTTTATATAACAATAATTTAATAAATCTAACCGATTAGTATTACTATTTGTATCGCTAACAAGAAAAAAGAGCACTTGATCCTAATATTACATAGTTGTAGATATTTCAACTAATTTACGTACGACATTATTTGTAACAAGAAAACTTGAAAATTTTTCATCTGTACTTTTTTGCTATTTTTGTTTTATGTTTTGCTTTCAAATTGTATAATTGTACATTAGTTTTATTTATAAATTTTATTTCTGTGTGTTTTTGATTTAATAAAGTTTATTTAACGATAATTTTGTTTGAGTTGGGCCAATTTATCGATAATGTAATAAAATCAACACAATTTTTTCTAAATTATCTTTTTTAATGCAATGTCGTTTTACAGACACTTATAAAAAACACTTTTATACTTTTATTGCCAACTTTCTATGCGATTTCGATTTAAAATAAACCAAATCCAACCGTTAAGAAGGCATTTCTTCAATTTTGCAAAAACTGATCCATCTTCCCTATCCTATCGCAAAAAGAATTACAACTGAGTGAACATCTTCGTATAAAAGCAGGTTGTTTGATGATTTTGTATAGATCAGGTTTGTTGGAGGTCTTTGAACTTGGTCCAGCGAACAGACAGCCATTGTAATCTGTGTAGCAACAACGTCCTTAAGTCCGTTTTTTAACATTGTTACCAGTTATATAATTCAAATGCAGTTGACAACCAAAGAAACCGAGCTCTCTTCATCGCTTTATAATGACTAATTGTCATCAACATAGCAGTAACGCGTCATTTGTTAAATTGTTGTGGATGTTGTTGCAAACTGGCTACTTTTTCGCCAATCGGCCTGAAACATCTCTTTTGAAGGCCGCTGACTTTATGCAATCACACAGAACAATCGGAGGTCGTCTGCCTCAGTTCATGCTTTCTGTTTTACTAGCACAATGGACTCGATAATTCCTCGTGTATTGTGCACACCAGGACCACAGGTAAGTGCATTACTGTATTAGCATTTGACTAGGCACTAGGCTCCAGTCATTTCCGGAGTAACAACTGACGACTGTAACACTTGTTGGTGCTAAAAAGGATTGTAAGGGCACGTTTTTCCCAAATGTTTCCCCAAGTCACCAAGTTGTTTCATGAAATTTGCATGTAAAATCTATCAGATGCTTGATTTATGGTAACCTTGTCTGATGTAACTAGGCTACTCTGTTTTAGAAAACTGACTGCTTATAAATAAGTAATATGGTGGAACGAAGGTGTTTGGAGTGCACCTGTATGCGTGTCAGTTTTTAATTCTAGTTCCTGACTAAAAAGTTTAATCAAATCAATCAATGTAATTGTCTCAGGAGTAGGTATTAGAATCACAAAAGCGCGAAGTAAAAAATTAATATTTTTGCTACAATTCTGCAAATTTATTGAAGAATTATTAGGATCACAGAAACGCAAAGAAGTGTTTGAGATTAAAGTATTTTTAAAATTTTTGCTAAAAATCTGCCTCTAATGGATAGTTTAAAATGTAATACCGACTCGTGTCAATAAATTAACTTTGACAAAATTCCTTTTGATATATTTTACAAAATGTTTGCTTTTCCCTTATTGAACAAACAGTCTAACATGAATTTGTACGGTACACATCGAGTTGAAACATGGATAACACAAATTACAAATTTTATTTTGATTAAAATTAAATTACCGACAATAAAATCTTTAACGCGATTTAATTATTTTTATTAAAGCAACAAATTATCGTTCACAACATTTAAGTAAAAATTTAAGACGCTTTAATCTTATTTGTTGTCAACGTAAATTCATTTTCGGCCAAATTACATTCTTAATTTAACAAAGAGCTTGCGACTAAGTCAGCTGGTAAGATGGATGATAGTCACGGTAAATGTATTATAACATCATTCTGATAATAATAATTAAGTAGTAAAACCATTAGACTCTTCGCAGTCATTTATGATTAGCATAAATTCTCGTGTCATCAAAGCGACTTTTTCGCACTTTCTGTTTCATTGATTTCGGTGTTTTGTCACCATTGGGAAGGATGGGAACGGCCAATACCGACGGTTCGTTACCCCACGGGGACGGGGCACAATTCTCATGGTAACTACCGACGCGTCTGTGGCATCGATCCAGACTTACAGGGCGTAGTCAGCTCCGGTCGACACAGCATATAAATGCATTTCCTCCCCAAGACACTTTACCTTTCTTCAACCTCCGAATGCTAACGACCGTTTCACAAAATTTTCACTTTGCTTACGCTTCAAAATTACTGATGAAAGGGTGAGATTTGAGGAAATGTTAACAAAATAGCCGACCGTTCCAAATTCCTTTTTTTGAAATTAAAAAAAATCACTCTATTTTGGTGAAAAAACTTTGCCAACTGCATAATTTCCTATTAGGCAGACTTAGATATTTGTAAATGTTAATGTTCGAAAATGTTAACAACTCGAAAATTAGGCGTGGAATTTGAGGCAATAGATCCCTGACTACTAAATTCGGCGATTGTGGTAGGGCGTACACGGAAATGCCGGTTAGTCACTGCGTCCACATCCGTTCGAGACAAGGAGTACGTGGTTAGGAAGCAGAAATGAAGTAGTCGTTTTATAATACAAATTTATTATGTTTTTTCATTTAGATACACAATATCCCTCGCGAATTATATCAGAAAAACTTTACAAAGCTACTTTCCGATTTTAAAAATTAAGAGGTAAAAATAAATGTCACTTACAATAAAAAGGACAATATGAGCATTTAACGCGTTACAACAATATTACAGCAGCGTGCAACGAGCGATTGGACACCCATGGCGCGGATGTAAAATGACTCGTTGCATGTTATTTTCTGATTGGTGTAACAGTCACAAGGAAGTAGAATACTGTCAAAACTGTTGTCTAATTCTAAAATTATCACAAATTTCAACGTTATGCTCCGTTCTTCAACCAAGTGTTGCAATAAACTAGTGCTGGATTTAGTTAGATTTTAGAGAGACCAGAAGAAAGACTAATTCACACCAATCAATATAGCACAAGATTACTGACATGAACAAGCAAGAACACAAACAAAATATTGCTGAAATCATCCTGGAAATTGCTACAAAATCAGGGAATACAAAAACCTTACCATGAAGACTTGGCATCTTATAGCTATTTTTGTGCTTTTTAGGGAAACAAAATGATCGTTTTCTCGCTTTTTTAAAGGGCAAAACACCACGAACGGGTAAAGTTTTCACATCCAATAATTTCATACACTATACGGTACAAAGCTTTCAGGTTGAAGGGTAAGAGGTAAGGAAATAATTAAAGAAGAGAACAGCGGGACTAGAGATTTTTTTATTAAAAAACCCTAACTGTAATTTCTCAGTATCAAATATTTAGAGATAGCAATGGTATAAGAAAAGCTAACACGAAATGCTTATTTTAAATAATTAAAAAATACTGACAGAGTTTTTCAAAAATACTCCGCATCGAAACGGAATATATCTGAGAAACCAAGTCCAACTTAAGAAAGTATCCTAAATATCCCTAAAAACAATGATCAGTATTTATTTGACCACAGTCTAAAAAATCATAAATAAATCAAAGTAGACTACCTTATAAGCACTGCATCGAAGCCAAAATTAAATAACTACAAAAAAATAACAAAAGGAACGTGTTGCTTTTTCACTGTTGTTTTCATCGAATGCTTATAAAATAACCTACATGAGAACAATGAAAATTAAAATCAATGATCGAAATTACTCTCGTATAATGAATCTTCAAAGGAAATCAACCGTTCCTATAGTGAATTGTAAGACTTATACTTAGACTTGTTGATGCACTCAAATATACACATTGCTGTTCGCTGTTAATGAAAAAAATACAACTTTTGTAATATTATAATAGTCGCCGCATGGCAATTGCTGTCTTGCAGCGGCCCACACTATCTGAAACAAACGCCCCAATCAATCTCATTCTCGAATAACGCTTTCAACAAAATTTAAACCAATCATTCCCTTAGGTAAATGCTCACCTCTAGTATCCGCAGGTAATTAAGTAATCACCTAGCTTTTCTACAACCGACGCCGCTTGTTGAGGCTGAATGGGATCTTCATAAAGGGATACTACAACGGCTGAAACAAAGGAAAACAATTATCCAAACTAATAGAAAGTTTTATGAAAATTCAGCTGTTTCATACAACAAAAAGACGAAAATTGTTCCTCGGTTCAATACGCGTCTCCATCGTATTGATTCCGCAACAAATGCAATAGTTATAAAAACTGATACAAGAAAAAAATAACTTCAATAAATTCTCTCTAAACCTGGAAACTTCACTGAAACTTAAATTAATCCCACGACACCAGGCTAATTTAAAATTAACAGCAAGTACGTTGAAATTCCCACTCCTTCAAAGCTTCAAAAAGTAATATGTAAAATCAAAATTGGCCGCAATTTTTTTTATTAATAACATTATGTATAAGTAATATCTCTCTATTAATAGTGAAAATTTCTTATATACCAATATTAAATAGTTTATTATCTAACGCATTTAACTTGTAACGTAGCCAAAAGTGCATGCAACAGTGTGCTAATAAAGAATTTACTATTCTAAAAATAAATAAAACGATTCTGCGACTGACGAGTGAAAATACAAATATCAGTCTACGAGTTGATCATCCAAAAAATAAAAATAAAATATTTTGCAATTAAGCAAGTTAATCAAATAGAATTCTTACAAACATCTAAAATAATCTCGAAACTTGTTGAACTAACGTAAAAGCTATAAGCAAAATTTGTAAGCAATCACTTTATTCTTTATTAGACACCTGTGGACCACACCCAATTTTCGAAATTCAAGCTTCACCGTTACGCCTAGAAAGTCTCACGATTTACAAAAAAATTTGTTTGTGGCTTGTTCTGCCCACATTTGAATATTCGATGATTTTCTGCAGTGTAACCTCGGAAAAAGTTTGTTCCGGAAAGTTGTGCGAAAAATAAATTTTTCTTAATAAATTTGAAGTCTGCAATATGAAAACTTATGCTCCAGAATTATTCCTACATAAAACATTGTCGATAAACTTTCGTTACGCATAAATAACACGCAAACCTTATTAAACTGTAAATGCTTTAATATCATTTTCTTAATGGTCACACTATCGCATCTTTGATTCATTTTCAAGAAACAAAAAATGTTCTATAGTTAAAATAACTTTAATTAATCTAGACGTATTAAATGTAAATTAAATGAAGTCACAAAGCTAAGACGGCCCCTCAAGCGGCACAAACGATTTACTGATGAAGTTGAGTGCCAGAATCTATTGTTCGAGGGTAGGTTTAAGTAATTCGGTTATTGGAAGTATATTTAACAATTAGTTCTCACTGTACTTTTAATGTAGAGTCTTTGCAAATCGTAAAAAAGTTTAACGTAACAAATAGTCGTTGCTAAGAAATCAAAAAATAAGACAACAGAGAGTTTTTGCAAACCGTTTAGTTTAACGTTAACCTTAACGACAACGTCATTTAATTGTCGTGTGTACGTCTTTCAATGGCAAAAGGCGTATTCCGTTAATTCAAAGACGTTTACGTAAACGTCTTATTTTTTGATTTCTTAGCAACGGCCATTTGTCGTAATCGTTAAACTTTTCTACGATTTGCAAAAACTGTCTACTGACTATTCAATTTAGCTCTCATTTTTCAAATATTAACCAATAAAATAACAAAAAATTACTTTCATATCTTAGCAACAGCAAACTCAAGCGAATATTCCACTCGTGAAAAATATAACTGGATATTCCACGAATGGTTGCAGTTAATGAATTTAAACTAACTCGATTATTTACCGGTTGCTATGAAAATAGAATCATGTATGCCATTTAGTTCATTGAATAGTCAATTAAAATACAAGGAGTAGTAAAAAATTGTCTAATGTTTTTATGAATGTTTGGAACTGTATGGTTGAAAATAATTTTAGGTGACGCACTAGATTAATATCTATCAATGTCAATACACTTTTTTAAATTTTATCATTTAAAGTGACCTTTAAAAAATGGACTTTTTCAATTCGCTGGGACAGCCTGTATGTAATTGCGAATACAATTTATTGGATAGAATATCTTTAACCTGAAATGTTAAAAATAATATTTTTCGTAACATACACACCAGCACCAAAACAACATATATTTTACATAAAATAAAACATCATAGCATTATATAATTATAGCCATTTTACGCCAAAAATCCGTGTATTGCACCCATGCTATTAGTTCCAGAAATCTTGACAGGCTTATTACACATAATTACATGGTTGACGCTAACTCAAATAACGGTGCTGACAAAATGTCATTTAAAGAATCCGGAACCGATTCGCTACTACTACTCTACCAAACTAAAACAAAAAAAATCTCATGTAAACTAGCATACACTAACCACTTAACTCAAAAAGATTGTAGACCATTAAAAATTCATAAACACGTCATTACTTTGTCGTTTAAGTCATCGCATCGTCATTAATAAATTACTCATTTACTTCTCCGAACCTATAGCATTTTTTAAGGAAATATTTGGAATGAGTACACACGAGTAGGCAAAAACTGGCACACCTTACTCGTATATTTTCCAGATGGTAGACTGACCCGTCAACGAAAATAATTCACCGCGTTTTCCTCCAACTCACCTTGTGTCGTCTTCATGCAATGGACTCCAACCTTTCCCAATTTGGCCCTAATAACGCGCTCCGTCCCGGAAAGATATATGTATCGGTTACCGGCTAAGGTGACACCGGACGACGTAAGAATATCTTGTTTTTCGAAACCTTGTACCAATTTGGCTAATTCTTCTTTTGAAACCTGCAACAGATGAAAATACAGATCGTTAAGTTTCTTGCTCTAGATTCGATCTCAAAAATAGTAAAAATTTCGCAATCACGCGGTGGGGTATTAAATCGTTAAATTTGAATTCAAACCGGCGCCTCGCAACATATGTCCACCGATATGAGTCACAAACACACGACACACCGTCGACTGCGTCATCGTCGTTCCCTTGGCTCAGTTACCGCAACTTTCCAACGTTTTCCATATAAGAGACAAATAAGACGTTTTTTTTTTTTATTTTGCTTGCGATAACATCTGGCAAACAGATAACAATAATGTCGCTTACTAAACAAAAATAGCAATTAAAAATGGGGCGGATGCTCAACCGGACTCTTCACGCAGATAGATGCAGGGATAAAAAACTCTGTGGTGAAAGAATCGTTCGAAAGGTCATGTAATTCAACCGACCTTTCTGGTCGTACGTAATACAATCATGACGATAAACACCGACAACCTCGTATAACAAGAATTAAATACCTCATTCTAACTGGAACAAACGCCATTTGTATATGAAATCAATTTCGTAAATGCATTTTGAATCCTGATACCTTTTACCCAAAACTAAAACTAATTCGTCGAATTAAAAAATTAAAATCAAATTCTTTTAAATAAAACTCAATAAGGACTATTAGAATATTTTACAGATCCACTGAAAAATTAACGTTGAGGATCATTTAGGTTATAGCTACTAGAATTAGATATTAGAACATTACTAAAAACACATTTTTAACTTTTTTTTTATTTCAAACTTACGTAAACAATCTTTCCAATAGAGATTTTTTAGATTTGAAAATGTATTTTTAATTTTGTTGTTAAATTGTTATTTTGGCAAGCAGTTTAAATACATATGGCCGATTAAGTCAACATTAAGGAAAGCATCAGGGACCTATAAAAGATTTTTCTAATTTTCACGTTTGTAATTTATTTTAAAAAAGGGTCAATTACACCTAATCTAAATATGTATGAATGTTGATGTAAATAAATTAAAATGGGAAAATAATATGCTTCAAATTGTTCAGAATATTAATAAAACTTGATCCGACGTTTGTTGCAAAATGCAAGTTTTAGTCCATCATTTTGATTGAATTAGTACAGCAACCTGAAGACCTTGACGCGAATCGTTCAACACGCGACATGAATAAATAATTTAAAAATAAAAAGAAACGATTTACTTTCAAAACAGCTTGACCAAAACGAAACCAATTAAAATCTAGTTATCCAAACGTTTTACGCTAGATGCACATGAGTGCAAGTAAGTTTATGAAAACTTGCATTCCACTTTCGCCAAGGAAAGTGCACGATTGTGAAATAATTCAAGTGATTTCGCTTTTCTAAATAAGATTTAATAATAAATAAGATGGTTTAATAATCAAAACTACATTATTCATTTATTTTCTGTTGTGAATGGAATGATTCGTGAAAGTGTAACTTATACGTCTTGTTGAATTATTTGTGAAGAGTGAGGACACAATAGAACTTGTCAACAAGTTAATAATAAATCATAGGGTCGTCAGATAGAATAGTTAAGTTAGATATATCTAACAACTATTTGTTTCTTTTGGAATTCCGTTTACACGGAAAAATTTCCGCACTAATATCCAAAAAATCGGAAAATAGCATTTCTTGCACTTTAGATGTTTTATCCAAAAAGACAAAAACATAATTTTTACAAAAAAAATAATTATAATTATCTACTTAAACTGGTTGTAATAACCCGTGCAAATCATAGTCATTAACAACATTAAAATGTCATTTTTATAGCTCGAGTTAATAAAGACAATAATTGAGTTTTAAACTTATTGAAGTTCAAATCTCTTGAGTTTCTATCAAAATACACATGTAACTTGTATGAGTCTCCGTCATCAACAAGACGCTAAGACTGATACGCCAATAAAACTAAAAAATGTCATAAGAAAACTTTTTACTATCTCCAGATAAATCACTTCATAATTTGATTCAACATTTTTATTAGAAAATGGTGACGTTATGAATATTTTATAAAATAAAAAAAAATAAAAAAATCAAGTCCCTTGCCTCCAACTTAAAAACGTGATTCTACTTTCCACTGGTCGCGAGAATGATTAAACCTATGCCATAATTTATACAGTATGTCCCCGGATTGAGTTTACAGAAGGAAAAAAAAATTATCTTTGAGTTTACGCCAAAACTGGAAATGAAAAACATTTTTGCTTTACCTTAAACGAACAAATCTGTAATTAAAACTTCATTATTCTAACTCAGTAGAAAGAAAACTTAATTTTTCTCTTTATTTTTGAATAATTTTTCTTTGCTTTTTAAGTCCTATCCCAATGGCGATTTTATTATTTTGACAATAATATCACTTTGACAAATAAGTTTACGCAAGTTAAATAACAAAAATGTTTGTGAAAAACATAATTTTAATAAATAGGAACTCAAAGAAACAGTTTTAAGATAAAAATGTTTTTCCTTTGCAGTTTTGCCGTAAAATCAAATATATTTTTTTTCTCTTGTAAACTCAATCCGGGGACATACTGTATAACTGACCTTAATATTTGGTGTATTAAACCCTGCATTGTATAAATAACTCCTACCTGTATATACGAGTAGTTCGCAATAATAAATGAAATGTCAACGACAAGGTTTAATAAACATAACTACCGATAATTTCATGTAACAAAATTCAAAACCAAAACAATGATTATATGTACTGTTACTTTAGCAGGCACTGATTCTCAAGCAATTAAATATTGGCGTTACATACAAAATATTGTAAAGCTTGTTGTAAACTTTGTTGGTAACAAACTTATTGCACGTGTTCTGCATTAATTAAACTAACAGGTAGTTAATCGTTTCTCTTTAGCATTTGTTATCTTTATTAATACAATAGTAGACAACTTCTTGACCGAACTCAATTGAAGCTGATTAAGTACTCGTATAAAACGAAAAGGTTGTAATTAGTAACTGCGGAGTGCAAACTCTTTTATCCATTTACTTTCCAGAGAGCAAATAAAACACAAACTTTGATTTTCACACTATGGATAGTGTTTTTTGTTGCGGGACTTGATTTGAATTTTACATAAACTTAAAACGAGTTTACATCCCCTCAGCTAACTAAAAAAAATATTATTTAATCCAAACCTGTCACGAGTCTCATGAATAAAAAACAAACATGTTAAAACTGCATAGGTAGCTAGTGGTTATAATGTACAACATTGTTGACGGGATGTTTATCTTATTTTAGTTATACTTCCGTTTAATTATGGATACACCACGAATTCCCTTGTCAGTCACATCCTGTTTTATAGTGATATCAACACCAGCAGCTATTGAACCTTCATTCTATTATTTCTTACGCCCTCCCATACAACAAAATCGAATCACAAATCAACATTTGTATAGTTTTTCAAATGTTATGAAACATAATACAACACATCCCTGTACCTTAAAGAATGTATTGTGATACTATCCATATTAATCTAACAGCAAAAGTTTGGTACTTGCAAAGCATGAAGTGCATTTGTAAGTAACATATGCTGTACAATAACCATAACAAAAAGCAAACAAATCATCGGTTACAATTAATATGTATTGTATTATCAAATGACAGTTATGACGTCATTTACTAATCTATTTTAATCGTGACGAATTAACGGTAAAAGACAGAAACATCATGTTGATAAGTGACAAACATGAGGGACAACTTTCAAATTATCAACACTAACCAGTTTAATGTTATGCATTGTGCATGTTTATTTTATTACACACTCTGATAATCGTCCAACAAACACAGACTACTGGTCGCCAGATCCTAACATTAGAAAAGTCATTATTGGATAAAAAGAATATCATACCGATCTTAGAATAAACTGTAGGTATTAAAAAAGCAACCAAAGTGTTAATAACTGACATCAGTAACCCCTTACTGCCATACATGATGACGAGGAGTTCAGAAATAACCAACAGCCATTGTACTTTGACCCCAAAGGTCTAATCAGCAATAACATTTTGTACCAATAACTCCTACAATTTGTACATAGACATACCCACCCCACTTGACACTTCAAACCGGTCGCGGCTTAAGTGGTGTAGATAGGTGTATTACTACCTATCGAGAGATCAAGATAATTTGTAATCGAGTCATCTTTGGTTTCGAAAACGTATGTCTGTTTTTGAACTAACTGCATGAGAAACGTCAAATAAAATAACAAGTCGAAAGGTAAAATGGGCTAGAATTAATCGCCGACGTATAATAACAAAACCGTTCATTTTTGAAGGTAAATCATAAATTTAGTTATTAAAATCATCATCTTTTCGATTTGTCATTTTATTTGATGTTTTACAGACATACGTTCTCGAATCCAAAGATGACTCGATTACAAATTATCTTGATCTCTCGATATTAGGCTTCAACAGTGAGCGGCAAAATTATGAAATAATTTTATTTATTAAAACTGAAAATATTTTGTTTTGACAAAAATGCTCGACAGGTCAATTTACTTTTAAAAAAACACAAAATTCTCAACTTGATTTAAAATTGTATGTTTGTTTTTTTTATTACTTCACTTTTTGGATATTTTTTTTCGTAATATTTAATATTTTGGTGTTGTCATTTCGACAATTAAAAGATCTATCGAATTGGCTAAAAAAATTAGAGGTTACCACTTAAAAAGAATGTCGATAACGTCATTACTCAAAAAACCAAAACGTGTAAAATGGTCATGAATGAACTATTAACTATTCATTCATAACACTATAAAGAACTTGAGTGGCAGCCAGACAGATACTTATTTCTATTTAGATTTATCCATTTGTGAAAATTAAAATTAGTAATAAAATCTTTATGTTTTTATTTCTTAATTGAAAATAAAATGGGTTGCGATAATCTTCGTTGCATGGACCGATAATCCGATATGATACTTGAATGATCTTGTCAATAAAATTAAAAAAAAATAAATTAGTAAGAGATAATTTATAGAATCTTAATCATACAGAAAGTATGACAGTATAACAATAGTTTGTGTTTTATAAATGAAGTAAAAACTAAAGCAGATCATAATAATGACGATGATGATAAAAGAGTGAACTTTTAACAGAGTTATTTATTGAAAAAGATCACGAATATGTGTACAAAACATTTAACAAACTAACAAATTCAGCAATAAATTAAATCCGGTAACATCTGAAACAAAAGCGTGCCTACATGATAATATGGAAATTGACTGTTTTTAAAAAATGGGTTTGAAAAAAATCTGCATTCATTTTTATGCTTAATTGAAAGTCTATCACCATTCGAGAATTGGCCCAACACTTTTGAATAAACCTTAAGGGTTCTGAGCTAGTAGTGAAAAATCTTTTACCTGTACACTAAAAATAATCGGACAAGTTTGATGGTTGAACAGAGAGGATTATTTATAACGGATGGAAAATTCAGCAGAGAGAATCGACATACATATTTTACACTACTGATAATTTTGCCGAGTATAACAAAACTTGCAGTTATCTTTGTACGTGACAATATGAAATACGGTGTCATGTGGACAATAAATTGTGATAAACACTGAAAGGAAACTAAACTAATACAACAGTTCCAAAGAGACTTTGAGAAAGTATCAACAGACAATGCAAAGTTTTTATAGGATGAGTCATGACGATCGAAGGGAGGAAATCAAAACAGGAAACTTTTATTGAATAATTCAATGATTTTTTTTCATTGCAAATGCAACATTCACAGATTTGTTTGCAGCGGCATCTCCGGAAGTTGCTTTTAAATTTTGAAAGTGTATAAATAAAAGATCGTTTAATTGTATCTAATGATGGCACGGTGTTCAAATTGGCGAAGCCTTGATAAACAGTCGGTCGAAGGTTAAGGCTACGATGGGAGCTCATTGACCGTCATCGTCGTCTGAATGTCGATCAATAAACGTGGTGCATGCAAAAGCCTATCCACCCCCTCGCGTAGGTCATTTATTCATCGACTGCCATGAATGGGGGAACGATTAATACTACAATATAGGCGCAACGGAACGGAAAAAATAATATTCACTGGCATCGAGCGTAAAGCGATAAAACGCCGTAATTAAGACGGCCCCCAATTAAGACTTTTTCCAACATAAACAAACCAAATCAATTCGGAACGCGAATTTCCAACTATGGATACTAGCCAAACTCTAACAAAGGTCTCAATGTCCCGTAAACTGGTTTCGTGGCGAATTCGATTCAAATTAATCCTCTTGTCGCAAGTGCAGTGTCCGTTTCTAAAAAAGGCGAACTCAATTTATTTTTACTATGCCGAATTCCTGGAGAAGGAGGAGCGCCACGATTCGCCCCCCCGAGGGGGCACTTTCTAGGCAAGGCTCTTCTATCAGCAGATAAAATGCCGGTAGCGACAAATACTGCGGTGGCCACTTATAATTTCTACACGTCGCATAAAACGGCGGCCATCTTGAATTTAGGCCGGCACTTTGAGAAATTTCTGCAAAATCCCGTTTTTTACACAAACCCATGGTTTTTCACGGTGTGGCACGAATAACCCGCTGAAACCCAGTCGCCCGAACCACGATCCCGCAGGATTTCCCTTCAAATGCAGCTAAAGTGGGACCAAGCCCTCTCGATCTTTTGTTCGGAAAAATCATCGTGGCCAAGTACCTTCCTCGTGGGGGGCCAAGTGATGAGATAAAATGTTGGCAACTTACGTCGAATCCTTCCGATTTGGCCCAAATATTTCCATCATGTCCTGCGATGGCGGCTTTTGTTACACATCTTGAAGCCAAGAGTTGCTTATCTACGTAATCCTGCCAGCTCATTTTGATTAAATATTATTAAATTATCACTCCACACACGAAGCAGACACTAATTTGCAACAAATACAGCAGTTGCCGCACAGCAATTTCAGCTAACTGAAGCCGAATAGTTGTCTGAACAAGATTGCAGTAACGGAAGTATCGGTTGACAACTGAGCAGCCGCAAAACAAATTATGCGTTGCCAACGTAACAAACAGAAAAGCGCGATATTCAAATTTATTTCCAATAAGAATAAAATACCGTAGAAGTGAGACCTGATGGATTGAATTAGAATTTTTATTGAACTGATAAAATACAAATAAAACAAAAATAAATGATATTCTTACAACTAGTTGTTACAAAATGTTTTTATGAAAGTTATTAAATGACATGCAGAAAATAATTTTTGTTACACTGGATTAGAAAATATCCTTTATTACGGTATCCAGTCTTAAAGTTACAATTAAAATAAATAAAAAAATATACCCTTATGGAAAAACTTCAGAAAAATCTTGTGTCAAGGATTATGGAAGTAATGGAAAGTTAGGTAAAGCAAAACCACTGATCAACTTATTAAAATGGAATAAAGATCTTTATTTTCCAAAATCCCACAGGTATTGTTGCTGCCTAGAAATAAGAACAAGTATAAGTTTAACGATCACCAAAAACAAGAAGCATTAATAAAATCATTTCAGGGTTTTGGTTCTTGGAGAGGTGTGTAATAAAACGTCGAAATTTTTATCATCACTTTTATTTGTTATAATACAAAAAAAAAGAAAATCTCCAAACATTAAACACAGATCAGTAAGGATATTTCCTTCTAATTCTTTTATATTTATAATAACCTTTCCAGAAGCCAACTAAACCCCTGTGGAGACGGCAGTACTGTCGGGAGTCGAGAAGACACCGATCAAAGACTAATTCCCAAAGGGAAAAAACGGGATACTCTGCAGCCCCCATACAGGAGCGCGTCTCCTTAATTATAAATACTAATTATCTAATATAATTTAAACTAAATCCTAATACAATTATAGGTTAAACCAATCAAAAGAGGAGGGAAAACGACAAATATTTATATATGTATATAAAATTGACACACTCAAAAAGTTTATATTTATTTAGATAGGCAGCACTGCGCTTGAATACGGCGCTGGCCTAAAGAGACGAATTGGCGCACAATATTCGCATTAAGTCGCAATCAGCACGGGCAGCTAATACTCACACCAAAAGAAACTCTAGGCAACGTCGGATCACAGCAACACCGCATTTATATCAGGTCGGCCACATTCATAGGCATTTCGTCGATTTTTGTATTATAAAACTGCTCAATGTCCTTGAGCGTACGTTTATCCTCTTCTGTCACAAAGTTTATGGCCACGCCCTTACGACCGAAACGACCACCACGACCAATCCTGCAAAAAATAATATATATAACGATTAGAAGAATCAGTTTTTCAATAAATGTTCTAGACAAATTAATAAAATATGCCAATACTACAATAAACAAACACATCTTTATTTATAGTTAGCTATTAAAATGATTGAAATTTAATGTTTACTTAATGATCAATCTATTCCTAGACGTCTTTAAAGCGACATTTTACATAAACACATATTTTACGATTACCAAAATCAGTGTCTCTACTAATCTATTTAAAAATAAATTTTATATGTCTTACCAATTAGACATAGGATTAGTTTATTTATTAAGTGTATAAAATGCCATACCTATGAATGTAGTTTTCCCTGTTTGAAGGCAAATCGTAGTTAATAACTAGTGAAACTTGTTGAACGTCAATCCCTCTGGCAAGCAGATCCGTCGTAATTAAAACCCTAGACGATCCTGTCCTAAACTGACGCATAATGACGTCACGTTCTCTTTGTTCCATATCACCGTGCATAGCAGACACCGTGAAATCTCTTTTGTGCATATTTTCGGTAAGCCAATCGACCTTACGACGGGTATTGCAAAAGATAACAGCTTGAGTGATGGACAGAGTGTCATATAAATCGCATAATGTTTCCAATTTCCAGTCCTCTCTTTCAACATACACGAAGAATTGCTTGATACCTTCTAGGGTTAGTTCTTCCTTTTTCACAAGGATACGAACGGGGTTACGCATAAACGATTTTGTTACGTCCAACACGTCAGCAGGCATCGTGGCCGAGAGCAAAATAACCTAAAAAAAGAACATTTTTTATAATAATTTGTAGAATACATGAAAATAAAACAAAGGTGAGACGCAAATGATCAATAATCAGAACTTTTTGTTCATAAAACCATAACTAAATTAGAATATTTTTAAAACAATTAACAACTGTTAATTAGACCTTTCTAGAAGTGCTTTTTAAGACCACTACATAATGTCAATTTTAATTATTTAGCATAATCACAAAAAATATTGAAATAAAAAAATATATACAGGGCGATTCAGATAAGATAATGAGCCTGACGATCTGGCGATGCAACCCAAAAACAAATTCCATTTACGCCAATTTAAATTAGGACTTGCAAGTTGAATCCAAGTTATCATCGTATGTCACTCTGACATCAGTGCAGAGAACGATCATTGTTGTCATTCAGTTCTCGCGGAATGATAGACATTAGAGAAGTCTTTTCGGTGTAAACGCAATACAAAATGTAAGAAAGAATTAAACATTAAAGGTAGGCAAACAGTTTTTTTATAAATCATAAATTGCACTGTCAGAGCAACATAAGATAACTTGGATTGCAAATGCAAATCGTAAATAAAATTAGATCAAAACATAAATGAAATTTGTTTTTTGGGTTGTATCGCCAGAACGTCGGGGTCATTATCTTATCTGAATCACCCTGTATTTTATTAATACAACTTCACTCATGACTTTTCAAAATGATCTAACTTCAGAATTAAGGCGTGTATTATAAATCAATACTGACAAATTAAAGCAGGTTAAGGTCAAGAGTTACATTTTATAACAAGTGTTATTTAGAGAAAGATAAAAATTATGCAAAAAAATACACAAATTTTATATAAAACATTTGTATTTTTGTGTTTAAATAAGTGTACAAAAACTCTTACTTGGTGATTCTTTTAAGCAATAGAAAAAAACAAATCTTTATTCTTTGGTTTTTGCTAAATCAATTTTACAACTTGGTAAAGAATACGAAAATGCCAATACTTTGATTCATATTATATATTCTTCTCATATACATAAGTAAATTTACGCAATCTGATTATTTTATGTTATCAAAAATGCTTATCAAACAAGTCAAATCTGTGTAAAAATCAAAGGTTAAAAATTGTGAGGTAGATTTACATAAAAATCCTTGTTCTTCACATTCATTTGTGCAGCAATTTTCTTACCTAGATTTCTTGAGCACTTGCAAAAACTATTTGAGTGTCACATGACTTTGCAGTAAAAAGTATGAACTTACTTGAAATTTCAAATTGATAAAAAATACACATTGGGTCGTGTCAGGAAAATATAAAAATTTCCGAAAATAATGTATCTTTGTTGTAAATATGGTTATTCATAAATTACCTGAACGTCTGAGTTGAGCATTCTGAAGACATCGTGTATTTGATCCTTGAAACCGCGAGACAACATCTCGTCAGCTTCATCCAGAACAAACATCTTGATGAAATTGGCCCGCAACGACCTTCGGTTGATCATATCGTAGACCCGTCCTGGTGTCCCGACGACGACGTGAACACCAGTCTCAAGTTTCCTCATATCTTCCCTAACGTTGGTACCCCCGATGCAAGCGTGGCATTGGGCGCTCATGAAATCGCCGAGAGCGATGACAACCTTTTGAATTTGTTGTGCTAATTCGCGCGTTGGCGCTAAAATCAACGCCTGACATTCTCTAAGTGAAGTGTCTATCTGCTGAAGAATTGATATCGAAAAAGTGGCGGTTTTGCCGGTACCGGATTGCGCCTGCGCAATGACATCATGGCCCTTAACACATGGTATGATGGCCCTTTGCTGGATGGCCGAAGGTTTTTCAAAACCGTAAGCGTAAATGCCTCGGAGTAGCTCTTCCTTCAGGTTCATATCATCGAAGTTGTCGACGACTTCGTCCCAGTTGGAGTCGATGATGCCGTCGGGGTCCATGCCCGGGGGGCCGTCGTACGCCTGAGATTCCTTGTCGGAAGCGGGACCATTTTTGTCCCATTCTTCATTTCTAAAACCACCAAGAATGTAATATGAGTAACCTTCAATTGAAGGTAAGACGAGTGTAACATATGTTCGAGTATGGGGGGCTTCCGCGGACCCATTATATAACCCACATGGTTTCTTCACGTGGAAGGTGAGAAAAGGGGCACATGGCGGCGACGCCTCTCGGCCACATGGACGCTTCGGCCCGCGGCTGAATCTATTTTTGGTACAGATTCAATCGCGTCACGCCACTTCCTGAAGCGAATCTCGACAGCCGCAATATTTAAAAAGTGCTGCAAGATATCTATGCGCCATGTTGGCATGAGGACGGTGTGAGTTCACGCCGAAAAATTCCACGAAAAGTGACTAAAGTACACGCCTTAGAAACACCCGGACACCAACGAATTGTTAAATACATTCACGGCGACGTTGTAACTTATATTTTGACATAAAACAAGACCTAATTATTGTCAAAAAACAAAACTTACCTTCTATCGTTCACTGACATGATTCACTCGCGTTGAGTTATAAACGGAAAGACTGCTGCTGCTAGATGCAAGGTGTTATTTTCCTACGCCAAGGTAAATCGCAATCGGAGCTTTCCAGAAACTACTTACAAACTATTTTAGTTCGTTTATACCACGAAATGGAGTCCTGTTTGAGAATTATTTGCTTTCTGACTCTTGTGCGAGTCAAAATATCCGCGAAACTTTCGCAAATACCTCGTGCAATTTTTTACTGCGGAGGGAGATGGTCGTTGTACCGTTCTCCCACGTCGGAAGTGCCCTCACTGTCAAATCGCAGCGCGAAAATTTAAAAGTTTACTTGACGTTTACACTGCGAATTTTGTCATTTTAGTGTTGAAATATGTCAAAGGACACTAAAGACAAACAAAAGACATTCTTTACATTTAATTAGAAAATATTAATTTCAAGAAATACAAAAATTCAATGACACGTTGAAAAAATGAATAAAATGGGGGTGTGGCGCTTCAAGGTGCGTTTCCCGCGCATTGGGAATGTTGATAAAAAAACTACAAGAACCCATAAATCAACCTTTTGCAGATAGCTACTAAGAAACTTTAACAAATATTTTTTTTTTCGGTTGCGGTCATGGGATTCAGTGACAAAACAAACTGATTATGAAGTTTATTCTATATTGGATTTGTTAATTTTAACATGCCGTTAAAACTCATTCAAGTGAATTCTATTGATTTTAACTAATAACATGTTTAAAAAAAAACATTATACCTATACTTACCGTAAGTTTACCTCAAAAGTTTATTTCATTTCAATCACCAATTTTTCGAGATTTCTCAATCTCAATATTACTAATAATCGCATATTGTTATATAAAAAGGTCCATTATACCATAACATACAACATTTATTCAGTCCTTAGAGTTAAAAACAGTTCTTGGTATTTTTACAAATGTAATAATAGGTACAACAAAAAAAGTACAAGCTCAGAATATTTGATGTATATGACACAAGAAATTTCTTGTTAGATTAGTATTTGTGATGTGGAACCAAAACTTAGTACTTAAATCTAAAAAATAAAAGACTTTTTGTACAATAACATATTTCAGAATAAACATTGGTACAAATTCATATGATGAAAAAATAGGTGGATAATTGACACATTTATAATGTGTTTAGATCAAAATTTACAAATAACATAAGAAATTTACAACTATATAGACGCAGTTAGCGTACAAAATGTATTTTGTATTGTATTTGATTATAAAAATTTGTCAACATTACTTAAATTTTTATAAAACATCTATCCTGAAACACTTTCAAACAAAAAAAACTTATCTATAAATAACCTAAGATGTATTATAAGCGTCGACATACATGGAATTAAGAAATTGACTATTTAGTCCAAGAATATTAAGAAAACAGTGACGAAACTCTCTTTTCAAAAATAGAGAGTCTGTTTGCAACAGAGATTCCTTGTTAAATGTGTGATTAGTTACAAAGTGTCGCTAAAAAAATAATCATATAAATCTTCTCAAACATTCATGCAAAAATGTTGCAAACATCGAATCGATAAAAATTTAGCATCCAAAAATTTATTAAAAATATTACTTTTTCTAGGAATCCTGGACTAACGAGGCAATAACAATAACTAATTGTAGCTCATCGGTCACAACAACAATTTAACAACAAGAAATTGAACAAAATAAATATTGTGACTTTGAGTCAAATAATTTTTTCGTAAATATTAATAACAAAATATTTTCTGCTGGTATTCTTAGATCTAAATATTTCCATGCTAATTATTTTTATAACCGTATCTCAAAATATATGCTTAAGATTACAATATCACAATTTTTCATAGAAAATAAAATGGAACACTATAAAAATGCACACCCTAGAATTAAAAAGAGAACAGTAATTGGAAAAATCATATATACGCTCATTCTAGGATGACAAGTACTGACTAACAACGTAAAATCGTCACCTTCGTGTTCAATCCCGTCACGTGTAGGCACCTCGACGATCACGGTTTCGTCAGCTAAAAATGACACGGGAAAATTACACTCGGTTTGATTGATACAGTCATTTCCCTTTGAGGAATTCGCAAACCAGTAAGTTGGTTTATAAATATCAAAAATAGCATGAATATCGTTCCAATAAATATCATTATCTGAGTAAAAAATGTAATAGTAGTATCCGTCAGTTGCCACCTCATGAAGGGTCATCATGTGGTTACTTTTCTCCAAATATTGAACGTTATTACAGTAATGGCTAGGGGGAAATCCCTGTGTTAGTAGAATCTGGCCGTCGTAACACGTGAGCAAATCTGTCTCAAAACTCGAGACACTGCTGTCGTCAGAATACAATCCACTGGTGTTTAATGCATTTCCTCCGTGGGCTATATGTGCGTCCAGTTCTGCAATGTCGCGTTTAGGTCTAGTTTCACTATCCTCGTCTTCAAGTAACAGTTTTTTCAGAGATTTCCGTCTGGCGTGTCTTTTGTGATGTTTTAAGGTACTTTCAGCAGTCTTATTTATAGCTAAACTAGAATTTTGGGAAACCTTCTTGTCTCTACCTTTGTTCAGTCGCTTTTTCACAAAGGTATCTACACTTTCCCCATTCAAATCCTCAGCAGCTGTATTCTTGTCAACTTTATGATTATCAACAACTTCAATAACTTCAGCTGCATTCTCAAAAGTCACTTTAACTTGATTATGCTCCTCGTCCATTTTGGCCCCATATTTCTTGTAGTTGTGTTGTAAAAGTCCACAAGTCTTTAAATTCTTCTCCCCTCGTACAACCAAAATTCGTGAACCTTCATACCGGGAGCAAACGCGAAGCTTCACAATGGCTCCTTTTAAAAGAAAGAATCCCCAATATTCAAGAGTGTCATCAGGCAACCTCATTGATTTCTTCAGCCTAATATGTTTACGTTTGTGGCTTCGTTTCAGTTTACCAGTTAGTTGAAAAGCGTTAAATGTTGTATTCATTTTGAGAGTATGGGCGCTACAAAATATTGAAGACATTCCATCCTCAATTGCCACCACGTCTGATTCAGCCACGGGGTATGTCACATCAGCAAAAACACTATGTCTCAAATAAAGTGGAACTATTATCAAAATTGCGGGGAGCACAGCTGTTAGCAAGAAAAACGCTATCACTCGTTTGGCCCCATGAATCTCCCCCATTTCTGCAAAGACAACTATATTAGTAATAACAAACATATGACTCGCATAATGTAACCTTATAGCATTAAAGTAGCAGTGTTTATGATGATAATACATAAAATGGTTAGCACCCATTAGAATTCCTCAGCTAAATAACTTTTCAAATTTACAATTAGCAAAAAACACTTGCAAGTTCATTTACGACTTATCATTATTTATTTTGAGTGATCAAACTTAGCATGATTTTAATTGATTTCCCAAGTTTTTATTTACATTTACGAATCAGCTGTCATTTGTCATTTCAATTAGGGGTAGGGAAAAAACGTGCGTTTAACGCGGGAATTTTAAATTTTGAGTACTTTGAAGTGTTGTTACAAATTACATTTTTGAGTGGAAAAAAAAGGGATATACTTACTGTGTATTTGGGTGAGTGAACTGTATTTGTAGACTTTGTAATAAGACACGTGGCTAATTCGGCTTCCATTTTCAATGGTTGGTTTGTCCATTTTTGCCAGTATTTTACAGAACACTACCGATGAAAATGTTGATGTTTTGCACTCGACAAACCGTTTAATTATTAATTATCACGTAAACTGTTTACATTTTCAATCAAATTTGTTACCCAAGGAGATTTAAATAACACAAAACTTAAATTGGAATATTGGAGTTGGTCATATTTGTAGTAATTCTTTCCAAATAATGAGGCTTAGTTGATTGATCTTTGTTATCAAAGTTACAGTAAACGAGGAATATTAAAAACGATTCCACAACATTACAGATAATACCTAACGTTTGTTATATTTAGACAATCACGAAAAAAGCAGCTAACAGCTAACTTATTTAGAGGTACCTATTCATTTTTTTTATGTATTAAGCACTTGTTCAGAATAATCTTGTTAAATAATGGTGATACGCATCTTTAAGATAAATAAAAGTACTTAACTGAAAATGGATGAAGGGGTAAAATTAAGGGGGATTTGTAAAAGTACATAAGAAAACATGTTATTTGGAAAATTTATAGTGACATAAAGTTTTATCGCTGCATTTGTAGACACATTTTTAATAAATATTTATTTTAAAATTTTTGTGATTGTTGTGACGCACGACTTCCAGCGCCTTGTGAACATTGAATATCTGTTTTTTTAACTTAAATTTGCAGTTTGATAAGATTAGAATTAAAAACACTTGTCGCGACCGTGTACTTTGATTCGAGGAATCCTATAATTTGTCTTTATATTATAGATATTTATTCATATTATAACAATTAATGTACCACATGAATATTGTAAATATTAAGTGCAACGAATTAATATTAGAAAATCCTTATTATTTCTTTTGATACTTTATTGCGATAATAATTCTTAGTGAATATTGTTGGATAAAAGTATTTATCAAAGAGATAAAAATAAATCCCTAATAAGAACTTTCTACAAATCCCCCTCACTCATTTAAATTTTTACCTAAGCAGAAAAAATATGTGAGATGAACCTGACAAACAACCCTATTTATCTGTTTTTTCTTATGATCCTGATGATTAAGATGGATGGCAAAATACCTGACAGCGCTAGAAAAAGATTTTTTGTGTGTACAGTTGGAGACAAAATACTTTGGTCGTCAATGTCACTTGAGTGACATTAAATTGTAAAGCATGCTTTAGGACTGTTAACCTTATTTTTAGCTACTGTCAATCATAGTTGACAACTTGTATGTATGTTGTACTTACATATTTTTGATAGAAAAATATAATAACTGTCATTAATTTTAACGTTAAAGCTTCAATTACATTAAAGTGACGACCAAAGTATTTTGTCTGCAATTGTACAGTTGCGGAATTAAAGTTTCGGGTAGTATTGTCATTTTTATAATGTAAACTCTAAGCAACCTTTACATTAATAACCTAATTTTTTACTCTTGTCATGTTTATGTCATTTTGACTTATTTACTTTCAAAAATAGTGATTTGTAGCATCATAACAGGCAGGCGGCAGATCAAAGCGATGATTTAATTACATTTAGTTCAATTAAGAAATTTCCTAAGGCAGACAAATTGTTTAATTAACAATTTTAACAACAAAAAAAAAGTTTAATTGTCAAATCTCAGTCATGATGACAGTAAAGGGTAGTTTACAATGAATTTTTTAAAGTGACAGAAAAATACAGCCTGAAATTTTAATTCCGTAACTACACCTTCTTATGATTTCAAAAATTCATATGAGCACCATCAGCGGCAATGCAACGACGGTACAGTGGGAGACATGGAAAACTGGGCAGATGTGTCATTCAGTTGTCAAAATTTCTAAACTATACCTTAGGTACTCATAACCAAGCTTTTAATGTTTGTCTCCATTTCTGCACGATCAAATTCACCGTGCTTTTTGGAATCCCCAAAGTCACTTGCAGCTGGCATTTTCCAAAAATTGATATACCTATGTCAAAGTTAATTTGACAGTTTTTTTTAATACCAATCATAATGACGGTAAAGGTGCATATACAATGACATTTTTTGAAATGACAATAAAAGACTGCCCAAGATTCCGTGTCCTCAACTGTACCTAATAATATTGCTTGTTTATTCAGTGTAATTACCAAGTAAAATTATATTTCGTATCTACAAGATCTTGAATAAAAGGGACCTCAAATTAATTTGAAACCTCAGTAATAAGTAAAAATAAAATAATTTATATTTTCCACATATTGTTTTTTAGTGGAATAGGTGTACTTATTTAGCTAAACATTTTTTATTATAATCACATTCTATTAGAAACACATAATAAGGTAAAGATAAAAAAATAAATATAACAAAAAATCACACTTTTAAATTTCCCGGTATATTTATAAACCAGCAGTGTCAACCAATCGTGCAACATGCGCAACTTTTTTTGTAGTTTGAGGTTATGTTTAATTGGGGCTCATGAATTACGTCAATCAATTAATTAATTATAAATCGTACACAATTATTAAGTTTTTGAAATATTAAAAAAAATGAGTAAAACTAAAAAGTGGCTTCATGTGTGTAGAGCATGCCTCACATCAAGCAATGACATTTTTCCAATTTTTGAACCCTTAGAAGAGTTTAATATCACTGCAGCCTCGATGCTGCATAATCTATCACTTGAGGTTTGAAAACCGTGGGAATAACACTTTACACAAATTTAAATTTTAGATAAGTGACAAAGAAGATTTACCAAGGAATTTGTGTCGTTCATGTTATACAAAGTTACAAGTAGGAAGCGATTTTGTAGAAACATTTAAAAATTCGCAAAAAATCTTGCGAAACAGTCTGAATAATTATGCTGAAAGAAATGTTATTTTTAAGGATGATTTTGAAAGCACTGTGGACAAAAACCAATCTTTTGACCTGTTAAGTGAAGGCAATCCGTTTGACAGGGATACTGAAAGTTTTATTATTGAATGTGAGAACAGTGATAAAAAAAGCAGTTCATGTGATTCAGATGACCAAGATTATTTAATAAAACGATCGGTAGAACTTTCCCAACAGTACAAAATAAACAAATGGAATGGTAATGATAGTGATTCTGATGATGATTCTAGAGAGAGTGAAACAGTTGAATTTGAACAAGCAACAAAGTCAGTTGAAAAGGAAAAACCTTGTTTTGAAAATACAGTTTTGAGTTGTCCAGTTTGCCTAAAAAAATTTAGGAGATTTACTTTGTTCAGTTCACACATGCATCAACATAGTTGCCAAATAAACTGTGAACTGTGTTCACTTGAGTTTAACGATCCAGGTGTATACTTAAATCATTATCAGACTAAACACAGATATCAATGCAACATTTGTCAAAAATCGTTTCTTACAAGGAGTTCCTACAACAAACATAAATATACACACAGTAACGCATCACCAAGATTTATTTGTCCGGTCTTAAACTGTCCAAAGATGTTTAACAGAAAGCAGTCTTTGCACAACCACATTGCATCAATACACAGTGAAAAAAGAAACTTCTTGTGTAATATTTGTGGTGCCTCTTTTAAAAATCGTGATAACTTAAGATATCACATGAAAAAACACACAGGAGCTCCTCATTTGTGTACCTACTGCGGAAGGACATTTATGCAAGCTGGTCATCTGAAGTATCATATGTGGAGACATACAGGAGAAAAGCCTTACAAGTGTAATAAATGTCACAAAGGTTTTGTTTCCAAGTGGGTGTTAACAATGCATGTGAAGAAGAACTGTGGACAAGGAAGAAAGTAGAAGGATGCCTTAAGATCAATAATTTTTTTTATAAAAAAAAGTAGTTTCAACTTAATTTAATGTGTTTTGAATACACATTTACATGACTATAAATTATTGAAAATATATTAATTTGTTATTCTAAGATTACCAATTTAGATAAAATAGCACAAATATTAAGAGTATCTAGGTCAAGCTACAGTAGCAAGAGCCAGAATCTGATGGATGATCCTTATTATCTACCTGGAAGTTTCCATTCAAAGCAAATGATTCCCAAAGTCCTGGAGTTTGTATGATCTAAAATTGCAAATAACATAATTATTTGTTTTGTGGTGGTTATACCATACTTTATGCACTAATTCCTCAAAAGCACATTGTACCCCATCTCTAGTTTTAGCACTTGCTTCAATGTATAGTGTTTGATGTTTCCTGGCAAATTTCATCGCTTCTTCTCTATTTACTTCCCGATTTTCCTGCAAGTCACTATTATACACAACATGAACCTTGAAATTCTTTGTTTACTTTATCAATTTTATTTCCCACAATCATTTTCACTATATTTGCCTTTGTTGAGTATGTTTCTAATTCGCTCAACCATGTTTCCAATTTTGCAAATGTGGAATAGTTGGTGACATCATAAACTAAAATAGCTCCTTGTGCATCGCGGTAATATGATGGTGTTAATGTTCGAAATCTCTCTTGACCAGCTGTGTCCCATATTGCTAGCTTTACGGTGTTGCCATCGACTGTGAGTTTCTTGGTTTTAAAATCTACCCCAATTGTTAAAGTTTGATCAGGATCAAAGTTGTCCTCAGTAAAGCGAACTAAAATACTAAAGAGATGTGAGTAATTATCCCAAATAGTTGGTTTTTGTTTTACCTAGATTTTCCAACACCACTCTCTCCAATTATGAGGATTTTTAAAGTCGTCAACACCTCTTCGTCCATTACTAATCAACAATGTGAATTACGCGTAGTTATGAAATTAAATGAAAAAACTTCTAAAATTTTCTTGGTTCTACAAGTAATGTAATTCTTCTACGTTAAGTTGCACTGAATTTTGGCGACAATAATGTATAATTTTACGATTAAAAAAATTAAACAACTTTAATGATTCTACTTATACAAATAAAATTACACTTTGACAATTACTTGACATTGACATGTTTACAACAGTAAAACAGATTTCTGCATTATCGATAATTGGTAAAAAATTGATGTTAATTCAAACAGAAATTTTCACATAATTATATCGAAATCGAAAACTTCTTAAGATAATACACCGAAACATTCTTTCTGCAAAATCTTCATGTTGTGTGAGGTCAACAAGTATGACCAATGTGGGGGTAATTTGAAAAAGATGAGCGATTACAGAAACCTTTTTTATTCACTTAAAGTACAGTTAAAAAGCCCTTATTTCTAGTTACTTATCAAACCTAAATAATCGTCCATCAGTGTGCCAATTGCAAACTAAAACAGAAATAATAAAAAATAAGAACAGAATATAACTTTTGTATTACTATTCCAGTGGCATCCACACGTGTGCCGACAATTTTCAATCTAATTTCTCCTTCTGCGTGGATAACAACATCTTCATCTTTGGTTTTGTAACACTGAGGATTTACATTGGGACAAAATTCCATTTCTGCTGGTATGGACTTAAAAATATTATCATTACAATATTATTGTCACAGTCTAAAGGAAAACTTACATGATGTGAAATGAAGCATGATAAAGGTCCAATTTCTGCAAACATTCCCACCTAGAAATAACACATTGTAAGAAAAAGAAATAAAAACACGCAGCATCTACTTTATTAACTTGCCGGACAACAGCATCAAGTACTTCCCCTTTAAATGGTCTGAAGACTATAGCTTTATACTTTACTGGATATACTACATATCCCTGCCCAGGCAAAATAAGTCCAGCCCCTATGCTATCTATTGTTGTGACAGCAATTACAAAACCATACCTAAAATCAAATTTTGAAAACAAATATTTTTAAACAAGTGTGAAAACATACTTTCCCGTACAAGTCCCTTCAACTTCCGTATATAATTTAGTTTTCACCTTTTCAAGTAGCTGTGGGCCAAAGTACTGCGGATGTAATAAAATTTCATGCTCCAAAGAAATCTACAAAATACAATGTTTAAAACATAATAGGTTTATTTGATTGTAATTCTACATGATAAAACATTTTTTTAAACACAAAAATACAGCTCCGAGTTTTTGCCGCACAAATTTCAGGTTATGTTCTTATTCTATGGTTATGTTTTTGTTGACAGTTGAATACCAACCTTAATACCAATTTTTACACAATAATGGTGTATTTAATTAAAAAAAAATTGTTCTACAGGGAAGAAAATAAATATTTGGTTATTTCTATTGGAATTCTGTATTATGTTTAATTATAATTTTATTTTTAAATTGGCATTTTGTGTGAATAAAATTCTTCTCTAGTTATATTTTATAACTGCAGGTTGGTGAAACTAAGTACTTGGAAAAATATTGTTTTTTTGATTAGCAAAAGTTAGGTTGAGTTAGTTGAAGAAGATGTCTCGAAAACGCGATATTTCGGTAATTATATCGAAAAAAACGGGCAAAATAGCGCTTAATATATTTCATTTTCAGCGCGAGGAGATCGCTAAACAGTTTCTTTTGCCGGAGCGTCAATCTAAAATCGACACTCTCCTAAAGCAGGATGGTCAAGCTTATTGCATTTGTCGCTCCTCTGACAGCTCCCGTTTCATGATTGCATGCGACGCATGTGAAGAATGGTAAAACAGCCCCGTTGCATCTAAATCCATTGTTTAACATGTTCATTTAGGTACCACGGTGACTGCATGAACATCTCCGAAAAGGAGGCTAAAATGATCAAACAATACATATGCATCCGCTGTTCAGAAGAAGATTCGACTTTGCAGACCCGTTGGAGGACCAAACGAGACGAAATCGGTGGTGCCAACACCAATGCCGATGAACGAAAAGCTCGCAAACGCAAGGAACGCGGTGATACTAAAAACGACAAAAAATTGAAAAAATGCGGAGATTGTATGGGGTGTTACCGGACGGAGGACTGTGGGCGGTGCGACGTGTGCACGAGGCGGAGTCGTCACGGATCCCCGCGTAACAAGGAGCGGTGCAAGCAACGGATTTGTATAAATTACGGCGGGTAGGGTAGCCACGGCTTTTATACTAGATTCTTAACCGAACAGTTTACAGGGGGAGGCGCAAAAGGCGTGACTCGAGCTCGGATAGAGAAGGTCCGCCTAACGCCCATCTCATGACCGATTATCCGCGCCAATGCTACGGCCCCACGTGTACCAACAGCGCCCGGTACGGCTCGAAGTACTGCTCCGACGAGTGCGGTCTAAAGTTGGCAACCAATCGGATTTTGCAAGTGTTGCCACAACGCATCCAAGAGTGGGCCCTAAGTCCCTGCTCTGCTGAAGAGTCCAACATCAAAGCTCTTGACCAAGTCAGGAAGCAACAATTCGAAGTTAAGCAGATTTTGCAAGAGTTGGACAGCCGTCATCGCGAATTGGATGCCATTATAGAGCGCGCTAAGAGCGCCACTATTGACCCCAATGCCGATTTCGACAACGACGAAGAGTCAGAGGTGTCGACGATGTATTGTATAACTTGCGGCCTTGAAATCCATTCAAAAACGGCCATCAAACACATGGAAAAGTGTTTTAACAAGTACGAGTCTCAAGCGAGTTTCGGAAGTATTTTTAAAACCCGAATTGAAGGAAATAACATGTTTTGCGATTTTTATAATCCCGCTAATCGGACTTATTGTAAAAGATTAAGGGTTTTGTGTCCAGAGCACTGTAAAGATCCGAAAATCGGTGATCATGAAGTTTGCGGATGTCCACTAGTCACCAACGTTTTCGATTTGACGGGAGAGTTTTGTCGAGCACCGAAGAAATCATGCGTTAAGCATCACGTTTGGGAGAAGTTGAGACGGGCCGAGGTGAGAAAAATTCAATTTTCTTTAATAAAACCTTATACCTTTTTGCGTGACGATAAGTTAAGAAGTTTTACCAGTGCATAAAAAATTGTATAAAAACAGATAAAGATGTTGACGTCGGCCATTTTTCTTTAAAATTTGTTTAAATTTCAGATCGACTTGGAGCGGGTGCGTCAGTGGTTAAAAATGGACGAACTTTTGGAAAAAGAGCGCCAAATTCGTAACAGCATGGCCTCTAGAGCCGGAGTCCTCTCTCTAATGCTCCACTCGACCTATAATCATGAAGTCATGGAACAAATAACAAAAGCGAGTCAACAGGACCAGAATGCCATGCAAAGAGAGTTGGCTAAGAGATTCCGCACGTCGAGTAAACCACGTTTCACGTAAAATTTTTATTTAAGAAGTGTACATTGTTATCGTTTGCTTGACTTCGGCAATACAGTTTGTTTGATCTCATCCAGAAGTTGTTTTCTCTTTTCTGCCTCGGCCTTCACCCGGTTTATTGCGATTTGAGCTCCGGCATGTCCTGTATTCAGCAAACTTTTAATAAACGTAAAAATGGCGTCAGAATTATCCCTAAAACAACACAGAATCAGTACTAGAAAAGCCATGGATTTTACACACTTTTTGGCAACTGGAGGCCCGGACTCGCTGTCTAGTGTTGTTTCCGGCAAGGCTAGCGCCGAAAAGTTCGCAAAAATGATCACGAAAATAAAAAGAGTGACACAAAACATGATCGATTTATAACAAACTGTTTCGGCTGATTGAGCGTTTTTATATTATGAAGGGTTTGTGTAATCGAGGAAGTGATGATGGAACATTTTTACCGGTGGAAACACGGTGAGTTCGTCGATTTTATCGGTGTTACCTTGCAAATGTCAAGGTTTTGCGGCGTTCTCCCGGAGGTGATTTAGATTGTTTTTACTTTTGATCGCTGAGCCGTATGCACCGATTTCATGTTCTAGACTTCATGAAAAAGCGGATGCATTACATTTTTTATTTTTTTTTTATTCAGAATATTTTGAAGTATGTAGTTCTTAATTTATTATTTTATTTATTGAATATATTTTTTGTTGTTCTCTTTTGAAATTAGAAATTATTAAAAAATACCTTTGAATGAAAGTGGTTTAACCTGTGATCAATTTTAATCAGATTAAATAAGCACAGCGTCAGATTTTTCATCAGCCACCCAGAATGTCAGGAAAAAGTAAACACTGGTTAACTAAAATTATTTTTATTCCAACATACTTCCATCTTTAATTAGTTCCTCTTTCGTGACTAAACCTAACGAACAGGCCAAGACTAAAGCAGCTCCTTGTTCAGCAAAGCGTTTATTTTTTTCCCTACAAATGTCTCTTTTAAAAAGCGATTTCATATTTTTCATAATCTATACCAATACGACGAACTGTATTTTTTCCCTTGGAATGTGGCGATTGCGCGAAATAATTTATCTTCGTTGATGGTTTTATATTTTGGTAAATCAAATTTGTGTTTTCCACAATATGCTATAATTTTTGATTTCGGCAAATCTGGATCTTCTGGATAATTTACTCTAATAAAGGCACATTTCATTTCGATTACGTCTTCATCTAAATCAGTCTTCATTTTTTTGGCTTTGGGACTAAACATGTCTGGCGTTATTTCTCGTCGACTTAAAATTCCTTGAGCATGGAACTGCAATTGTTTTTTTCGGCAGTAATCGGCTAAATCCCATATTGCACTAAAATATTTTAATGTTTTTCCTAATGTTTTTTTTTGTATTAATTTTTTACCAAATTTGTTCCAGTGTTTGACATTCTAAAAATTTTTTCCCTCTGGGTGTTTCCTGAAGTTCTTTCAATATATTTTGTATGCAATATTTTGTATTACTAGGCGAATTATCATAATCAACGGCATATTTAAGATACTGCTCTATAACAGTCTCAATATCCAATAAACCCTGTTTGCGAAAAATTGAACAATTTGCTTCTGCAGCCCTTGCAATCATCACACTGGAACAGCCACATTCTTCTTTAAATTTAAATATATCTTGATGTTTTTCAATTTCTTTCGAACCACCACTATAAATATATAAAATGTAATAAACGTTACGAATTATACAAAAATATACTTTGCAATAACTGGAATCGATATATTTTCTGCAATAATTTTTATTGTCCCATTTCTATTGGGATGTTGAGGCCTTTCTGCTTTTGTTCTTCCGTGAATTGCAATAGCTGAAATTCCTGTTGATACTAGTTCTTTGACCAAGTCTAAGGTTTCTTCAACACTTTCAAAAACACGAATTTTGCATGTAATAGGAATATTTACATGTTGTGTAAGTGTGGATAAAATTGATTTAGCTTTATCAGGCTGTCTTAGCAAAGCAGCCCCCATTCCTCCTTTCAGTGAAAACTCTTTTGGGCAACCCATGTTTATATCTACTCCAGCAACATCATTCTCACTGTCAAGATAAAAGATATTAAGAATTTTTATAACATCAAGTAATTTACATCATTTTAGCAACTTTTAATGCTCGTTGTGGGTCACACGTCCCCAATTGCACCACCACTTTATTTCTTTCCCTTTGACAAGTTCGAAAAACTACAGACCCGTCTGATTTATCCAAATAATCAATTGTACCCAACACGTCTAGAAAAATAAATTAAATGAGGAAGAAATATATTACTCCGTACCGTTTTCTCTTCTTATTGATTTTAAAAATTTCCAGTCAATTAATTCTTCAGTGTAGACAATATCAGCCCCATAGTCCAAGGCTAACAATCTCATGGGCAGAGTGCCAACACGTACCATAGGGGCTAAAATAATTTTGTTGTCATAAGATAATTTTTCAGTGGTTTTGGTCATTTTTTTAAGAAATTATTTTTGAGGTTAAAAACTGATGTCATGTGTTAACCTTAAAACCTGACAAGATCTGTCAAACTGAGATGAGCGGCATTGCCAAATATCTTCTTATACTTTTTATTTTGTTGTAATTACTGTTTTAATTTATTCTTGATTGCTATTCAGGTGAAAGTGTATGCGAACAGAAGCTTTAGATTTTTCACATTACATTTTTCCGTACCTCTGGAAATGGTAAATTCTGGTGACTTGACCGGTTGGTGGCAACAGCGTTGTTGTCTTTTTTTAGTTTTTTGAAAATTGGAATGCAAACAAGTAGGTAGCTGTGATAAATTTTTACTTTTGGCATCAACAATGATATAATTTTGTTATTCGTTTTAATATTTTTTAAATGTGACGGAAGTACCCAGTGCAAAAATGTCTCATCGTTATTCTACAGCATTTTCTCATCTTGTTTTGGCTGGAACTGGAATTTATTGTTTGGTCCGAATTAAAGACGCACATTTCCACTGTCCCCACATTACCTTTGGTTTAATTACAGTGAATTCGCTTATTGGGCTTTGGAGATGGGGTATGTATTGAGTTAGTGGGTTAATAGGTTGTTTCTATAAAATACTGGGTTTGTAGGAAATCCTGACTATGGAGACAAAGTCGAACGCCTGTATAGATTTACTTCCTACCTACAGTTACTATTTGCGCTGCCATGTATTACAACGACTGAATGGTTGGGCTATGGGTATGATCGGTACCTAAGCTGGGCTTGGACAATATTGCCAACAATTCCTCTTGTGTGCTACTTGGTGGACGCCGGTTCTGATGAAAAATTGGAAGAAGCAATTATTCCAATTAACTTGATTGCTTTGGGTGTGGTGTGCTTTTTGGCCGAAAACTACTATGGAATTGCAGCTGTAGTGTCATATGCAATTGACCACTATATTGTCCTCAAACAAGGAGAAAGTTTGGAACACATACCTGCTCAAGACTTGTACAATTATGGCCTATGCTTCTTTGCATATTTTGCCCTGAGAGCAATTGGGGATTAATGTTTTTGATATCGTATATTGACCAATTTTTATAACTGTTTGCTTTGAAAATTGCATATCATTGTTGTCATGTACCTATATTTTTATATGATGTTTCATGCTATTACTGTTTTATTATATACTGTATTTGACGAAATTGTATGTTGAACAAATATACGACTGAGACAAAGAACTCATTTTGATTTCTTTATACAAGATATTTTGTAATTTTATTTTTTAAACTGGTGAGAGAAGCTTTTAGAATCTGTTATGAGTTATTATCTATATTTCTTATTTTACTACAAAAAAAACATCATTTTCTTAGAAAGTTATTTCACCTACCAACTATTATTTCAGTTACAATATAAAGAAATGCGAAAATAAATAACGATTTAATTTTTTGACCACCGTTTATAAATTTAGCCAAACATAAAAACATCCAAAAATCATATAACGGCTTTATAACCGCAGAAGGTAAATGCCGCCATGCAGTAATTAAAAATTTGTTTTGACCCTGGCTCGTAGGCAAGTTCACTTCGGAAGAAAAATACGCAATAACACAGAAAGAATAGTGCTGAAGCTGCCATCGCAAAAATATCTTGATACAAAAAGCCGACTCCAATTAAGGACACCATATTCAAGACGACTGTAAAGTCGATCAAATCTTGTCTTGTGTAATGTTGGAATAAGAAAATATAAGTAGGTATTAAGCCGATGACAGTGTGGAGCCACGCCACTTCTTTTTGGGCGACGTCATTTTTGAGCCAAACTGATGTTGTTAAGCAAGGAAATGCAAGTGCTGAGAGAAGCAGCTCAAGGAGAGATCTCATTGAAGACATTACGTTTTCGAAAACTAAAAATTAAAATTAATTCAATCATGCGCTGATTTAATCTTGCTTACACAGTTCTGTAATGTTCATGGCACTGTTCATGGCACTTATGACGAAAGTAACATAGGCAAACTGCATTAAATCATTGCGATATCGTTCGTTGTATTTTTTTAAGCAATAAAAAGCCATTGCGATCCAAACAATGTTGGACAACAATACCAATATCGAGTTTATCTTGATTACCTATACGAATGAAGCCAATATTTCCAAAATTGAGAAGTATGAAGGTTCTTACTTTTGTTAACAAAAAAGTCAATGCTTTGTACAAGTAATTAAAGGGGAAATCATATTCTCGTTCATTTGCATCCATTATAGTGGAATATTGCAACTACACGAATGACAAAAATCTTGTACGAGTATTTTCCATAAAACTATAACACAATAAAATTTAGAAATGACAAATAGAATAGATTGTTGGACAAAATGACAAATTTGACTAATCTTGAATAATGGGATTGTCATTTCCAATAATAAAATAATTGCAGTCAGTATAGGTAGTATAGGTAATAAAAGTTTTAACATTCGGTTTCTCGAAGTCTTGATTAAAAAATAAGTTACAAAATTAACGAAAAAAGCATTTTAACCTGGATTTTTGCTATTTTTTCTGAATCTTAAAAAAACAAACAAAATTGAGTAAAATTTAATAGATAAACTACAAAGTGATCTACAATGACTGAATATGATGTTGGCAATCCTGACCCTAATTTTTAAAGCTTGCCATTAGAGTACTCTTTTGATTAAGAACAATTCAACAATTTTATTGTGGGGTTGTACGACAAGTATTTGTCAAGCAAAACCGTATCCGGTTGCAGTGTTTCAGATTATTAACAAAAATACTTTCAAATTTGTTGCCAACAGACTCAGTCTTTCTGGATGTCTTCGTAAATGGTTTGCGTTTTTTTTTTTTAAATTTACGATTAACATGGTGGATGCGCCGGGATACTTACTTTAAAAACACTAATAATAACTAATAAACTTAAAACTAATAATTTTATGTATATTTAACATTTTTTAAAATCCATCATTCTTCAATAAGTGCTTAGAAGTACAGAAGTTTTTTCAAGAAAAAAAAAATGAATAAATAAAAAGACCGATTTATTTTATTATTAAAATAGTTATTTTTGTTACAGGTACCTAAAACACAGTTTTTGCGGACGAATCGTTGCTGTTTCCGGACGAGGTGAAACCGAGTCTGGAATAGCAGATGAGTCCGCAAAAACGTTTTAGGTAAGTACGTGTTACAAACATTTTTTTGTTAAAGCTCCCAAAACACGAATTCACACCTCTTATTAATTAAAGAATTTTCGCCACCATAGTAACCAATTTTATTTTTTAGTCCGGAAAAACTGTTTTTGTGGGCTGAGTACCTAAAATAACCATTTTGCCTATTATTTTATTGAGTCCGGAAAAAATTCATTTTAGGGGAAAACAGCTGTTTCCGAGTGCGTATACTAATAATGCTTGCTTTAATACTCTTCCTAAGATATGAAATTTGTTTATGGCGCTTTGTGAATAACTTTAACCACTTTAGATTCTAATTAAAAGAGTTAATTGATTTATTAATTTGAACTTGGCGGAATTTTGGTGGTGTCTGCGCATGTATCAGTACGCGTTCAGTCAAACCAAAATATAACAAAAAACAAAATGGTTGCTCTATAAAAGAATGTGTTTAAAATGCATTTTAATGCAAAAGTACGTGCATTGTGGTTCAATAACTCGTTTAATTAAATTCACATTAGGTAAACACCGGTAGGTTTTTGCAAATCAAACAGTTCCGATCTAATATCGAGCATTTTTCTTTGAGAAATTGACATGACGCTATGAACACGCTAGTGTAAATAAATAAAGTGTGATTCGAGCAATTCAAACCAGGAGGTTTCTATTTATATGAGAAGGTTATATAGGTTAACAGTGCAAGCAAAGCAAATACAATTTATTCATGTTTCATTTACGTTAAATCTTATTACATAACGTAGAGTAATTATGTTTTTGTTGGCATCACGTAAACAAAGCGAGCGCCTTTTCCAAAAACGGAAGTCTTACTAATGTTGTTGCTCTGGTGTTTTAGGCTACAAGGATGAACAACAAAACGGTCTAGAAATGAATGTGAACGTATTGCATTGGAGATGTGGGGTGGGATTGTCAAATCGCTAATTTAGCAAACTCCGCTTCTTTGCATTATGAGGGAAATGGTAGGAGGTTGTTGCGTTTGTTCTGACGATAGAGGATGGTCTGAAAATCCACTTGTGTACTGCGATGGACAATCTTGCACTGTTGCTGTTCATCAAGGTAATGAGTGACAATATTGACGTTGCGGAAGAATGACTGGGCCAGGTTTGGAGGTTTTAATGTAAAGCGCCAAATTAGAATCATGGCATTACTTTTTTCCAAATTGTACGTGAAAAAGCAATAGATCTGGAACCTTTATATATATATGGAAATTTCGATCTCAGGTGGCAGGGCAACTGAATCGGTAGCGCCCTCTGTTTGGAAACTACAACTTTTTTGGATAGTTCTCACTTCAAGACTAATCTTTTTTATTATTACTTTTATTTTTTAGGTCGCACTTATTTATAAAATTTTCACTGATTTTCGGGTGTTTTATGGAACATGAGTTTTTCTTCTAAATTATTTGTTTATGTACAGTTGGGGACAAATTACTTTGGTCGTCAAAATCACTTGAGTCACAAAGTTGTAAAGCAAGCATTATGATAGTTAACCTTATTTTTTACTACTGTCAATCATTGCCCCTGACTGACTATCAGACTTATACTCGTTTTCATATTACTGTGATTCGAAGTAGCCGTTGAAAGGGATCATTTTATGGTGGCAACCATGCGAAAATTCAAACAATTCTAACCTCAATCATCCCTAAAAAAATTTTCAAATAAATGTATACCTCAGGTAGCAAAAAATAATTAACATTAACAGCGTAATTAATATAGGGTGGCAAACTTAAAGATATTTGTCATTACTGATGTGATTAAATTTGTTCCGAATGACATTAATGACATTTTTTGTGAATTAGCCTTTAAATTAAAGATGTATTTAGAGTTCTACAACCTACTTGATGCACATTAATATTAAAAAGAGTATAAACACTGTGTCAATTTTAAAACTTGCAATCGGCAATTTCTTTCAACTGAAAAAGTTATTAATAATTACTCAAAACCGTTTTGGTTCCTAGGGGAAATTAAAATGACATAACTGACACAATACAATTTACGCAACTTTTAATCGATTTGGCTCGATTTTAAACCAGAAATGGCTCTAAATCAATGTATTTCAACAATGAAATAACTGTTTTCAGTCAAAATAAAGCATTTGAGCTATTTCCAATTCCATTTTCCTTTATTTTTGCAGAAAACTGTTATTTAAGCGTCTATTTTGTTGAAATACACAGATTTGGTTTAAAATTGAGGCAAATCGATGAGAAGTAGCGTAAATTGTATTATAGTGGCTGAAAACGGCTATTTACTTGACTTACTTATTTGACAAAATACATTATTTTGCAAGGTTTTCTTAAACAAAAACAACGAAATGTGTGTTTATTCGTCGTTTCCGGCCAAAATAAGACTATTTGATTAATTTCCAATCGTTTTGGCTGAATTTTAGGCCAGAAAACTCGGCAATTTTGCTCGATTTGAACACAGAAGAGTGTTTATTCGTCGTTTCTGTCCAAAATAAGACGATTTGATTAATTTTCAACAGATTTTCTTGAATTTTAAGCCAGAAAACATCACACATCAATGTATTTTAACACAATACGTGTTTAAATAGCCGTTTTCAGCCACTATAATACAATTTACGCAACTTTTAATCGATTTGGCTCGATTTGAAATATAGTAAAAAAATGAAATTTAACGTCTTCGTTTTTGAATAATTGGAAAAATAACTTTACCAAATAGGCTGTTGTATGACATTTTTGAAAAGCGCTTGTTATGGGCTTTCCAACGATGTATCGCAAGTAGGGTCGTGCCATTTAAAATTTTCAACTTAAGGTGGCTGTGGCTTGAAGGGTGGGTGGAGGAGCGTCACTTACCATGCCATTTTAATTCCCCCTAAAAACCACCGAAACGGTTTTGTGTGATTCTCAATAACTTTTAGTTCTAGAGATATTGGCGATTGCAAGTTTTAAAATTGACACCGTGTATATACTCGTTTTCATAATAATGTGCATTGAAGTGGTTGTTGAAAGAGATTATTTTAAACATTAGAGAATAGTTTTTAAGTCTTTTAGTCTACTGTGCCCAATGATATTTGAAAATTAATAAAACAGGACGTTGTTTTATTTTCCAAAAACATAATGCCCCAGTCAGTAGTTAAAATGTTTAGACATCCGTATCAAGTTAGACGTCGCCACATAGCAGTTTTACAAAAAAAATACAGGGATAGATTTCAGTGTTTATTTGTTTCTTGACGCGGTTGGTTTAATTTTGTTGACTTAAAATTCACAAAAAATTTAGAAAATGTAATATTCATAAGCCACGTGTTTGGCAATAGAATCTGAACTGCTTCGTTTGCATTATTTGTCTTTTATTTCAAGACACCGTAACAATTTTTTCAATGTCCCAAATTACTACTTTTTTTTTCGGACACCTTTGCATGTCTTTGCAAAATACATAATTATGTATTTATTCGACAGAAATTTTCCCTTTGAGTTTTTTTAAATTTTCAAACAAGTTTAAGCTTTTTTTCTCAAATAGATCTAGATAGTTATTTTATAAAGAAAAAGTCTAATTTATTAAATAATCGAACATAATCGAATCATTAAAAATCAGCGATGGCAATACATTTACAAAATTTTCGAGATAATATTAAGACTAAATGTTTTAAATTTTCGACCTAGAACTGATTATAGGAATGAAATATCTCAATCTTTATCTCATTCTCAAAAAAAAATGTCATCGAAATTGTTTTGTAGCCAGATTAACAAACAGTGCAACAAAATACTCGTGAAACAATTGATTTTAAAAGCTTATATAACAATCCTATGTAAAAGACTTTTGGTATAGGTTTTTATTTTTTTAATTGTAGGTATGTTAGTTTACACCCTACAATTGCAGAATAAAAACTTACTGTAATTGGTAATAATACATTTTCCTAGCTTATTGGAAATATGTAAGTTGTTTTATTCACGATTATAAAGTAATAATCAAATTACCTTGCATGTGAAAAGTTGGAAAGTATTACATTTCAACTTTATTTATTGATATGAAACGTCAGGTTGAGAGTACTGTTTGGTAAAGTTTATCTTTTTTTATCATATATGTACAAAATTATTTCTTATATCTAATAATTCATTTGGGGTTGTATTAATGTATTAATTAAAATTAATGTATTTCACAAGTGAAAGTATGTATATCCAAAGCATGTAGCATTTTGAATTTTCTAAACAGTTTTAATAAGGGTTTTAGGGGAAAATGTAGATGTTTCCAAAAAATTATTTAAATCGATTTATTATAATAAAGATACAGATTCATAGATTAAATTCTTCTCAAAAATTAGTTAGGAGTATTAAACTATTCGGTACATTATTTATTTGTTTAAAATTGTGTAAAAATTATAAAAATCTAAAAGTTGGTACCGTTTTTACAAAAAAATGGCACGGTTTGTTTATTTTTTTATGATGAAAAACCCGAATGCAAGCCTAGTTAAAGTATTGAACATGGAATACTTTGGTGAGAATTGTACGAAAATCGTGATTACATCTTTAAGCAGGTAGTTTGAGAAAGGGACAAGGTATAAAAATAAATAGCTTTATGACCCCCTCTGAGCCTGTTTGTCAACTTGAAACGTAAATTTATCTTACACAGTAACTGCAACCAGCCACGTGTTTGTCTTATTTTAGCCTTAAATCGTGCTTATTTTCATTAATTTTGATTAAATTATTTACAGCCTGCTATGGTATAGTTACTGTTCCCACTGGTCCGTGGTATTGTCGCAAATGCGAGAGTCAAGAACGGTCTGTTAAAGTGGTACGCATTGTGCTTTTTAAATATTTTTTAAATTTTAAATATTTTATTAATTCTTGTATTTTTCATTAAATTATTAAATTTACAGAAATGCGAATTGTGTCCCAGCAAACATGGCGCTCTCAAGCGCACCGACAATTCAGGTTGGGCTCACGTGGTCTGTGCTCTCTACATTCCAGAAGTACGTTTTGGCAATGTCACAACGATGGAACCGATTCAGCTTCAATTAATTCCTACAGAACGTTTTAATAAGGTCAGTTTATTGAAACGGATCCTTGTAGTATTCTTTTCTGAGCAAAAGTTAGATCTCAGATCTAAGAGTTAATTAGCGTTTAAATAAAGATGTATTTTTTCTATTAATCAATGCAAACTAAATCTAGATATGACATTTTGTTTGTTTTACTTTTTTAAGCCCATTTTATTCACATATAGAAGTTTGATAATTCAAGTGCGAAATTTAAGTTGGCTATTTAAATGTAACAATTCTTAATTTATAGAGACAAAACTAATTTCACTGATCATATTTTATAATGTTTATTGTCGATTATGCAAAATGGAAAAGTCTTGTTTTGCAGACGTGTTACATATGTGAAGAAAAGGGAAAAGCTTCCAGTGCATCGGTTGGTGCATGTATGCAATGTAATAAGGCCGGCTGCAAGCAACAGTTTCATGTGACTTGTGCACAGAGTTTGGGCTTGCTTTGCGAGGAAGCTGGAAACTATTTGGACAACGTCAAATATTGTGGCTATTGTCAGCATCATTATAGTAAATTGGTAAGTTAACAATAATTTTGAATGTTGGGACGATTTCAAATATATCAAATAAAACAGAAGAAAGGTGGTAACGTGAAAACGATCCCTCCTTATAAGCCCGTATCGACGGAAAATCACCTCTCCGATTCAAATTCCGAGAAGGAAGCGGAAAACAACGTTTCGACGAAATCGTCGACTTCTTCATCTCAACTGTCATCATCCAAACGCAAGACGAGTTCGAGCAGCAAAGCCTCCTCGTCTAAGACGAGTTCGAGTACGAAAAACTCGTCGAGTTCTTCATCGTCTTCACATCAGAAAACCGTCCATAATTCAAGTAGTAAAAGTTCAGATAAACTGAAAGTTTCGAGTTCTAGTGTTAGAAGCAGTGCCAAAAGTGTCGAAGACAACAGTGTTAGTGTTGATAGTGGTAACGCGGACAGTAAAACAGACTCTAGAGACAACAAAGTTGATTTAGATCAAAGTAAAACGGACGTTAAGGATTCTAAGAGTTCGAAGAAACGTAAGAATAATTCGAGGACGCCTACGCCGGTGGCATTGGTGCCCAGTGAAACTGTAAGTGTCGTCAATTCAACAACCAGCGTCGTGGCGGAGAATTTGACCGCAACGGCTTCTGCGGGAGAGAAGAAAGGGGTGGTCGGAGAGCCTGTGGAGAAGCCAAAAAAGGTGCGTATAAACGGGAGTTTTTAAAAGGTTCTAATAAAATAAAAAACTTGTTTTGAATTGTGTTCATTTTTCAGATCAAGGTGGAGACAACGCAGTCAATTTTAACAAACCAACCAATCGTTGCCTTAACTTCAATATCAACGATAAAAACCATATCCAACTCTTCTATAACATCGTCACTAACTGACAACGTCGAAACGGCACCTTCACCATCACTACCTCCACAATCCATAATTCAATCAGGTCCACCTCATAGTGTAAATTCTTTGGTGGTTTCCGTGCCTCTAACTAGTACTAGTTTAAGTCCCCATCCTCAAATTATCAATAACCAAGCAAGTGTGGTAACACCCACATCTGTCATACATCCAGAAAGAGGTGTCAGTAGTCCAGGAGACAGAGACACGTCAAATACCACATCAGTAAACATGACTGGCGGTAGTAGTAATCAAGGAGGTTCGATAATAACCTCAGAAATGAGTGGAGGTGGCTTAAAAATAACTTACGAGAAGCAGGATGCAGTCACAATGGAGGTGGACATGGAATTGGAAGTTTCTCCGTCGAATCAAGACTTGGCTTCGAAAAGATCTCATTCGGTGGAAAAATCCGAGAAAGGTGGTCGAGGAAAGAAACGAAATTCAGGAGGAGCAAATGGGATTATTAATCAGTTGAATAATACTTCGATTTCTTCATCGTCAGTGAAACGTTCCAGTAGATCTCAGAATTCAACCCCGCCACAGCCGGGGGCTTTCGCCAGTATAAGTCAGTCACAGATTAAGGATTCGCCACCGAGTAGTCCCAGCTCGGAAAGTCAGGGTGCTGCGTCGGTGCAGAATGGTCGAGGGAAATCAAAATCTAGGAAGAGTGCTCCTTCATCTCTTGCAAGGTCGCAGTCACCAAAAGATATGAAAGATATAAAATTGTAAGAGAGAATATTCAAATGCGATATCAGAAATAAGTGACAATAAGAGAAAAACAGCAAAGTTCTACTATAATAAAAATGAATTGAATTCTTACGATTTTAAAGAATGTACCAAGTTGTTTTTTAGCCCATTACAACTATAAAATTAATAAATAAATGAAGAAGTTAAAAATTTGAATCAGACACCTCATTGTTTGTTTGATTTTGCGTCTAAGATTTTTAAATTATTTTCTTAAAAAGATAAACTTTAAAATAATACATTTAATTATAGCTCTATATTAACTAGCTCCTTTTTCTTTTAATTATTTCTGGTACATTCTGTATACTTTTTAGTAATATAAAGTTTTTTGATTTTTGTCTTTAGTTTCCAGAATGGAGTGACAGCCCCGCATATGCTGGGCAATCAGCTGAATCCCAATTCCAACATGGCACAAAAAATGTCCGATCATCTAAATTCCGAATTGGAAGCGCATAGTATTTTCAGCGCAAGTGATAATTCAACCATGATGGGTCCTCAGCTTCATCATCGAGTGATCGCTTCGGTAAATAAATTGTTCACATACACGGTTTTGAATGTTAGTACTCAACGGTTTGTGTATTCTTAGGCAAGGGCAAGCAGTGTAGGTGGTTCGAGTACTGCTTCTGCCGGGAGCGGTTTTTCATCAATGTTAGGAGGTGGAGGTGGTAACATACCTCAAACACTAGACCAGTTGCTTGAAAGGCAATGGGAACAAGGATCTCAATTTTTAATGGAGCAAGCTCAACATTTTGACAGTGAGTGTTGGTACTATCCCTTCTGTGTTGTTGTGTGATAACGATTAAAAAATTACAGTTGCGTCTTTATTGTCTTGTCTCCATCAACTACGTGCTGAAAATTTAAGACTGGAAGAACACGTCAGTTCGTTACTTCAGAGAAGAGATCATTTATTGGCTGTTAATGCTAGGTTGGCGATTCCGTTGACAGGTCAACCTGCGACACCTCAATCTTCCCACGCTCATACAGGTAAGTTCTAAAGGCTTAAAATTATTATTTTTTTATTTTTCCCTTAGACAAAAACAGTATAATGTCATTAATATTGAAATAAATTAAAATTCCAGTCAACAACATACACCCTGCTGTGGGGGCTAGTCACGGCGATGTGCCTAGAACAGGGCGACATAGCGGAAACGGTGCCAACTACCCCGCCCATCCTCAGGGTTCGCAACATCCGAGTGTAGCCCCGGTCGAAAACGGTTTAGCCTCAGATCCCTCTCAACCGTATTCCACTTCGCATTCGCATCGAAGTCCAGCAACGAGTCAATCTCAACCCAGTCCATCGGTTAGGTGAGTTGGTTTTATTTTAACTTGATAAAAATTCATGGCGAACATTTTACAATGAATTATTATAGACATTCGCCGGCTGGTTCAGGGTATCCCAATAGTAGTCTGCTTCGACAAAATGCAGACACTAGTGGACGCTCTGCACCAAGACCTCAACCATATCCATTGTATCAGGGGCAGGGGCCTTCGTCGCAACAACAGGTATTTTGACTGTTAGAAGTTGTTGCACTCTTTGTTTCATATCATTTTCTTTTGAGTCAGGAAATCGTGTCGTGTTGCATCACTGCATTTTTATATTGAGCTTAGTTTGTGTAAATACAGAATTTTTTTCGTATCATAACAAACCTGTATCCACATAACACACTTTTTGATAATCAATAAATTGGAGCACCTTTTATAGTATTAGTTTGTTATTTTGTACGTTGTAAAGTGTTCCTTCACATTGTTAAAGTGTTATTTGATGCTTCATTAACTGGCAATGATCATACGCAAGCTACTAACATCGAAATACTGTTACGTTATTGCTTTTTTATGCTTGTTTTATTATTTATAACGAGTTTACTGTTTTTATTTAGTTAAGATTTGTTTCGCAGATGGTAATTAGAAGAGACTCAGATATATATCATCAGTCATCATCGAAACCTAGCTGAGAGTATGTGGATCCATCGTTTAGCATAACGAGACTTCTAGACTTGCATTGACAAATCACTAAATACACAATTTGTTGATTATCCTTGAATCATTGTACAATGAAAATATGGACTTTCATAAATTGGTTTTTCTTAAAAGCAGAAAAACGTAATCACGCATTCGTTTTTCTGACTTTATGAAAATAAAAACAGTCATTCTCATTATTCATCATGAACGTTGGAATGGTCGAATTGTAAGAATTGAAGATTTTAATTTTATTTATTGTTAGAGATGCATATACAATGATCTCTGTTTCTAACCGTACTTAATATTTAAATATGTCCAGGCATATCCTGTTGACTAGATATAATACACGTATTCCATGTAATTTTAAAAATTTTACCAACTACTTGAAATATGTTATAACTAAAGAAGTAAGAATTAAAATAAAGAGTTATTTACAATTAATTTTTATGATTTAGTTAATGTCTATACAGCTTTTACAAATCCAATGAAATCTTTGTTTATAACCTATAGGCCCAGTTTTTTTGGTAATTTTTCAAGATTATAATAGTTTCCTTGTGTAAAAATCTGTCAACGGCTCAGTAACTTGGAAATTGAAAATCGATAATACAGCTTTTTTAGTTTTGTGGTTAATTGTTAATAAAATTAAAATTGTACATTTTCAACTGAAGCTTTAAAAGTATCATTAACATAATTGTGTTCTATTTGAGTGAGTAAGGCGTATTTCCGCAATTTTATTTTTAATTAGGGTAATGTTTTAGCTTTATTTGGTTTCATTTATTGTAGAGTTAATTATTACTGTCTCACTGCCACTGCAATATGCTCAATTATGTTTCTATTGCCTCTAGTCAGATTTTAAAAACAGTAATAAAAAACCGACGTTTGTTGACGATAAGGTTGTTAATGTATAATTAAGATGCATGCGAAGTTTTTCATGGTTAAAAATGCGTGAAGCTTAAAATTTTGCTAAATGTACAATGTTAGAGTGACAATGTATAGTTTTAGTTTAATACTCAGGGATTTTACTAGAAGAATAATAACATATTGTATCACAAAGCTGGTTCATAAACGAAGTCTTTAATAGTTTTAAGTTACGCATTTTTATGCCAGTAACAATGCCATATTAGCTAATTATTCAGTGTAAATATTAATAACATAATTTTGTGATTTTATTTTGTATATTTGTTAGTTTAGTAATGAACACGCAATTCATTTAATTTTCTTGTACAAACCATTGTCGAAAATAGTAATAGTTTTGTAATATGAAAAACTGAAATTACAAATATCCCTATTTTTTTGCAAATATTTTTGGGATTTTTTGTACTTTTATAAAGTAAGATTTGTAGAAAGTAAGCATAGACTATGTATGTGAATGTTGTTTGTATATTTTGTAATATTTGATTTTGTTTTTGTTATGTAAGATATAGAATTTGTAGGATAAAATGTGTTTCATTTTCAAATGTTCTTTTTATTGAATTTGTCTATATTCGTACATTGGCTTATCTACAATAAATCTGTCAAAGCCAAACCTAGTCAAATCGATGGTTTTGAAGTCACCATCTATAATAAGCTCGGCTACAGCTCTACCAATCGCTGGTGCTTGTTGAATGCCGTAAGCACTAAAACCTGTTGCAATATACAAATTGTGGTAGTAGGGATGAGGTCCTATTATTCCACTATCGTCAAAATAATTATTTTCATAATTTCCACACCATGAATTTGTTAGCTGCAATGACAACGATTAATGAAATTAAATTTTGAAAATGCAGTACACTAACTTTAATATCGCAAAATTTGTGTACTCGGTTTTGTAATACGGGCAAAATTTGGTGATCAAAAAAATTTTGTGGGGACTCTTCACACTTTTCTGGCAGTGATAAGCCACATAGGAAAGAACCGCCGAGACCCTGTCGACGGAAATACAGTCCTGAGGGATCGACCGTCATAGGAGTATTAATTCCGGGAGGTGATTCTGGACAGTCAAATTTATAAACATATCTTTTTCTGTAGAAAAAGGCTTTAGAGATAGCATACTACGATAATTTCAATTCAACCTCTTTTCAATTGGAAGCGGTATTGATAACATGCCTGGTCCCTTTCCAATCTTGGCAAGTTGCGATAATTCCAGGGTTTCAGTGCCGGCAGCTATAATACAGTAGGCGAACTCGATGGTTTTGTGTTGGCCATCTGGTAGTTTTATCTGAAAGCAAAGCACTGCAAGATTAACACTGCCTCATTCTCACTTTTGTATTAAAAAAAACTCGAAAGTGAGCATTTTAAACAAGGCTTTTTAACGTTCCAAAAGTGCGATAGCCTGAAATTAGATCTAAGTTGAAAAAAAGTACTTATAACAAGAAATTAGTCTTTATTATTGCGTTGAAATTACCACTGCTTCTCGGACAGCTTCGTATGAAGTATCTTCCATACCCTCCCCAATATATTCTTGCTTATCTTTAAAAAGGAAATCAACAACTTCTCCTTCTATGTACTGAGTTCCCAAATCAGTAGCACCGTATCGCATTACTGAGAGCAAAGCCCAAGGGTCAAACCAGCCTTGTTTTTCTAGCCCTAAACAACCTAATTCCACATCTTCAACGTTCATCCAAGGAAACCTAGAATTATCTATTGCAAAATTCTCTCAATCTTAATTTCTGCTTGTTACTTATTTTTAAGTTGTTCTTTACTTAGTAACTCGTTAATAACACCAAATTCTCTCTCTATCAAACTATTATCAACAAGTTGTTGAGCACCTACTTCATCTGCCAAAACCAAATGCCCCTGTGGGTGAAACTGAACATGAGCCCCTTTCCCAAATCTTTTTTTAATTGTTCTAAGAAAGTCAGCTCCGAAGAGTGACATTTGTATATTTTCAGGCAAAGAAAACTGTTGATGTAATGCTCCTGGTGACAATACGGTGGTGCATTTTGAATACTACAAATTCTCGATTAATAGAATAAATAGCGTCAAGACCCACACTACCGTCATGTCTTTTTCAATAACCACAACTCTTATGCCCTCTCTACTAGTTTTTTCTTTTAACCAGTAAGCAATAGAAGAGCCAATTGCTCCTCCACCAATGATCAGAACATCAGCATGTCTAGGGAAAAGGCCCATGAGGGCACGTTGTTTCTCGCGTTCATTCTTGGAAGCGCCTTCAATTCGATAAAAATCTTCTTTCAAAATTCTAAGTGTTCTCAAAAGAGGGTGTTCAAATTCCTTTTTGCAATTCTTTGATGTATGTAAATACCGGTTCACGTTGATTAAAAACTTCGATACACGTCGACTGAACATTATTGGACTTTAGAATAACTAAATTTTAAAAAACACTACTTATCTTCATTATAAAATTTGCGAATAAGCATGAATTAACTAAGTAATTAGACGAGCATTTTGCAAGTGTTTTTGAGGTTAATTATGTCACTTATAGAGGTTATGTTATGTTTCATGTCTGAGGTCTACAGACCTTTAAAAAAGTACAGATTTGTCACAAAGAAGTAGAAAAAATAGAGCAAAAAAACTTAAATGAGAAAGCAATTTTACATTGTTTTATTATTTACAGTTTAATTCGTTGTTTTATGATTCTATTTAAATCACAAATATAGTAAAATTCAGGAGGGTAGACCGGTGCATCAATTTCATTTTTTCCTTACCAACTTAAAAGTGCAATAAAAAAATCTATCACAATGTAAATTGAAAGAATTAAAGGGTCTCTAAGGATGGTAGCCTTGAATATTAATTTACATATGTACTTCAACTAAACCACTTAAATGTCATATTTGAGTGAATTTGTCAATTTGACATTGACAGTAACATTATTGTCGTTGAAAGTCTTTTTGGTATCATTTGCAAGGATTTTTCGTTTATTGGTGGATTTCTTGCTTTTGTTCTGCTTCTCATTGGTTTCTTTTAATAATTCCTTACGATTAAGTAACTTCTATGAAATCAGGCATAAATACACTTGTGTTAGTGTGAAAAATTGAGATAATGAGGGGTCACCGAATAAAATTAGCCCCCCTTCATCCTTTATTTATTCTACAAAAAATGGGGCCAATCTTTTAAAAAACCATTCAAATGCTGTTTTAGTACTTTACATATTGTGTCTGCTATGGCACAAACCACACTCTCTAAATAAAATTGTGATTATTTGAGATATTTGAGGTAAATATGAGCATTGTTTAAGAAGTCCATTATTTAATGAAGTAATTAACAGTACCTACAAACTGAGTTCGACTCATTATTTTGACTCTCACATAAGTAATTTTCTGGCTTTCCTAAGATCAGAATAAAAGCTTCTTAACGTTTATTGTTTGTTTTCGAAGCATGTAAGATGCAACTTTATTTTGTAGACGTCTTAAATTTCAACTTTTTCTTTTTTCTTACCTGGAAGAATGCATAAGATAGTCTATGGTTTTAAATCCTTAAAAAAACTCAATGTAAGAAATTACTTGTCCATGCTCCTTATATTTATGATGATTCCTATTTATGAAATACAGATTTTGCATCCGTTTTCTTCTTATTTAGAAAATCGGTTTTATACTGATGTACACTAAAAATTCCGAGTTTTAGATACAACATCCAAAAGCATTGGAAAAGATAATGATGTAATGAATACACTGCATGTAGAACGTCATTTCCAATCTATTACATTAAATTTTAAATGCCTTTGCAAAGAATCGTACAAAGCAACACTTTTATCAATAAAGAACTTCTAATTCGTAGATATTGAACCTAACGTCAAAAAATTGACGTTTTGTCATCGCGATGTAAACGTGGTGAGGAGAAACGTCAGATGACGCACCGGTCAACCCCCGTGATTTTTCGTATAATTTTTATATAAAAAAATAGAATTTAAGGGCATGAAAAACAATGATAAGTTACAGTTTATCTGTAAGAAGTTTGTTTATGTTTAGGTTTGCAAAAGGAATATGTACAAGTATCATGCCGGATAAAAAAAATGGAACGTCAAATTTTTCACACTTTCTGAAAATTCACTGTAAAACAGGCTTTAACGTCAAATTTGACTTATTTAAATAATCAAAACGTTAAAATGCCAGGAACATCATTATTGATAACTAACTTCAATGATAAGTTCAACTAAGGACCGTCGTTTCACATTTAATTATGATTGTTGCATTTTTTGTACGCAATGGTACTTTAATATTTAACAAGGGATGTTTTTTTTTTTAATATCCATGAAAGTTTGATTGTAAACGAATCATCGTATTGAAAATTATTAATCTGACATTTGACACTTCGCCGGGCGTATTAAAAATTGTGGTCCGTTCACAATACACATATAATCGTCACCGCCAACTATGAGGCCAAATTTAAATAAACACTCGGTACTATTTTTTAACCATGTATGTACTACTATGTACTACATGGTTAGTATGTTAGGTTTGTCTGTTGCAATTGGATGTATACAACAATGTAATTATATTTACTCATTCACAGATTTGTGCAATTCTAAATCAAACGGATGTCACATGACTATTATTGTTGGAATTGATTTTAAATTATGTAAACCTTATTTAACAATTTGTTAGTGTGTCGTCCCTATTTATTGGTCAACATTTAGGTAGGCATTGCATTTTTTTATTATCTAAGAATTGGAAAATGATTCCAATCTTTGTGAAATTGATTTAACACTTGAAAAAGCAGAAAAAGTTCATTGTTAACAACTTATCGCGATTCTAGTATTTAATTTGGCGTGATCTAACCTCAGTAAAAAAGATAGTAATCCTTTAACAATACACAGATTAACGATACCCATCTGAAAGGGGATCTAAATAAACTCCCCACTATTATATTCTAATTCTTGATTTAGATTTACTTGAATTAATTATCAATTTGGTTATCAGTTATCTTCGATTATTTACTTTTAGGTTTATCTAAGCACAAATTTTAAACTTAAACGTTTGTGTATTTCTACAAATGGACATTTGAATCAGAAACGGTGATTTAGGTCCAGGAAGTACAACAACAAACTTAATTCCGGTCTTCTGACCCACAATGGGAGGTTCAAAATCCCCTTAGCGAGGCGTGAACACGATATTCTACGTCCCTAATGCCACTCAAGTCTTCCCTGCATTTATTTAAAATTAAATAAACAAGTATACGCAGCTGGATATCATACCCATTATTTGCCCCCTTACGAAAATATTATTAAAACAGAAACAGAGACAGCACCTGTATTGCTGATGTGCCATTTGTAACAATATATATTTTTCTTTCTGTTTGGATTCCTATTATTTCTAATGCATGTGCACCATAAATGCAAAAAAATATCTCTCTAAACAAAGTCTACGAACTTTTTGTCACTAATTACTTGCTAGGGAGTTTTATTATTAGGTGCGACATCTAGTAACAATAAAAACCTATATTTTAGAGCTGCACAAATGATTACATTTTTTTAAACACTTTTTGATGACAATTTTCCTAAATAAATAAATTTTGTCTGAATATTAGAAGTAGTAAAATGTTTCAACAACATTGAAATCCGATTGAAATGTCAATTTTTAGGTATTGAATAAAATTTGATGTACCTACAGAGTGCGCCAACTCGCGCCCTAGAGAAAAATGCAATGTAAGGTAAGATACCAAGAACCAAGAACATGGAAAAAATTCTATCTATAAAAATTTAGAAGTTATGCGAGTTTAAATTTTGCACTTTGACTCTATACATTTCAAAGTTTTTTTGCTACAGGCTATTAGAAGAGGATACAAGAAAGCTAAATTGTAACTCTGTTTAACGTTATTTGTGGCTTTTGTTGATAAAATTTTTGTACTTTTACAAAATAATTATAAAAAACATATACAAGGTCATTAGTCAAAATTTTTTGTCAGATAGAATTTTTTAAACATTTTTTTCATGTTCCTGGTATCTTATCCTACTTGAAATTTTACTCTGGAGCGCGAGTTCTGGCACACCTGTATATTACATACCAAATTACAAAAACTCTTGTTTGTTAACATTGCTTGTGCTTCTTTAGATTTCGAACATCTGAATTACACAAAATTTGTAAATTTTCAATTCAAGGCATAAATAACACAATTTGCAGCGTAAGTATTGATATTTTTAATCAGGTACAATTATTATTTAGTCAACTGATACATTAGGAATTTTTTTTAGTATTTTTTATAAACCTTGATATTTAGTCGTTGAAAATAAATTAATAAGGTAAGGTTCAGTTTTCAGAGCAATAGTAGTTTTAAATGTAATTTACAAGAATGTCAGTAAACTATAATACTATACGCTGTATTTTTATCTTAATGGCTATAGGTAATAATGTTTTTCGCCTTTGTACAAAACTGTTTGTGAGGTACAGGTGTTTGTGTGCACACCTGAATCTGTATTATCGAATAAACACACTTCAAAAAATGATTAACACTTTCGCGTAAATAAATGATCAATTGATTGTAATCTTTATTTACAAGAACCGCATATTTTTATACGAATACATGTTGATTTTTTTACAATAAAACGGCGTTTTAAAATTAGGATTTTGTTGAAAAAAATCTATATTTTTAATTACTTAGGAAGTAGGTGGAAGAACTTATCTCGGGACTGGTGCATTTCAATTTTGATTTTTGTTACTCTTTTGATGAAAACAGGTAACAATGTAAGACGCATTTTGATCTCCTTTTTGTTTTTGCATTGGTTGAAAGCAATTTGCAAACCCTACGAAATCAATCGGATATTTGTATCAGAAGCAACCATGGGCGCCCGCAGAAATTATGGTCAGGGGGGGCAAAAAAAGAGTCGAAATTAATAATAACCGATTTATTCGTCTGTTTTCATATCACTCAGTCCGTGATAAAAATGTAAATAGTGTTTCTTATTTCGTTCATGAATTTGTATGAGTTTGTAAAAAATCGAAAAAATCTTTTTTTATATAAAATAGCAACCACTATTGTCCCAGGGGGCAACGGCCCCCACTGCCCCCCCCCCTGTGGGCGCCCATGGAAGCAACCTCGAGGTGTCTCTATAATGTGTCCTAAGTGAAGTAAATAATTTACGTATTTGTAGCAAGTTTTCAGACAGGAGAACGAATTAAAATCACCTGCAAAATTCCCACGCATCAGCTCCTAGCTGTGACGTCACCCGGCGCTAGACGTCGATATTCCTCCAACCGCAGCTATTGGTCACACTTGTTCTTTCCCACGATAAATCAAGATGGCGCATTATTTGGGATGTACGATAAGAATAATGGGTTTTTTCTTTATAACAAAAAACTCTTTTCAGATAAGTAAATAGGTATTTAATTTTTATTTTTATTTACAATAATTTACAAAATCTCTAATGAGTATTACACTAGTGACTAGCTTGGACTAGGAATAGTTATATAAAAAATAGAAGTAACAATAACAACAAACAAAAAATAACACGAAAAAATAATAATTATGTAGTAGATAAGGAAGTTCAATCTGACAGATTAAAAGAAGAACTGCTGCCGTCTTTATTTGTTCTTGGATCTTCCGGTATCCAGACCTTGGCGTGCATAATTCCGTTTGAGTTGGATTCTTTCGTTCTGGACCAGGATAAGGAGTGTGCCGTGTATAATCCTCCAGATCCTGGAAAATAATCAAGCACCAAACCTTAAATTTATTCTCGCACCCTTGAATTTATGGCATTTGTGCACATCATACAGGATACAGCTGCTTTGCGTAACGAATTACGATCGGGTGCTATCATACCTCTTGTCTGTATTATTGAAGGGGCGGTCCGCCCCCTGACCCATGCTCGATCAATCTAACCACGAGTTTCACAGCGTCATTGTGTATTGATAAGACCCATTCGCGTTTAATTACACACTTGTTCTTTTTTACAAATACGACAATTATTTACTCATTTCATGTCATAACTCACCTCTCACGATGACTTTTTTGGGTTCGTCCTTTTGGGTGTTCCGATTATGACCGTTGTAACAATCAGTGTTGGAGTTTCTGTCGGTCCGAACAAGTTCGCTTAAAAAATTGATATATCCTATAGCTAATTTTAAGGTGTCTACTTTGGAAAGGCGTTTTTCGTAGGGGAGGGTGGGTATATGGGCACGTAAACCTTCGAAGGCATCGTTGATTGATTGCATGCGTTTTCTTTCGCGAAGGTTGGCCGCTTGTCTCTGCTGAATTTGTTGTTGGGGACATTTGTTTCGACGTCTGTGGCGGTGCAAGCGACCTCTGAAAGTAGTTCAACCAATGTTTTATAAGAGAAAAGTATACAGAGTGCAAAATATTTTGCAAAACGCTGAGAAAAAATATAGTCATTCAGCGTGGAAGGTCTTTCAAGATAGTAAAAATTTAATCATTTCTATTTCTCAAACTAAGTACTTATTCTAAGAATTGTCACTAGCATTGATCACTACTGAATAATTTAAGGGAACTAATTAAAAGATCAGTATACTTTCATTTTATTGGCAGTTTCCAGTAGTCACTGGAAATAATAAACCATCAGTAAAATAAAACAGCATAATAAAAAATAAACGACATGAGTAATGCATATAAGAATAAATGTCTTCTATATAGTTACAAAAATTCCGGATTTTTTACTTTCAAATTTAAACTTTTTGAGCTGTGTTACATTTTTCTGCAATTGATGCCTACAGCCATCATTAATACTATTTTCGTACTTCACATTTTCAAATTTATTACCGATATACTGCTCATTTATTAATTCTTATTGGTATTGCCAAAAATCAATATTTACTGAATAACATAATATAATATGAACTTTAAAGATTGTATTATTATCCAATAGTTATTACTACCGTAGGTAGTCTATATGTTGTAGCTCTGGAATATTATTAAATTAATAAACTAATAAGGATCGGTTAGTTGCAATCTGATTTTGATTTTTTGAATTATGAATTAAAATTTGAATTTGTTTTCTTGTCCAGTAGTTACTAATAGTATAACAAACATTTAATAATGATTCTATTTGAGAACACAATAATGAAATATTAACATTCATAGGCTGGAAGTTGTTATTACTTACAAAAATATATTTTTTATAATTCAGAAGTGATCTTGAAGAATAATTTTGTAGGCTTGGGTAGTGCCTAAAGTGCTAATTTCAAGTGTACATTATCACATCAATTATAATTAATTTGCACTGTTATATCAATTAAATTCAAATTGGTTTTGGTTTGAAGCAAGAAATATTGCTTACATACCTATAATTCGTAGGGTCAGCTTTAATGTTTATAAAATATTTACTTAGAATTGATCAATTGTTAACATTATTTTTAATAAGTATTTATTTGTATCGAGAATTATTTTGTTTCCATTAAAATGGGAAATTGCTACTGACGTTTAATTTATCGACAAACAATAAAGTAACATTTTTTCGTATCGGTTGATGTCAAAAGACATTCGGTCGATTTCCAGAAAGCTACTTAAAATTTAATTCAGAATTAAATTGTCAAATTCCAAACATCAAACATCACATTAGGTACCTACCTAATTGCAAATTAAAATTTGATTGCAATTAAGTGTGCTGTAAACCGTCGTACTGATTAGTATTAGATATTCTGCAACTTTTTACGCATACATGCATAATAAAAAGGAGTAACTATTTTTGTATTTCAACAAATTACATAAACATTTTAATTTTAATTTTTAAAAATATACTAGTTTACGTAACTAGTCTGGTAAGTAAGTTTTTGCTGGACAAGTAAGTAAATATTGATAACTGTCGAGCTTTTTACCGGACTAGTTCGCTAGTTATTTTTCACCGGGCTGTTATACATAATTATGTTAATTAGACCGCAAGACCAAATTTTGGCCTATTAATTTTGTATTTCAACATCCAAATGTAAATTTGTTGTTATTTTTAACATTTTATCGCATATTATTTTAAACTATAAGTTGATTTAAGCCAAAAAATGAAATAAAAAATTATTAATTATTATGTACCTTATATTATTAGGTACATCCTATTGGATTATCTACTTCGGAATACAAATTAAGTAAGTTTTCGGATCTAAGAATGACTCGATTACAAATTATCTTGATCATTCGATAATAAAAAATATTAAATTAAAAAAAAGGATGATAATAACAATAACATAACACAAGTCTTACATAAATAATAATTCTTATTATATTTAAAACAAAGTAATAATAATCTTTTAAAATAAAAAAGCAAACGGAATAGAAATACCTTAAAATTAGCTCAACCAAATTTAAATTAGATTTTTTATTTTTTTAAAATTACAGTCAAATACCTACAAAAATGTTATAGGTATACGTAGTGTTCAGAAATGTTTTGGATCGGTTTAACTACGCCATTTGACGCAACGCAACCCAAAAAAACTTTTAATCAAACAAGGACGAAATGTTTAAGAATAACAAATAAAATGAGGAAAACCTTATTGTATTTGAAATTAATTTATTGTTCATTGTAAAGGGTTTAAAAGAAAAAAGTTAATTTTTTAATCAGAAAAGTGACAAATTTTAATTACACAAACTATAGCAAGCCATTTAGGCAAGATGCTACATACATTAATTTTGAAAAATTAGACAAAATGTTCTAAATATGTATTTGGAAAAACTTTCTATATTTTTTTCTTATAAATTCAGTATAATTATAAAAATATGTGCTTTGAAGAAGTTTAAAATGTTTAGTGAAACTTTTTTACTAAGTAGATTTAGTTTTTCAGATACTTTTTGTTTTATTGTAATTTCTCAACAAGTTGTTTGCCTTTGAATAATTTAGTTAGCAATTGTCTTATCGAATCGAAAAATGTTAGTTGTCTATAGGTGGTAATATTTTTTTAGGTTATTGTCACCTATTTCTTGTGGTTAAACATATCATAATATTCAAAAAAGGGAAGTGTGGAGTACGTATGTTTGGGAAAAGCATGACTTACTCTTTTGAGCCAGAACTGTTTTCTTGATCACTGTTGTATGAATACGAAGAACCGACGGAATCACTACTATTTTCATCATAAAGAAATAAATCGCTACCATTAGATGATCCTGTTGTACTTCCAGTGCTACTAACAGTTCCATTAATAAAAGGACTAGAATCGAAAAAGAACTGCCGGTTTACAAGATCAACGTCAATATTTTCCATATTAAACATCTTGTCCCACTTTTCAATAATTTTTAACCAAAAATCACACCCAGATTATATTCAACTATTCCCTATCGCAATTTTACCACAAGCACTCTCATAATACATCCACATGTTAAAATATGCATCACATCACATTCAATTAAACGTTTATTTGTATTCTATGACAAGACACGTGTATGGCCACGTGTCATTTGTACAAGAGACACGTGTCTCCGAGGACTGAGTGCCCGGATTTTTGGCAGTGTCGAAGGACACATTGAATATCCGGAGCCGTAAATGAGCTTTGCGGATACGCCGGCGCTTAGGGGTGGTACGAGCAAGCTCCGCCTTCTAACACAACGAAAGCTCTCGCTTGTATTGACCAAATAAGATTTTTTTATCCATTTATAACTTTGCAAGTCACAACAATTCTTATTTTTTGCCAATCGCCTTAGAAACAAAACTAGCCATGTAATAAGTTAAAAAACGGAAATTTTAGAGAGACGTGGATATTTTCCAGATTGAAGTGGACAACTTGTAATGTTTAGCTAGGTATATTTCATACATTTTTTTTTAAATAAATACTTAGTAGGTTGCTTAAAAATATAAGTTTTGCATTGTTGGGAAGTAATAAATGTAAGATATGTATTTAAAACAGCATTCAAAAAATGTATTTAGAACTGGTAAAAAGTTTTTTTGAATATCATTAATATTTGCTATTAAGACAACTAGAGTTTTATAGACAGTTTAAAAATCGAGGTCGTAGTTTAATAGGCTAATATTTTTAAACTATAGAACTATAAAACTTGACTTCAAGATTTTTTGCAGAACTAATCAGAAATTCTACTAAATACAGAAATTATTATAAAGAAATTAAATGCACCATAGAAACAGTATTAGGTATTAGTGTTGCAAAAAATATATTAAAATTTTACTAAAAAAAATGGTAGGTAGGTGTAGTAGGTCCTATTTCTATAGAAATTTTTAAAAAGGGCACAATGCATGATAATCTCCAAATGTGTTACATATTTTGTTCGTTGCATTTGACTTTGAGTGACAATCTTAATAAATTAATACTCACAATTTCAAAAGCAGAATTAATTTCATTTTCATTATATCTTAACAACAATCACAATTTGAAAAATTTTGTAAATGTAAATTGCAATTTTTTAATAGCAAACAACCTTAATGATTTTTTTTTGAATCAGTTCAATTTTGTTAAACAAAAGCAATAAAGAGCAATTTTAGGCTCTTCAAGCATACATACAAGTCATACAACTCATACCTACAAGTCTAACATACAGGGTGTCTCAGCGAATTAAAAAAGTCCATTAGTGACCTTTAAATGGTAAAATTAAAAAAAATATAGACATTGATAGATACTAATCTAGTCCATCGCCTAAAATTATTTTCAACTATACAGCGTGTCTCAAAAATAAGTTGCAATACAAACTTGTGTTTTTTTTAAATGAAACACCATATGTTTCTTAGCGTTTTTGGATGTAGATTTTTAGGACAGTGTTTTTAAGCTAAACTTTTTTAAAACGAAAATATAAATTTATGACACAAAAACTAAGACATCTAGAAATATGTTTTTTTACTACCGCAAAGAAGAAGGTACAAGCTATAAGGTTGGAACACTTTTTAGTGTGTTGCATTTGCAAGAATTTTTTTTATTTATGCTTTATTTATACTTTTTTCTTTGCAAAAGTAAGAAAAAATTGTTCTAGCTGTCTTAGTTTTTGTGTAATAAATTTTTAAAAAGTGCATGTTTTTGTTAAAAAACCGTCTTATTTCTAAAACTAAGCGAAATCAAGTAATAAAAGTTTAGCGTAAAAACATTGTTTTAAAAGGATACATCTAAAAATGCCAAGAAACATACGGTGTTTCATTTTAAAAAACACAAGTTTGTATCGTAACTTATTTTTGGGTTTGGGGCATGGTGTATGGTTGAAAATAATTTTAGGTGATGCACTAGATTAGTATCTATCAATATCCTATACAATTTTTGTTTTAATTTTACCATATAAAGGTCACTACTGGACTTTTTCAACTCACTGGGACACCTTGTATCTGTGTTTTATTTGATTAGACTATTTTTTTAACTGTTAAAAAATTGTTAAGCATTTTAAAATATCGCTATTCCAATTACTAAATATATCTAAGAGTTATCTAAACTACGAGTAATTTGACATTTTTTTTTATTTAGCTCATTTATATTATAAATGAAAATTAGTTAATTTCGAATATGTCAAGAGATTTTATTAAACTGATGCTTAAAAAAAGCCATGTAAAATCTCTAAAATGTTCAATTTTTTCTTGTTTTGTTCAATTTAACTTTATCTTTATATTATATAAATTTGAAGCCTAATGCTGGGTGACTATAAATAATGGTGATTTTTATTGACAAGTTTGATATTTTACTATGACATCAGCCTTGATTATCAATTTGAAAAGTTTTTTATGCAATTGATGTCATTAATTTTCTGCGTTGTTTCATAGAAAATGTGTTTCTACCTATTTTTAAAGCATCTTACAATGGAGTAAATTAAAAAGAAAAAAAATGTGTCATTATTTTAAAAATACAATTTATGAAATAAAAAAAGGCTTAAATTTTATTAGTTTCAAAAAAATTACACATAAAATTATCACAAATAAAATGGGTTAAATTGGTAATATGATAACATGTCAAATCAACTAACTGTATTGCTAAAAAAAAGTAGGAATAACAAGTAAAAAAAAACAATAATAACAAGTAAAATAAATTCGTATGTAACGTCTTAATTTTCCAAAATGACCATTTGTGTTTATTCTCTCGACACTATACTATAGTAAATTAGCATCTATTGAGTCGTTAATAGCCTTTTAATGTAGTTGCACTTTCGCCCCTATGCAGCGAAACTGCACAAGGGTGTTCAGTTGATACATATGTTTCCATCAGATTCTCTCTCACAGTAGACCAAAAATGTAATCAACACTAAACGCAACAGAAACAACTCCTAATTGAACAGACACTCTGTGAACACACATCGAAATTACTCGTCAAATAAAAGAGCGTGAAGAGAGGATTAGGTGACAAATTGCAATGCTTACTGCACTAGAGTGCTTTCTATTTGTTCACATTTTATACCACGACTAAGGGGTTGTTTTTTTTTTCATAACTGAAACTTAAATGTCTGGCGGTACCGGAAACGAACTTCATTAATCACACCTATTCGCTTCCTCATCGTAAACTTATTCTATTAACTATGGGTAATTAAAAACACATATTAGAAATGTGGTGGATTTATTGCAGACAATATTTCTTCAGTGAGTAGCCTCGGGGGTGCTTCCACTGTCATAAATAACGGAAATGCACGATATATTTTTAATGAGTAGATACGAGTGGACCCCACAAATTACACCTTCGACCTAATCTGCACCCCACAAACAGACACCTGAACCAGGACCGCATTCTTATTGATTTCATACCACATGTTTAATGTAATTTTATTCAAAATATGAAAGAAATTTCAGAAAAATTAATAATTTAAAGTGTGAGGTAGATTATTGAGACATAATTATTAAAAATATGGTCAAGATTTTCAATCATTGGTTTAATTATTTTGAGCCGGTCCTGGAATAGGGCTAAAGCACATTTTCCACGCTTGAATAAATTTACCCTGCATGTCAGGACCCTGCAAAACAGTACAAACGCACGTGTTCATATCTCACAACGCAATCACACGTGTTTATTTAGCTTTGGTTTACACTTTTCATTCCATAATATTATTTTCCAATATTGTTTATTGTACTATCGATGAGATAAAAATTGTTAATTGAAATGCCGACAGAGGAAAAGAGCAAATAATGCGTTTACTTAGAATTCATCATATAACATAATAATGATTTTACTATGCATAAAAAATTAATTAAACGAAATGTGAAATTCCGAAGCTTTTATCAATCCCAAGGTATACGTGTAACGCCAACCATAATAAGTTGGCATCGTCAAGGCAATGATAAATTTTTGTAATAAAAAACTTGTGATTTTGATTTTGTTTTATTATTTTTTATTACTGATTCAAATTCACTCCAAGTTTCAGATTCCATTTATTTTATGCAGATGAATCAATGTTTCAATAAATCAATAGAATGATATACACAGCCTGGATTATAAAAAACGTCATCCCAAGTCATATATACAGGGTGTTCGGTCCAAGTCGCCCCGGCTAATAACACCTAAACTTACTTCTTTTTATCAAAAAGTAAATGTTGTTTGAGTAATAATATTCATTCTTGGCTTTCTTAATAAATGTATCAAATTTTTTTAGCATATCCGGTGTTGCCGGAAATGCTACCAAATTTTGTTTTTCAAATGGAACACCTATGTTTTTTTTCCTCCAAACAATAATAATTGACATGAAAGATACGGTAAACCACTATTTATTACATTTTGCGTAACACAATGCAATCAGAAAACATCTTAAATCTTAGAATTTTATAAGGAAATTGGTCGCGTAGCCTGATTTTTAATTTAAAAAAAAAAGGTGTGAATAAAAAATGCTTGGATACAGTTTAATCGTTGGTTTGACAAATCTAATTTGTTTGTTATGATGAGTGAGTTCTCTTGGATTTTCTTCGACTGATAACAGAACATTCAGATTTCTGTTTTCTTGTTCATCACTAAGAACCGCGGTTTTTTTAGTTTTAAGAAGCGAACCTGTTCGTCTCAGTTGTTTTTCAATTCGACTAAGTTTCCAACGATTTGTGTGAACTCTTTCAGCTTCCGCTCTCTTTTTTTGCACTTAAAAAACACTTCAAGCTGATCTACCAATTCGTCGTAATTAATATCATCCATTATTAAAGGTCTCAATAAGATTTATTGACAAATTAGGCTTTGTCAAACTAACAATTAAACGGTATCCAAGCATATTGCTTTTTGCATGAATACCTTGACAAGTAAAATCCGCCTACGTTGCAAAATTTGCAATGAAATTTAAAAATTTAAATTGTTTTCTGAGTGCATTATGTAAAGTAAAATGTAATAAATAGTGGTTTACCGTATTTTTCATCAGAATTATTATTGTTTCGAGCAAAAAAACATAGGTCTTCCATTTTTAAAACTAAATTTGGTAGCATTTCCGGCTACACCGGATGTGCTAAAGAAATTGATGCATTTTCTAAGAAAGCCAGGAATGAATAGTATTATTTGAAAATTTAGTTTAAAAAAAACCGAACAGCCTGTACATTATTTTTAAAAAAGTACTACTTACCTTGAATAAGTCCGCAATAAACGATTCAAGATTCAATGCTACTTGGAACAAAGTTGCACAGTTTATTATCATCTATTTATATTGATCGAGAGTCTATCCCAGAAATTGCTCACAATAAACTGCTCAACTTTGATCAAAGAAGTATTGTCATATATTTAAAAATAATGAAGTTATGGCTTTTACTCTATACTTTTTGCAGTTTTGAATGTAGCTTTTATTGTTGATGTTTTTAAAATAAACTTTTATTAGTCGATATTGCTTAGTTTTAATAGTTTGATTTTTTTGAGAAAAACACATTTTTTAATAATCCAAAAACTAAAATAATTAAGATTTTTTATTTTGTACTCAATGTTAAAGAGTGCTTTTATCAACTAATTTCAGTAGATAAAATAGTCTTTTATTCTCTAGTGAAATAAAGTAATTTTTATCTACTGTTTATATTCAAAAAATTCTGCTAGGTGAGTACAAAATAAAACGAAATATTATACACGACGATAAAGATTGTTATCTACTTGAAAAAAAATCCACCCGTGACTTCGTCACTCGTAAACTTAACCTTTTCACTCGTAGATAAACATTTTTTTTATCGTCTTGTATAATGAATAACTAAAAATTGTATTTTTTTAAAGAAAAAAAATCAAATTTTAGAGCTCTGAAAATACCTGCAAAATACAGTCTATGCTAGGCAACCAGTAATACCGACAAATGTGTTTGTTGTTTTGCCTACAATAATTACAAAAAAAGTTTAGCGTAACAGGAATTATCAGAATAATTGAGAATTTTTTTTAAATAATTGTTTTTAAAAAAACATTTATGTTATTTTTCATTTTCATACAAGTAGCAATAAAAAACAGAGATTCAAATATTCCTTTCAAGCTTTCTTTTTTAAGACTTTTTGCCTCCGCCAAATGATTTCAATGTTATTGCCAAAATCGTTTTACTTTCGTTTGTTGTTTTCTAAAAATAAAAAGGCCAGTCTTGTCCTTGATGTATTTTAAAATTTTTTCTTTGTTGTTTGGTTACCCGGTTGCCAAACTTCTCACCAACATTGCCTGTCAGCATGATTCTGTCATATTTGTCTTTCCAACCGTTGTTATTTTAGGTTAGAATAAAAATGTATCGTTTAATCTTCTAGTTTATTTCTCTCGTAAAGAACGTTTTCCATTAAAATCATCAAAATGAAAGTGACAGTGACCACATTGACTGATTTTATTTTCGTCCTCGATGTCTCCGAAGATTTGGAATTGGAAAATTTCAAAGCGTTTTGTGAGGTTGAAACAGGGTTTCCGGCCACCGAAATTGTCATCGCCTACAATGGAATGCCTTTAATGGACAACAAAAAGTCGCTGAAAGAACATGGGATTCGCGACGGTGATGCTGTGATCCTTCAACATATGTTGCAACATGGGGCTTCACAGAGTTCATTTGATTTACAAGGAGGTATTTTATCAGGATTGAAGTAGCGCCGTTTTTGCTCAGTGTTGTTTGCAGTTCCTAGACTGGATTTTAGCGGAATCCAAGTTCCCAATTCTACCAGAGGGAATCAGGTGTCTCCAGGACGCCCTTCTGAAGATGACCCTGTTCTAATCAGGGACATGTTTTTGGCAAATCCTGATCAGTTAGCGTTGTTGAAGCAAAATAATCCACGACTCGCTGACGCCTTGCTGACTGGTAACATAGGTAGGAAATTGCGTTGTTTACTTATTTTAGTAGGAAGTAAATTAGTTTTTTTATTGTCATTTGGTAATACATAATCTGCAAAAAGAAACAAACTACAAAATAATTGTACACCTGTAAGCAAATATTGCCCAGTTCAGCTATAATTAATTCTATGTGAATCTTCACATTTTTTACGTGCAATTTTTAAACAAAATAAAACAATTTTAACACAAATAAATTTTTCTATAATAAATTTCTAAATACTTTATAATTTTACATATTTGTGGTAAGAAGAATTTTATTACTATTGTGTTGTTAAATCACATTTTACGTTCTTTGTTGTTTTTGTATCATGCTCTCAAATGAATTCGAAGTGTTCTATGATTTTGAAATTTTTGTGTTTATTTAAGTTTGGCGTCATAGTTGGTGGTGATATGACTGTGTTGTGAACAGACCACAATTTTTAATATGTCCGTCGAGGTGTCAAATGAGAGATTAATAACTTTCAATACGATGTTTCGTTTACAATCAACTTTCATGGATACCTTCGACGCCAAATTAAAAAAAAATACACCCGTTATATCGAGCGATCAAGATAATTTGTAATCGAGTCATCATTGGATCCGAAAACGTATGTCTGTAAAATGTCAAGTAAAATGACAAGTCGAAAGGTAAAGTGGCATGATCAAAAAGGTGATGATTATAATACCTAAATTTATAATTTACCTTCAAAAAAGAACGGTCCCACTCGTATTATTATACGTGGGCGACTAATTCCAGCCCATTTTGACGTTTTACCTTTCGACTTGTCATTTTATTTGACGTTTCATGTGCAGTTAGTTCAAAGACAGACATACGTTCTCGGATGCAAGGAAGACTCGATTACAAATTATGTTGATCGCTTGATATAACATAACTTATCGAATTCAAAAGTCACATTTTTAAAGTTAATTGTCATTCAATTATATCACTTTGATCGGAAATTTATTTGAAAGCATGGTTTGAATTTTTAAAACTTAAACACACATATAATCAAAATTTACATCTATTGTTGACAGACACTTTCGCTTCTGTTCTTCGAGAGCAAGTGCAAGCGCGCCAAGAACGTGAACAACAAAGATTAAGAATGTTGAATGCCGATCCGTTCGATACTGAGGCTCAGCGTCTCATCGCCGAAGAAATCCGTCAGAAGAACATCGAAGCTAACATGGAGGCTGCCATGGAGTACAACCCCGAATCGTTCGGCACAGTCGTTATGCTTTACATAAACTGTAGAGTGAACGGCTATCCCGTTAAAGCCTTTATTGACTCAGGTATAGGTTTTTCTTAATTAAAAGAAATGGAAAACCAAATAAATCATTTTAAAGGTGCTCAAACTACCATAATGTCCAGCAGTTGTGCGGAAAGATGTAATATAATTCGGCTCGTGGACACTAGATGGGCAGGGATTGCAAAAGGTGTGGGAGTGCAGAAAATCATCGGGAGAATTCACATGGTACAAATCCAGATCGAGAGTGATTATTTAACGACGAGTTTTTCCGTACTTGAAAACCAACCAATGGATATGTTGTTAGGGTTGGATATGCTCAAAAGACATCAAGTGAGGTCTAATTTTCTTGGTTTCGTAGTTTTTTAACTTTTTTTTCTTAAGTGTTGCATTGATTTGCGAGCAAACGTCTTGAGAATCGGTACAACCGGGACTGAAACTAAGTTTCTTGCCGAGTCGGATTTACCCGAATGTGCCCGACTGAGTACAATTAGTGAAGAAGATGTCATTTCTAGGTCGATCAAGGAGTCTGAAGATAGGCAACTACAGGAAGCTTTGAGAAATAGTCAGTTATCAAGTGAGTAGTATTGCCGCTTTTGTCACAATTTTGCTTTTTATTTAACATTCTATTCTAGAAAAACCTAAAAGGCCGAAAAGTAACGGCAAGTAACTTTTCTAATTATTCATTTGATGTTTAATTATTTATTTTAGACGTTGCTAAAAGACCGAAAAAGTAGTGACAAGTGATTGAATTTGTTGGTGAATTTAAATTTCTTGTTCTGTTTTTTTTTTTCAAAATTCTTGTATCTTACGCATGTTTTATTAAATTCAATTTGCTTTCGATTGTGGTTTTAGTCATTTTATCACTGTTTCAGATCCCACTTCTGGGAGTTCAGTTCATGGTTCCAAATCCAATCCACCACCAAGCAATACTCAAGTTTTACCAACAGACAAATTTTCCGAAAGTGACGTTAAAGAACTGACAGGTTTAGGATTTTCGCGAGAACAAGTCATATCTGAGTTGCGTGCGTTTAACGGTGATAAAACACAAGCGACTGCCGCATTGTTTGCAAAATCTTTAAAATTTTAAGTGCATTTAAACTGGTCACTTTAGCTTTTATAGGTTTAGGTTATTAGGTTTTTGATATTGTGGTTGATAATAACTTTTCAATTGACATATCTATACATGAAAATTTGGGTTTTTATTATTATTGGCTGGTCCATCTCATATTTTAATAAGGTGACAAATAACATCGTTTACCGTTTTCTTATAATAGTGCATTTTTAAAGACTGTATATTTTGCTCTCGGATATTTAATTAAGAACATGCACGATGTATCGTATTTTCTTTCGAAATAGAATTAGCTTATTTTTTGCATTGTTATAATAAATGACTGTTTTTCAGTGAATTCCTGCAGATTTTGACTTAATCTGTGTTAAACTCGCACAGAGTATATCAAGTGGTATCACCACTTTATATGCTCACGAGGTTGTAGTACGGTTTTTAAACATAAATATGTATAGTGGGTATCTGCATTGGTATTGATATTGAAAGTGGGACTTGTGTTAATAAAAAATATAATCTCATGTTGTAGTTTCCGAGACCTTTTTTCAGTTTATTTTGAAGTAAATAACAGATTATTTCCAATTTAAATATTTGCTGACATACCTAAAATATTGGAAATAAATTTTAAGTACCTTCTTTATCATAATTCGTCCTTACGCCCTTTTAAAAATTCTTGGGTTAAAACAACTGAATCGGTTTTATTTTCAACACTCGATCTTTTATCTCTTTTGTTTTTCTTAAACGATGGGTCTGCATCGGTAAGTGTAATCCGTGAAGTCACAGATTTTTCACTAAAAGTAAATAATAAACTAAAATCACCAAAAAGAAAGAAAAACACTAACTTATGCAAATTTGCATTTACAGTGACATCTCTAGGTTTACTATAGTCGCATTCCAAGTGGAAAGCCGCGTCGCCTGGCATTATTAATTCCTTATCGTGTTGTAAAACCAAAGTATTTGAATAGGTTTCACCTTTCTGAGAAATATAATGAAGATTATTTTGTTTTGTGTTTTGTTACTGCTTACTTTTTGGGTGTTGCATTGATCTAAGGGAAATTTGATCGAAAAGGATCTTTGGCCCCTTTTTGGTCCCGGATCAAGAAAACAAGCCGAAGTTTTATCATGAAAATTGCCTCTTGTGTAAATCACTCCATCGAAATCTTCATCCGTTTCCAACGCGACTAACATTGAATTTGAGCCACATTTTAATTTAACACTTTTGTATCCGGTGTCACTTAAGCCGATTGTCATTTGGTCGCCAATATCTGATTGAAATATTCCTAAAACAAAATTAAAATTAAATTGATGTATTTGGTGGAACTATACCAACCATTGTTTTCTTCAGAACTGTATGAATGCGCGATAAAGACAATAATGAAAAGTTTTGAAAATAGGTTGGATCGACACATTTTTTTCCTTACGAAATTCGACGCATTTTTGTCAGATGAGTGCAAGAAAAATAATGCATTCCAAACACACGACCGCAAAGTTTCATCATGAGTAATCTTTGATGAGGTAAATGAACTCGCGAATGTAGCCTTGACTTATTCATTTCACGTGAATTTTGTATTTTTCGTTGTTTGGCTGTTAATTTAAGCTAAAAATGAAAAGTAGACAGATTACTACGCACATTTTTTAAAATCACAAATAAACATAAAATTTTGAACCTTTTAACCCTGGTGATAAGTTTAGGAAATCCACTGTTTAATAAAAAAAAAAATGATTGTTTACGTTTGAAACAGAGTTTAGGTTAAAGAAAACGCTAGTTTAGATTTTTAAATAATATATTAATTAAGTACATAGTTTATTATCATCTCGAATAAATCTGTTCGAATTGATGAGAATTAAATTAGGTAGATATAACTATTAAAAATTAATTCAATTTTCTTGAAATATTGACTTTAAATATTTTTCAACCCTTTATACTTTCGGAAAATGTGATAAAGATAAAATAGAATTAATAATTTACATAAACTTGATTACCAAAATCTGTATGATAAACATCAAGGTAAAAAAACTTTTTTAACTAACACCTATTAGTTTTTTTACAAACTAAAATCTTGTCTGTTATTTGCTAAATAGAAATTGAGGAAAAAATTCGCGGTTTTTTGGATTGAGCGCGTAATTTCCCCCAACCATTTTTTTGGAGTGGTAGTTGTGTGAAGTTAGCTTCTTGATATTGTATTTTTATTAAATAAATATATTCATATAAAATTGCATTAAGTAAATAAGTTCAATATCAAAATAAATAACTTAATTTTTGAACATTATTTGTTTATTAGTGGCTATCTTTAGGTTTAGTAACTTTAAAAGTATGGAAATGTGCCGGTATGGAAACGCAGCGAATGTTTTAATGTGAAATCATCTGACAGCTGTCAACGTCATTTTAGAATTGTTTTGTTATTATTAGCGCCAAATAATAGGAGCTTCTTTTTATAAATTGAAAAGATTTTAAGAGTACTAAGTGTTAATATGACGTCTGCCTTGTATTTGGAGCATTATCTGGACAGTAAGTGTAAAAAATGTTCAAAGAAGATACATAAATTGTAAAAAATTTAGGTCTGGAACATTTACCAATTGAGTTACAAAGAAATTTTACTTTAATGAGAGATTTAGATTCACGAGCACAAGGATTAATGCAAAATATTGATTCTCTATCCGACAATTATTTGAGAAATCAAAAAACTATCAGTCCAGAGGAAAAGAAGGAACAGCTGCTTAAAATTCAATCATTATTCAACAAAGCAAAAGTAGGGTGAAACTTTAATTTGAATTGTTTATAAATAAACTTACTTTTTATAGGAATATGGAGACGACAAAGTACAGTTGGCAATTCAAACATATGAGCTAGTTGATAAACACATTAGGAGGTTAGACAATGATTTAGCCAGGTTTGAGTCTGAAATTCAAGATAAAGCGCTGAATTCACGTAACCAGGATGAACCTTCGGTTGGAAAAAGTAAGAAAATGGCGTAAGTGAAATGTATAGTTACTGTAATTGTTCCAGAAGGTAGGAAAAAAACAAAAGATGGTAAAACCGAGAAAAAGAAACGTCCTGGTAATTCAAGTGAAGAGGACTCAGCAGGAACAGTTCGAGGCACCAAGAAGAAAAAACAAAAAGGGTCGGGCTCTGCTGGAAATAGTGGCAGTACCACAGGCAGTGGTGCTAAAGCTGCCTCAGGTGAGGGTTCGTATCATCTCATTACCTTTCTATCTCAAAATGCTGTTATGACGCACATATTCATATTTCCAATGTTTGTAGGTATTGTTCTTAATAGTTATATTTTAGCTACTGATTCTGGATCCGGATTGCCTGGGTTAGCTGGAATTGCACATCCAAGTGACGTGCTGGATATGCCTGTTGATCCAAATGAACCAACTTATTGCTTGTGTCATCAGGTGTCATATGGAGAAATGATCGGTTGCGATAATCCCGATGTAAGAAATAAATTTGGCTTTTTGTGCATACATATTTTTTTATCATTTTTAGTGCCCTATTGAATGGTTCCATTTCGCTTGTGTGGGCTTGACAACTAAACCCAAGGGAAAATGGTATTGCCCTAAATGCACACAAGACCGAAAGAAGAAATAATCCATAGACAAGTTAAAACATTAGGCAAATTTTTATTTTTTTAAATTATTTCCTATTTAAGTTTAAATTTATTGAAAACGATGTTTTCGTTACAAAGTAGCAATAATACAAGTTTGTTATTTTGATAAATTTATATCGTCTGAAGTATTAAGAAGATAAATGTAATTTAAGCATTATTTGTTGTTTTATTTTATTAATAACCATGAGCACTAAGTACTAGGGTAATAGATTTTTTTAATATTAATAGTTGTTATTTTTTATACATTAGTGGAGAGGATATGTAAAAAAATACGTTATATTTATTTTTTATTTGAGTTCAAAAATATTTCTTGTCTACTTAGAAGGAATGATTGAGTGACTATCTAATTTGTTTAACACCTACATCTGCTTCAAAGTACAGTCTTATACTCGTGATTGAAAAATCTAATTTCTTCAAAATTCATCGTGAAAACTTCGACCGGTGTCAACCATTTTCGATTTTAGAAACAGGTCCGGGTGTGCAAGTATTTCATCTAGCGATAACATATTGTCATGATCACCGTCAGCCAAAGCTAAAAGGGCTTCAGCTTCGTGTTCGCTATGTCTAGGACTTTGCGGTGCAACGTAATGTAAAAGTTCTCTCCTATCGGCGCGACCGTCTCCATTCAAATCAACCGATTTGCGAAATTCGGCTCGTCTTTCATTTTCATCTTGTCTAACAATGACCGTTTCGTCGTCGTTACCTAAAAATGACAGTAACAGTTTTTATTTTAACTGTCGACGATTCCTGTACCTTCAGTCTGAAGAATGGCAAATTCATCCTCTGTCAATAACTCGTCTCCATCTCGGTCGAATTTGTCGTACAATTCGTCGACGAGAGCTAGTTGATTGGCTGCACTGGATTCGGGATGAGTGAAAGCCAGAAATTCGTCGACTGTTAGAGCATCTGGATTTGATCGAGCTGCTTCCATCCAGGACGCCTTGTCCCTCATTATTTGTTCTACGAAGGTATTCATTAGATTGTTGATCACTCATTGTACTTTTTAGTCTTTTAAATAAAGTATGTTCCTTCTATAAATGATAATAATTGTAGGTTTAGACTCTGATAAAATATTATTGATTATCTAGGCATGGTTAAACACTTTAAAACGAATGAATTAAAACTCGTAGAAAGTTATAAACTATACGCTCACTAAAAGAAATAGCTTTGCTTTTGGTGTTTATTGCCTCTCTTTGTTGTGTAATAAGTCTTTTATATGGCAGTCTAAATGCGGAAATCACTTATTCCTTTTTTTATAAAATAAATACCTACATATAGAGCTAACGCATAAAATAGAAAATTATTTCGATTAATAAAACTGGTTTAAACTAATTAACTAAAAATAATCTTATTTACTTAATTTTCTTATTAAAAAACGGTCATTTCAAATGCAATATCCCAGTCAAATTAGACAAATCGGTGGAAAAAAATCTAGAGAGTTGGAGATATATATCAAAAGTCCCCGAAGGTGGGGGGCGAGCTCGACGAGGGCGGGGAGGGGGTTAAAGGTGTCTTTTTTTGTTTTTTTGCTTATATCTCGGAAATTATCACTCCTATAGGTTTTTATCTTCTTATCAAAATTAAAGCTTACAAAATTTCCTACAAAAATGGTCCTTTTTGTTGTAGGACTAACCGTAAGCAAGTTATAGGGTAGACAAAAAACATCATTTAAAAAAATGTGTGTTTTGTCAGCCCTATAACTCGCTTACAGTTAGTCCTACACCAAAAATGCAAAGGACCATTTTCGTAGGAAATTTTGAAGGCTTTAATTTTGTTAAGCAGACAAAAACCGTGAGGAGTAATAGTTTCCTAGAAATAAACAAAAAACTAAAAAAAACACCTTTAGCCCCCTCCCCCTCCTCGAGCTCGCCCTCCACCTTCGGGGACTTTTGGTATATGTCTACTCAAGAATAAAGAAAGCGTTTAAAAAAAAATCCAACTCTCTAGGATTTTTTTCCACCGATCGCCCTATTTTTGTCTAATTTGACTGGGCTACAATACTTATTTCAATAGTTGAAGTGAATTTGGAACAAAAATAATCAGTACCTAATAAAAAAAAATCTTGATAATTTTGTTTGTAGGTAGAAAATAATTTCATTTGACGAACACTGTGGTTTTGCAATAAAGCAACACTTATTTACGTAACGTTTTTATATTGTTTATTGTTCATAATAACCACTTATTTGTAAATTTAATTAATACATATAAATATTTTTATCAGCGAAAAAAATAAACAAATTAGTAAAGCGCTGTCAATTAATTAAACGAAATCCTGTAGAAAAATTATAAAATATATTTGTTTTAGGCGCATAATTAAGATTACATAATTTTACAACTTCAAAAATTCATTATTAGTTTACAAATAAAACGAAATTGTGAGCAGATTTGGACCACATTAGATAAAAAAAGTCCATTAAAAACGATATCAGGTAATAAAGATTAAAATAATCTGTTTGTTTAAATTAATTCAAAATACTGGCATTATTGTTCTACCACAGTTTAATTAGGCAACAACCGCATTGTGCGCCAAGTTTCTTGCGCTTGGTACCGCAGTCGATAAGTTGTTCTGCAGGACTATTTTCCAGTTCAATGTTTCTAAAATGTCCCCTTTCTTTCCTCATGCTCATCGCCTCAGTTGGCATCATTCCAACATATTCAACACTTACGCAACTACATATTGTGAGTATCAAAACCCTGTTTGAACATTAAAAAAAAATATTTGATTTAGGTTTTTAGACACGGTGAACGGGCCCCTACAGAAACTTACAAGAATGACCCACATATCAACGTCACGTGGTCGGGAGGTTGGGGTCAATTAACAAATGTATTTATTTGAACAATGATTGTGGCGACAAATAAAACATAATTGTTTTCAGCGCGGGAAATTGGATATGTATTTACTTGGGCTCAAGTTGAGAAATCTCTATGATGGCTTTATACCCAAATATTATTTTCCTGATGAAGTAAAAGTCACAAGTAGCTATGCCGATCGATGTCTGATGAGTGCTGAGATTCTACTTGCCGCTCTGTTTCCACCCAAAGATGAACAAGTTTGGAATAAAGACCTATTATGGCAACCTATTCCTGTGCATTATGTTCCCCGAAGTCAAGATAATGTAAATAGATAAAATTCGTAGGAACACCATTACTAATATTTGAAATTATAGTTGATTGCGATGAAAGCTAAATGCAAAAAGTATGACGAAGAATTTGCGAATGTTTTTCATTTCGAAGTGATCAAGAAAATTGACGAAGAAAATAAAAAACTGTATGAGTACTTAACAGAACACACTGGACAAAAAATGGATTCTGTTGGCAAAGTTGAGCTGTTATACAACACTTTAGAAATTGAGCTTTTACATAATTTGACTCTTCCAGCCTGGACGCAAAATGTGTCTTTAGAGCAAATGAAGAAATTAGCAGCCAGAAGTTTAGAGACATTTACTGAAACAAACTTTATGAAAAAAATGAAAGGGGGTAAATGACATTTTTATAATTTTAATCTTTATCTGCTAGTATTATTCAAGGAGTGTTTTTGAAAAAAGTGATAAAAGACATGGAAACTCTTAAGAAAAGTCCTTTGCTTTACTTGTATGCAGCACATGATCTTACCCTTGTAAATATTTTAAGGACTTTGGGATACAAGTCTATGTTAAAGCCTGGATTTGGTGCTTCTTTGATTCTTGAGTTGCACAACAATTCACAAATTACGGTAAATATTCTTACTTAAGTAGGTGTAATTCTTTTATAATTTATGTAATATTATAGATGTTGTATCGTGACGATATTAAAAGTGATCCAGAGAGAATAGCACTTGAAAGTTGCGGCACGCCTTGTTTATTGAGTGGATTCAAAACCGCTCTGAAGGAGTTTCTTCCTTCCAATTGGGAGTTAGAATGCAATGAATAATTTAATATTTTTTGTTTCTATTATTGAAAGTAACCTTGTGTACCTACTTTAGATTAATCAATAAACGTTCAAAAGGAGGCTTGAAAATACATCATCGAAACAATATCTTAATTAATTTTCAAGATATCCTAGAAAATTTAATAGGTATGGTACTCTATAAAAACATTATTTTGTCTAAATCCCAAGTTTACAGCAAAAGTGATTGGACGAGATGTTAGATGTAGATTGCAAATTGTTCTATAGGCATAGCTAGAGGCTTCTGCAGCTTGTATAAAACAGTTTTTTCGTGCTTATTTGTATGAGGGCCCAAGAAAGAAGAAAGTGAGGTTATGTTTCATTTCTCGCAGTGTGTTTTTGCGTTGAAATCTCCAATTCGAAGAAAATTTTCACTAACTTGTGTATACTCGTGGCCAAATCGTTGTGTTTGTAAGCACACAGAATGGGTATGTCAGCAAGTACAACGAAATGTAAAATCACACAATAATCACGATAAAAAGTGCAGATCATCCACATAACATATAACATTTTTATTAAAAATTGGTATTATCTTAACGAATGAATGCAAATCAGAATTAACCGACATACCTACATTTTTTGAATTAAACTAAATTCTAAAGTGATTGGCTTCTCACGTTATTATAATGGCCGACCTCAAACGGACCAATCACACCACTGCATTAAATTTTTGAATGAATCCAAAAATCCAAAGTCATTGGTTTTTTACACTAAAATGATGGCCGACCTTAAACTGCCCAATCACAATGCTTACAACTTTTACAACAACCCCTACGTTAATTCATTAATTGTTTTTTAGGGAGTGGGAAATTTGTTAGCGAATATGTCGAAAATGAAAACTGATACAAAAAACACGAGAAATTCATCTTGTAGAAAATTTTATAAGCTTTAATTTCGTACAACGCCATTTTTTTCCTAACATGCACCGTTTTGTGGCTATAAGCGAAAAAGCATAACACATATCACTTATTGGTACCTCCCCTAAGCCTCACTTTAGAGGACTGGGGAAGACCTGAAGTCAAAAATTCTGTTTCCGACCAGGAATTTTACATTTTCTAAGCATCAAACATACCCACCTTTTATTGATCTTTGGAGGCCCCGGTGTCGTTTTTCATCATGGTTTTCTACATATTTTTTGCTAAAACCTCGTCGTTTGAGAAAGTACGTGTGATATTCTTTCCATGTTATTACACCGTTTCTTGGATCAACGTCTATCATTGTAAATAGTGCGTAGTTGTTGCTAACAGCAGTGGAAATGTGTTCAACAATTTTTTTTCTTATCCATTCGGAAAGCTCTTTAGAGTCAAGTTTGTTGTTTTTATCTTTGTCAGCTCTGAATGATAAAATCCAAATCACATCTAACGTCTCATACAATCGTGTTTTACACTTACCTTTTAAAAACGTCTTGTAAGATTTCAGTTTGGTCCTTGTTAGCGTTTTCGTTTGTATTTGTGTTGATTAGGTATTCATTTTTATTGTTTAGTAGGGTGTTTTCTCCCTCTTTGCGGTCTGAATTGAAATTGCTGTTTTTCATTCGTATTTCAAACGAATCTTTTGGTTTTTCGATTCGTATTTCCTTCACAATTTTGATGGGTTTTAATGGCACAGATAACATCCAAATTGTTAAAAAAAATGTAATGTAGCACAGTACAGGGACGGTGTACGACCACCTCAAAAGCAAAATAAGATGTTTAAAATTGTGAGCAAGTTTCATTCTCTTCTTTTATCTGTTTTTTTTTTTTATATTCTTCATTGGGCTTATAGTCACATTGTTTGTCAGTTTATTTCACATTTCGACCACTAACTTTTGATGGACATTACAAGTTCTTTTCTATTTTTTCACAAGACACAAGGATGTTAGAAGTATCAAACATTGCAGAATTGATCGTTTGCACTACTGTAAATGGGTTATATTGTTTTCTTTTCATATCGTGAAGCGAAATCGATTTTAATGAAAGTGTTACGCGCGCGCTCTCGTGCTACAGCCTTAGGAAATTCGAATTGGATGTTATGTGTGTTGCATAGATTTAGGAAATCAAAATTGATCTTTTGAGAAAAGGCTGAAAAAATTGTCATTTATTTAGTATTGCCAATCGCTAAATAAATCGCGAATTAAAATTTAATTGCATCAAATGTTCTGTAAACCGACCCTTAGAGGAAACTAATAATTAATTTAAAAAATATAAAATTTTATTGGTATTTATTATTTCACCATTATGGTTGTAAAATTTAAATTTCATCCAAATACAAAACCGTATGTTTTTCTGAGGGTAGTCTTGTCATAGCAATTTTTTTAAAAAGTGGGGTTTTGTCTTTTATTTTTTAACAAAATTTCATTACATAACACATCTGTAGTCTTATTGTTTATAACAGCTTGTGGCAAGTTATTAACTATATTTGTTTATTTAATTATCAAAAGTTGCAATAGGAAATTGATTATAGATAGCTATATACAAAGTCTTTTAAATTAAAACAGATCAATCTTAAGACATAAAAATAAAATAAATTATTTCCTAACAGAGAAGCCATCTCCTGTGGGATCCAAAATCCATGGGTAATTATTGGGGCATTCCATACAAGTAAAAAGACGGAGCGTTTCTCCTGGAAGTTCCCTCGTTGTTAATGCACATGAATTAGGTAAGGAACAATAAGGTTGGCCTTTAATATCGCATTTTTCTTTCCATTCTTGGAAGTCACGCAAACCATTCAATTCAGTTGGATTTTGCATCCACTGGATGACCTGGAGGTTGGTTACAAAATAGACGTCATTACGTTGCAACATTTCTTCGATAAATTTGATGAGTTCTTCTTTGAATTCTTTTTTACTCTTCAACCAGGAAGCGTGGAAGTGAAGTCCAAGAGGAGCACGATTACTGTTCAAATGACGATTGAAGTTGTGTCTGAGGAGACGAGCGAACTGTTCACCACTTTGAATGTTGGAACAAGAATCGACCATGTGACAACCAGGTAAGGATTCATCAAAAGTGGGGTCATCACGTCTATCAAGTTCATTCATTACTATTTCCCAGACAGGGTGGCTTCGACTGGGGCAGTTATGGGCATTGCCGTTACACTTGTGGGGCATTCTGAAGTAAAGAGTGTATGGCCAAATGGGTACACGGCCCAAAGAAGCAGTGATGGAGGCGTCGTAGACGAAGAACTGATCGGCCATCATTTCGAATTGTTTGTTGCCGCCGACTCTAAGGTAAGGAGCCCTAACTCCAATGATGGAACCGTCGGTAATGTTGGCAAAACGCTCAACGATGAGACGAGCACCGGCCATTTCGGCAAGCCAGTCGTCATATGAGCCTTGACTCCAGTAGTTGGGATCCTCCTTGTGTGTTAGTGAGAAAACGGCGATTTCATGACCACGTCGATGCAAATCTTGTACGGCAGAATAGTTTGTGTATTTGTGGGAAACAAAGAAGGTTCCTCTAATTTGGCATCCGTTGGGGTTAGCGCGGGCTCCGTTAAAGATTTCTTCGTACAAGTCGATGTTGTCGACATTGACGGCTCCGTTGAAAGTTAAGGTGATCATTTGTGGGACGTTTGCAGGTTCCAGTTGTCCAGGTATTCGGGTACCATCAGCGGAACAGAAGCAGTCAGGGAGAACGCATTGGGTGGGGTCACAATCAGGAGCCCGATTTGGATCAGTTTCCACAGCTATGAAGGATTTATTGTAATATCGAATTTAAATAGTTAATGAGTTACTTACTGCAAGAATTTTCGTCAGATTCGTCCTTGCAATCGGGTTTACCGTTACAGAATAATTCTTTGTCGATACATTCACCATTGCCACAAGACAATTTTCCGTCAGGGCAGATGGGCTCGTCCGTTTTAAAATTGGGCAGTACTTTGCGTGGTTCTGAAGATAATCAATGTTACAGCATGTACTAAAATCCACACTCAAATAACTTCTGTTGCTTCATTTTTTTATATTCTCAACAATAAACTCTTGTCCCAAAAGTGTTTTTTATTGAACTTTCATTAAACGTTTTGATTCTTTTATTAAGTATTTTATGGTTACGTAAAAGTGAAGGTGTGTACAAAAAAATGTAAGCAAATGTCATTGCCGTTAATTATCACAAATGTCACTTCCGGTTTACGGAAGCAACATGCTGTAAATATCACCTCGGTGTACTAAAAAATCTCTCGACTTTCAATTAAAAGAAAAACAAACAGTGCTGGATTCGTATAATCCTTTTTTAATGCAGCATGTGCTGCGCTTAAGTATTAATAAACAATAGTTCATCTGCTAAGGGCATAATCCAAAAGATAATAGACCGACGCGACGCTTCTATAAATTAGTTTGATATACGAATGTAATTTATGTATTCACTCTTGCTCTTATGTTTTTATAAAAATGAAACAACAGTAGTTTAAAGAACAAAAATCCGATCAAAAACCTTGGGGTGAGCTATGTACAAAGTGTAATAATAGGATGTGTACTTTGTGACTGGATATTACTTCAAAAAATAAAATATTTACATCAAAATTTGTCATTCGTTCTTAAATCTTTCAATTTTATAGAAAGTAGACGAAGAAAAAGAAGAAAATAATATTAATTACAACATAGAAATAACACAAACAATTGTGGATGAAATAATACGTATATGATTTTCATAATTTTACAACGAATTTTAATTACAACCAATTTGATTCTTAATTTGCAATTGAGAATCCGTATTTGAAAACCTTTGATCAATTTTTCATTAATTAAAAGGTGTTCCAGTGAAGAAATTGTATACAATTAGTTGCACTTGAAATTCGTCAGGGCGTAAAGTTATGCAAATCACCATGAATCAATGATTTATCTACTTAGAGTCGAACAATTGCCTATTGTAAAATCACGTTTATAGATAAATTTTTTCGTATTTTGGTTGCCTAAAAAATACCAATTAAACTCATGACACTTTCAAAGAGATAAATCATTCAGATTCAGTAAGAAAATTCAAGAAAAATGTCTGTAAATAGAGACTAAGTGAATACAGTAAAGATGTATGTACCTACGTGTAAGTATAAAAAGAGATAGACTCATTCCTGGTTGCTGATTATGTAGGTACAAGGAAAAAAGAAGTAGGTAACTCTTGACTGAGATATTTGATTTTGGAGTTCAGTACTGTCGTGTGATGTGTCGATTACGTGCAAAGGCACAAATGGATTAGTTGATAAATGTGCAAATATGTTTCAATATAAGCTGTTAGTGAATAGCAAAAAGCGCATGCAACGACTTCGTTAATTATTGAGCTTAAAGTTAGAAAACACCATCTACTTTCTACACTCTTTTATTGGAGAACTGAATAATTTTTTATACAATCTTTGAAATTCGTTGCTCTATTGAAGCCAAAACAGCGGTCGCATAATTTCTACAGACACCGTTCCCTTACCGCACTTGAAAGTGCGACTTACTCTCAAGTTTATCACAGTTATTGACTTTTCCTTTCCAGTCACATGTTTGTTTATCGATGTCAAATGCCAATCCGCTGGGACAAGTGATTTGCTTTAGACCGGACTTAGTACACCTGTACGTTAAAATGGGACTTAATATCGAATTTTGACCAAGAAATAATGACTATACGTGCCACTGGCATGAACTGAACTGTAAACTAACAAGTTACTCTGGGAGACTTGACTTTGTGTATTCGTCATTATTTCTTCTTCATCGACTTACTTTCTATCACATCACAGTTGTGCACTTTCGTTTTCCAGTCGCAAGTTTGACGTTCAATGTCAAAGGCTAGACCACTTGGACATCGAACAGACGCCAATCTTGTGGCGCCGTTGTTGTCACTATTTTTGTCGCACCTACATACACGAACCAAAAAGTATTAGAACGAATACAAGGCAAAACCAAACGCTTTCATTTATTGCTTACTTAAGTACAGCGAAAACAAAAGTGGAACAAAAAATTAGCTTTATTGGAACCAGTATACCTACATAATTTTTTGCTCACATTGAACTGGGAAATAGCTAAAAATTAGTAATGAACAATGAGGATTCTTCAAAAATAGTATCTAACTCTCAATAATTGTAATTTTTTCTTTAAGTCTAAGCAAAAGGAATAATTTATAGTAAAATACTATAATCTGCCAACAAAAGAATCATTCACTAGACTTCCGATTTAGAGCGGATAGAACTTCTGACGCAAGAAATAAAAAAAACAGTAAAGAAAATTAAAGATTTGTTGATTACCTACATATTTAAAACGAGGACATTAATAATATTATTCAGTAATTAATTAATAATAAATTAAATATTTGCCAAATTATTGAAAAGGCAAACTCAAAAGTTTAGATTATGGTATTAGAGCTGGATCTAGCACTTAGATTACTTTCTTTTTCCTAATTTGAAGCATCAACTGCTTAGCGTTTTTTTTTGAAGGAATCTCATATTGTGGCAGAAACCTTGGAATAAGTGTTGAAAAGAACATATTATGTTGAAAAAAAATTTCCGCAAATTTCAGTAGGATTGATATTTTATATACCTATAAAAGCACCAAATCTTGCCACTTACCTTACAACATCCCTGCAGTCGCCTTCCGTGCTCAATCTAAAATATTCATCTGCGGGTCTATTTTCACAGAGCTCATCTGCTGTCGCTTCATCGCCTCCCTCTTCGTCCTGAGCAAAAGCTGCAACACCAATTTCATTTGTCAACGATTTCAATTAGGCATCAGTGATAAAACATTTAGCAAAGGAAAAAAAGAAATCCAGGTCACTTGAAAGTAGCTGTTTGAATACGATGTGGAACAGGTTTCTATAGCCGACAAAAAATAATTTGTTTATATAAGCTATCTCTCCTTTGAAGCAAATTTTTCGTTAATTGGAATTTAATAAAACTGCGGCGGTTATTTTGCATAAGCAAAATGGAGTTGCGCTACCTCACCCTGAGTCACCTGACCAAGCCTATTTCATCTCATGGTAAATGTCTTGTTTCTGTTTAACAAAGAAGGTCAAAAGTCAGGTGGATTGTGAAATAGTTGGTATTTGTCGACTGTGATTCCTAGTAATGGCTCACGCTTCTTCATTGTTGTCTGCATTATTGCTTTTAAATGTCAAATATTGATCGCTTAAATTACCATAAAGGCTGTATAATTTACAAAAAGATTATTATCTAATTGTCAAGGTTGGAAGCGCGAAAGCTTTACAGATTAAACAGGTTGAACTTGAAACCTAAATAACCATTCAGGACGACAAAACTTTCTTTAAAGTGGCGAGCAAAGTTTCACTATCGAAATCGATTTTACGACAAGAAAATTAACCGTGAAATGAGAAAACCAAGTCTTAGACAAAATCCGATCTTGGTTTATGTTCTGTTACAAACTGTAAATACAGACAACACATTCGTGTTAGGCATAATATAATAACGTCAGAGCGATGTAGTAATCATTCATAATGAGCGCCAACAAAAAATCAAACTTAGTAATGCGAACGACAGATCAGAAAAGGAAAGTGAAATACAGTACTTTGATGTAACGGTTTTTTTACAGCAAGACTTCCGATTAGCAACCCAAATTGTACGGGACTTTTGTCATTTGAATAACTTCCCTTCATTCATTAACTTTTGGAAAATTAATGTACCAACTCAAGATTTTTTAGCGTGTCCTCTCCTATAAAGACGGAAGTCCTTGGCATCTTTTAGCTTTGAGCACCGGAATACTGACAATGACAATTACGATTTTTACGGTGGCTAAAAGTAGCGAAATTTCTGAATTTTGCCTTAATTTTGAAAAAGTTATCTTATATCAAGCTCGATCGGCTATAGAATATTCCATGCAGTCCAATTTTAAATACGTTAAAGAAAGTAATTAAATAAAGAGGGATTAAGGAGGTAGTGGGGATAAAAAAAATCACTTACCGATCCCAAGAAGTAACAAACAACACAGCCAATATGTTTTGTTAGCCATGCTGAACCTTCGAGCACTAGCCAAGAAGTGGAGACAAGCAAGTTTTATATTTATACTGCGGCCTTTTCAGCATATGCGCATGTGTAAAAGACTTCTTTTGTGGCCAATCCTCTGGTACTTGATGAACTGAAAACACTTTCACCGGACTAAGTTGTCGTTCAAAGCTGACTCCTAACAACTGAAATTGTATGCGATAGGTGACTCCACTTATATCTTTTATAATTTGTATCGATTTATTGATATCGGCCACTATGCTTTGTGTATAAAGGGATCCATTTAGTAAAATAAATTAGTTAGCATTTAGAATTATTGTAAGCACATAAAACAATAAAAAAAGCAAAACGTATAAAATTACCATAACCAGAAAAGAGATTTTGAAAATGTTTTATAATAATTCGTATTCTGTAGTGTCTGTAGTGTTTTAATAATTGTTATCAAAAAATGAAAAACCTGTAAAATTGTCATGTCGATCTAATACCTACAATCTATATTTTAATTTTATTATAGTATAAGGATAATAGTTATTTATTATACAATACGATAAAATTGAATTTTATCTTTGAGAGATAATGAAAATTTTACGTCATGTACAATATAAAATTTTATTCAATCCTCACTAATTTGTAGTCAATTTGGTCAATATTTATAAATGTCAAAGTAAAATTCAACAATGAAATTTAATGTCAAAGATCGCTAACAACCGCACATATACAACAATGGTTGTATTTTTTTATCATCTAGACGATAAAATTTCATTTTAACATGAAGAAAAAAGTAGATAAAATTCAATTTTAACATAGAGGATTTAATAAATGTCGATTGTTTTCATTATTCATATTAACCAATTATTAATTTTTTTAGTAACATTTAGTCGTCCTTTAGACGAATTAGGCAATTATTGTTTACGTCGCAAGCTTACAAAATTGAAGAATTAATTACTCAAATTTAGAAATTTTATAAAGCATTCAGTTTTAAGGTTTTGAAGTTTTTCTTAATAATGTGTAATCAACGATTTTTAATTAATACTTCTATTAAATATAATATTTGCTGAACCAGTCGTTAAATGTATAGAATTTGCCTATACAGAGTGCGCCAGAACTCGCGCCCCTGAGAAAAATGCCATATAAGGTAAGCTGGTAAGATACCAGGAAAAGGGAAAAAAATGATAAAAAAAGTTATCTATAAAAATTTCGAAGTTATGAGAGTTTAAATTTTGCACTTTGACTCTATTTATTTCTGTTGGAAAAATAATTTTCCAAGTTCTTTTGCTACGGGCTAAGAAAAAACAAGGAAGCTGTGTCCTAAATTGTAACTCTGTTGAATGTTTATGTGGCTTTTATTGGCAAAATTTATGTACCTTTACTAAATAATTGTAAAAAAACATATACAAGATCATCAGTATCATTAAATAGACATAAAAAATGTCAAATGTGAAAAAATACATGTCAAAATTTTTTGACTGATAGAATTTTTTAAACATTTTTTCCATGTTCCTGGTACTTTATCTTACTTGAAATTTTTCTCTGGGACGCGAGTTCTGGCGCACCTTGTATGGATAATTAATTAATTATAAATTTATTAATTATGATTAATGTTGTTTTATGTCAAATTAGATGTACGATCATTATCGGTAGAAATGTAATATTATACTTTGTAGGCAGTGTTTGTTGATAAAAAATTTAATTTTAGTAATAAAAAATTAAGTTTTTCTGTTTAAAAATTGACTTAAAGTAGTAGGTACTTGTATTTGCCAGAAATTCAGTTTTAATAAATTAGTTTCAATAAATATAATACATGAACATTTTTGTTTTAGTATATATAGTTTCTAACTTTTTAGAACTTTACAGAATTCATTTAGAGTAGACTTGTTAAACACATAATTACAGATCAAAAAATAACACTTCCGCTTTCTCTCTGTGGGCATTTACCTAATCAAACACTTCACTCGCTTAATTTGATGATTATGTATGCTTGACTACAATAATAATTTATTCAGTTCTACTTAGAAATAAGAATGGTATACTTGTGATTGATCAGATATAACACTTTTTGTATAAAATTGACACCACATATTCTGAGTGATAAAAAAAATAAGATTTAAAAATCAATAAATAAATTACACAAGAAATCGGGGTCTTCAAATACCACTAGTTCTACTTGCGTAATTTGCTAGCATCTTTACTTCGTAAATTACATTTTTAATCTTGCAAAATTATATAACCTATAGAAATTTAATTTAATACAAGTACCTACATAATTACTTTTTGTTTTTACACTATTCAAGCACCAAATGCCTGGCCTTGACGATGACTTCTTTTTTTTAATTGAACCCGATTTTTATTTAAAAAAATACTTGAAAGTTATATACATAGATGTCCCTAGCGTGAATTGCCAAAGCTTTAAAACCATCTCGTTCACCTTCAAATTCCGAATTAAATCGAAGCGGAAAGTATCACCACAGACTTCTACACCGTGCAAATCGTAGCTTCCTTGACATTTTTCGTACTACTTTTGTATAATGAAAAATATATCTATTTAGAATAGCATCTGAATACTACTTATTCTAGTAAATGGCTTTTAGGTAAACCGTTCCTTGAATTGCTTTTTAGAAAATTCCTAACAAAACGTGGTGAACGTTGAATGCCACGTGATAAATTAATTTTATAAGGATGTTAAGCTATCCTACGTAATTAATACGAATCGCACCGATTTATTACCATTAAATAATAAATCTATGCAGATTGTCTAGGCGTGTCGTGCAATCGCTGCACACAATAATAGAGATATTGTGAAATTTATTCTGTCGTTTACGTGGTTTTATTGTTAACAAATGATTTGAAGAAATATACAGTACATAAAAAGTTGTGATGAACTTGTAGGAGCGCAAAGTAAGTTGAATCAATACTTTGCAAGATAAAATTTTCACATGAAAATAATAATTTTAATAAATTACTTACAAATGATTTCTGTGCCAAAATTAAAGGAATATTTGTTATTGAAGCTGTTTCTAAATGTATAAATTTTGGACTGAATTTTGCGGTTGCGATAGTCTATTTGTTTAATGGCATCCAAAATAGTTTTAAAGCAGTAGAAAGCTATGTGAATTTTCTCTTCAAGTATGTATTTAGTATAAACATTTAATTATCCTTTCATGTGCCTTAGATTAACCTTTCGTGAAGGTATTTTGATTAGAAAATGGTTGCCGTAGTTACCTATGTTACACATGTTCCAAAAACTAAAAATAATAATAATTAACAGAAAAATATACATATTATCTGTCTTAAATTAATTAGACATACGATAAGTATAGGATCTGGAATACAATTATAAAGAAGTGTTTTTTTATTAGTTTCTTGTGTTGAATTGAAATTGTGAAAAACACGTTTGCATGTTCATTTATATTATGCTTAAAACTACATTAAATAAACGTTTGGATAATTTTATAATGTGACAACTCGGTTACTGAGCATGAAATTAATAAAATGATGAAACCAGTAACAAGTCATTTATTGTTTGACGTTTTTATACAAATAAACTATTCATAATATTCATTCAATAAAAAGCAAATTTAAATTAAAACTGAAACATTATTGGTACATGATTTTAATGTATTTACGTCAGTTTTACAAAAATATAAAATAGCACTGTCATTGAAGACATCAATAAAATTTAAGCGGTTTTGTATCAAGATCCTGTTTCATATTTAATTTCCAAATGATTCAAGGTTAACAACATTTTGTAAATCAACTGTTGAGTGCATTAGAACTAATAAAAATTACAATTAGAAATAGTAAAAATTGTTAAAACAATAGAGAGAGGGCTAGTAAAACCTTAAAAACTCAACTAACACTGATATGTAATGGTATACAGATAGTAAAAAATACCACAAAATAAATACGCTACTTGTCCTGGCCTCTTTTATTTAATTTTTCGGACTCATTTTTTGTTAAACTAAACTATTGTGTCACAAAATTACTGTTTTTTTAGGTTTCTTAGCAATTTTTTTTAGCAATAAATATATTGTGAAAGACCGCATGTTTTTTCCATTAAGTGGTTTCAACTAGGTTTATGTAAAAACAAAAAAATAAAAACTATTTAGACAAATAAAATAGCATTTCTTGTTAGGTAACTACGGGTATGACAACACATTAAATATAAATAAATAACTTTAGTGGTTAAAAATTCCATCAGATTTCTAAGAAGACTAGCATCTCATTATAGAAAACATTTTTATTTTGATTCCACAGTTCAACAAACAAAGCAGAAAAATAACTTTATGTTTTTTTATAACGTCTTTGCATACCGAAATAAGTTAACAGTAGTATAATGAACTTTTAATCCCAACTCTAGAGTTTTTTTTTTAATTGTGGTTTCAAAATATTTTTATTTTTATAGAAGTTAGTTTGTCAACTCCAATTGTAATAGCTCTGCAGCTTTTGTAGAGGAAAATTTTACATTTTATTTTTGGTTTCTCTTCGTGAGTTGGAATTAAAGTTATCAGTAAAGTTCATGTAATACAATTATTCTTATTGGAGAGGAAGCTCTTGTAATTTCCTCAATAGTAAAATTATTTTACGTCTCACGTAACCGATTTTTTTGTGAAAAGTGAAATTGGCAGTGCCATGCCAGGAGCACTGCAGCAAAATGTAAATATATTTATACAGAAGTAAAAGTGGTAACCGTAAGTGAAATCCCATAGTTTTGGGATACCTGCCAAATGTCGTTTTGTTGCTCACACCTTGACACACTTTATCACTTTCTTCCTTGGTTATCAGCAATCAAATCGATCGAAATTCTTCAGCAGAGAGCCGGAAAAGTCCGTGAACCTGACCGCAATTTGCCAAGGACAAAACGAAAATTGATGGAAGGAGCCTGTTTCCATATTAGGATCACATTATTAGAAATTCGAAGATTTTTCACAAAAATTCCTAAACATATTAAAATTGTTTTGAGCAACCTACTTTCTTTTGACTCGATAATTATTATTGCTGTCTTAATTGTTTAAAAATCCTTGAAATCGAAATTAGGAAAGCGTCATGGCAGGAAATATGTCATAAATTTCGACGTATTCCTAGTTCCTACGTAATTTCTAAAATGCATTATGCTCA